TGTGGGTATGACCAATAGCACAGACATGCTGTGTACCCTTGTAAGACAATTGTACCGTGTTGTTGAACAGCACTGTATTGTGAATAATGGCCTTTTTGCAGGAAAAATAACCTAATGGAGCCATGGCGCTGTAATATCGGTGTTTGCCTCCTTCCTGTACTGTGCTCTACACTGCAGTTGTTCTGATGCTGATGGCTGTTGGTATTGCCGGTATTGCTGTTCGCTATCAAGCCTACAAGCCCCAGGAAAATGAACCAGTAAGCTCCGCTCTCTTTCTCGCTCGCTCTCCCTATATGTCTGTGTGTATGTGTGTGTACATCTGTGCGTGCCTGGCTGTGTGTATGCATGTGTCCTAGAGTACCCGTACACTAGAAGGCAGTAGCATATACCTGCCCGTCTGTCTGTAATACCGTCTTGAGGCTTAGCTTCTGTTTCTGTGCTCGCTCTTGCTTGTCTTCTGTGTGTAGAAATCCAATGAGTTCACTGCGGCTATCTGGACTGTGCACTTCGGTATTGATAACTATGGTCGCAATAGCTTTGATAACATGGCCAACCTCATCAATGCTTCAGGTAGGCACGATTGGTTAGATGTGTTGTTATGTTGTTATTGCATGATGTCTAGGCCCGAAGCTTCCCACGATGCTTTGACTTGCAAGAGGACAATACTACTTCAAGTATACTGGGAGAGAGCGACGGGGGTATAAGGTACATTGAATTTGCGAATGACTGGAATACACCTTGTTAGCTGCTATGCCAGTTGGGGTAGTGAATCTCAGGAACAAGGCTTTGGCATTTGTAATTGATTTGAAGCAGAGACAATAAGCATCAGTTTCCCTACGTAAAGTTTCTTGTTGTAAGTCATGCCCTGTTTGAACATTGTGCCCTGTGGGCTAGTTCTCAAACGTTTAATGAAGTTGGAACATGATATTCTTGATAGTCCACCAGGCGTGCCATGCTTTTTGGCCTCTCGTGTACACAGGTGCTGATGTTATTGGTTTGCTGGAGACTGATGCTGCCAAGCCTTTCCTGGCTAACTACGACATGGCAATGTACTTGAGTGAAGTGCTCAACATGTACACCGACTATGGTCCAGGCCCACGCCATCACACTTGGGGGTGAGTGTGTACTGCTGCATACATGCACTTGCAGACCAACATGTACACTGACTTACACACACTTGAGAGGAATCAAAAGCGTTTCTGCTGTAACTCTGAGTTTCACGGTTTTAACCGATCATCAGACAGCAACTTTACTACAACTTTCAGAAGATATGATTGATATAGGCTGCAAGCTATACACTGACTTATTGTGGTCCACGCCATCACACTTGGGGGTGAGTATACTGCTGCATACTGTAAAAGCCATATATATAACGAAGTGCTAACTCTAACGAGTTAACGAGGAGAAATCTTTCGTTAAAATAGAAATCGTTATACCGAAATCGATACATATATTGTCCTATCGAGCATTGAGAATGAGTGAGAATCGTTACCTTTGGTACACGTAAACTAGTCAATTTTGGGAAATCGTTATATATGCGCCTCGTTAGAATAATGGCTTTTACAGTACTATATTTTTAAGTCAACGAATATTTGGCACGTATTTATTTTCGGCTATTTTCGGCTTTTTGTCCTAAAATTTGTTGCGGCCGAAATTTTGTTTTACAAGGTTCAATGTGGCAGCAGCAGAACAGGCTGACATTTTAATGCGGCCGAAATGCGTTTTAGCCCTGGGAGGCCGAAATTTTAATGCGCCGAACATTTGTAGACTTACAGTGCATTCACTTGCAACGCAGCATGCAGCTGCTGCTCCTTCTGAGCCTTTCTTTATGAATCGGTTTGTTCATAGTTGACTGAAAACATGCCAGTGGGAGCCCCAGCGAATGACTGCAAAGTCTGCTGGTATAACAGGGAAGAGAGAACGCAGTCCATTCGAGTAATGTGTTGATGTGCCTACGTATATAATGTTGTCTACCACTCGTCCTGTTGCGCTTGTAGTCTTTTTTTGATACATGTATGAGTTGTGCGTGTTTTTGTTTCTCTCATCCTCTTCTTGCTCAATTACACTGTGTTTCTTGCAGATGCCTCCTACTATCCCGCTTCCCTATCATCAGGTCACAGCATCTACTCCTGCCATCTCCACATGGTAAGCAGTCCGGGGTTGTATCCGCCCCTTTTAGTCAAAAGAGTAGAACACTGTACACTTGCTGCTCACTGCAGTTCACTTTGTCATTTGTGCTGGGATGTCTTTGACTGTATAATTGATTATGATATGGTATGGCAAAGGCTCGAATATTTCAACCAGGTCAACTCGGTGCCCAGTGGGATCACAGGTCCAGGAGGCCCGGTTCTAGACCACTATGTGGTTTTGGTGGTGGTGGTGCTGCTGCTGCTGCTTCTGTTTTTTTGTTCTTTGACTGTGATCGGTTTTTTTGGGTCTGTTCATGTCATTGTTGTCTTGTCCAGGTGAGATTGCACCAGCTATCCACGCCACGCTGCTTATTGACGGCAAGCACGTCGATGTGATGGTGGTGCACATGGGTGTAGATTCGTAAGTGCTCTTCTGCACATGCTGGTAGTTGTGTGTGGTGAACCTTATCGAGAGTTCATGAGCACCAGTTCTGTGCCGTGTGAATCCTGCGCTCGAGGTGGACTTAATAGTACCAAGAGTCCATAAACAAGAGTATGCAACTGTGATCTCTTTTCTATGGGCCAGATGCGCGGCGCGCTGCCTTCATTACATCATTCAGCTGCAGTCCGCGCACTGCGGAAAATCAAACACCGCACTTTCCCTCCAGTTTGAAATGAACTTTCGTACGGAACTGGAGTTCACGCGCCAGAATTCAGAGATTGTGTAGGTACTGGAACGAATCGAGCAAAAACGGATGGGCTCGTGCGAGAAATTGAGAGTTTGAATGCATGCTTTCAGAGCGTGATGAAGGCAGCGCGCCGCGCACTGACCCATAACCACAGTTGCATACTCTTGTTTATGCACTCTTGATAGTACATGTACATGACGATTGTAAATACCCAGAAATTTTTGAATGGTTTTTGTATGCTTGCTGCTGTGTTGTGCTTGGACTGCACAGTGATGATCTTGATCGAAAGCTTCAAGCGCAGACACTGGCCAATGTGCTCAAGTCAATGTAAGTGCAGCGACCACATCTACTTGTCTAGTACAGTACGGTACACTGTGTATACATGTGCATGTACGTCGTTCAAGCCAAGTTGATCTGTGAAAGGACAAGTGTATTTACTGGAGACTTACCGCATTCCCTTTACACCAGAGGGTGTGACTTACAATCGAATTTGACTTGCTGTGTATGTCAATGCATTGATATGGATATGAAATGAGGGAGACCTGAAAATAGGGCTGCACCTTGTTCTTCTGGAGCTATGCTAAGCATACGGGTTCAGCAACGGTGTTTCAAGTTCTCAGTAGCGCCAAAAACAGAGCCAGACTCTCCAGATGCTATATCTCCCTGACGTACATGTACATGTACCTGGTAAAGCTGTTAGTACCATGTTTGTATGTGTAGGAAGCCCTGGTGTTGCAACAGATTTTTAAACTATGACAGGTCACTATACACTATACTAGACTCCCACATGACGTTGTGTTGTTGCTTTGTGCACAGCCCCAACCCCGTGTTCTTCCTCGGCTACATCACGTGTAAACCAGGCGGCCGCGACTACACGCAGATCAGCAGAGACGGCAACATGACGGTCAGTATGCTTGCTCCGGTCCGCTTCAATTCTTACTGTGTTAGGATCCACTTTGTGGGGAAACCGCTGCAATAAATCAAAGTATCAAGTTGAGTTTCTGTATCAATTCAGACCTGTGTCGGAAAGGCACAACGCCGCGTAAAATTCCTTCAGATACTCTAGTATGCATCGGCTAAAGAGACCAGGAAGGGTGCTGTGTGTTGTGTTACAATCATATAGCTTTCTGTGCAAGTCCCCTTCATTCTGGAGATGTTGTTGCTGCCGTCGACTTGCATTATACTGTAATTTCACAAATTTTCGGTGTACTTTTATTTTCGGTACTTTCGGTGCGTCTGTTTCGTACCTAAAATTTCAATACACCCAACAAATACTAACACACATAATCCGGGGAACTGCTGTTCACCTAACCTGGCCTGTTGCCCTCATACCGAAAATATTGAGCACCGAAAATTTCTGAAGTTAGAGTAATCCCGGGGAGGGGGGGGGGGGGGGGGCAGGGGCGTACGCAAGATCCGGAATGAGGGGGGTGCTCCAACATTTTCCCAAAGAACCGAATAATGCATTATTTCTGTGCGCTTGATACATGGATGGTTGATATCTGATTTTTACTTACATGTATAGTGCGCCATCCGTGATTCAAACATTAAATTTTACCATGATTTACCAAGTCGAGGGAAAATGTAGGAACCTTTCTGTAGGATGGAGCAACCAGAAACCATGAGGACTTGAAGTACCCAATCCCAAATGTACCCCTCCATTTGGGGGACAAAATGTACTTCCTCGGTAAGCTAGGTCCAAGAGCACACTACTCTTGCTTTGACGAAAACATTTTCAATTTGACTAATGTACTTTGAAGTACTAGAACAACTAATTACTTACAATACTTCACACATTGAATGGGCCGAGAAAGCAAAACTACCATAACAACTTCTGGCAGGAGTCCTAGAAAAAGCTCCCAGGAGTTTTTATACACTTGCTTCTGGTATGGAGAAATAGAATCAGGTAATAGAGGAAGCAAGTGCAATGGATGGTGGTAGCTTCACAAACAGGATACTCGCAGAGAGCTGCCACATTTCTGTTGGTAGAAATCAGAAGCAGTGTCTGAGGTGTTCAATGGCGGGAAGGCAAAGGGGAGCGACCCCTTTAGAAGCCATAGCATTTATGGATTTCAAGGGCCCGAAACAACAGATTAGTACACTTTCGTGAACAATCGTTTTCAGTCGGTTTGTCGGAACAACTGATCGGAGTGTTCCCGGAAAACCGGAATAGAACAAGTCGAGGCCCTGACAATATGGATAACCCTCTGTCCTGCCACATGAAAGTACATGCAACATGGTGAACTACATGTATGATCAACTAGTGACGACAGCGAGTGGAAAGCAAAAAATCGGTTAGAAAATCTGATAATTGTGCCACCAAAAATCGCGTTCAAAAGTCTGATTTATGAACATCCCCATTTCACAATGAAGTTTACTAAATATCAAATTCAATCACATCTCAATGAACAGCCTCACTCAAGACCTTTCCAATGGGCCGTCATCTGCATAAATCGGACAATCGGTTGCAAAGTTATGGTACTTTTGGCGGCATGGGTACATCAGGTTGGCCTACATGTACATGTATGTCGAAAAAATTGAGGGGGTGCTTCAGCACCCAAAGTACCCCCCCCCCCCCCCCTGGGTACGCCACTGGGGGGGAGCATTTTTTGAATGCCTGCATGATGCTATTCGAAAACTAGCTCTTGTAGTAGCGTTCGGCATGTGCATTGGTCATTGTAGTTGAAGTAGTGTGTGTGTGTGTGTGTGTGTGTGTGTGTGTGTGTGTGCGTGCGCGCGCACACGCTTGTTTGTGTTGAATATCTGTATGTATATTGATATTGCTGCTCTGCCAACAGGATATCGATGCTACAGAGATGGAGCGATGGTGCGAGTATGTGTTCTACCGTGGCCTGATCAGGTATGTTTAGTCCCCGTATCCCAGAGGCATCTGGCCTTACCTCATCTTCCTCGATAGAGTCGATACTTTGATAACTAACATGATATTTCACTCTCTATTTCATCTGTGGGTTGGCAGTGCTTCTGGGCTGTCATCGGCTTTGGGTCTTGTGCTTTTTCTAGATCTCCCAGAGCTATCTGAGAAACTTTGGGTCATGCTTTGCTTTTTTGTGCATGCTGTGTGCTCTGCAGGCAAGGATTCGCTCGCATCACTCATGGTAGCTTGACAGATACCGAGATGCAGGTGGCCAAGTTTAGAGTAAAGTCCTCTGCTACCGAGCCCGACAATAACCAGATTGTCTACGGTGTTGACAAGGTCCCCATGCACCTTCGTTTCCCTGCAAGGTAAGCTGTTATGTTGCTTCGTGGCTGGCTGTATTGTCTTGTGCGGGTTTCAGAAATTTAGAGTGGCAAGTTGAATTTCAGAACTAATATTGCGACAGAGCTTTCGGCCATATTTCAAATTCATTGCATTCCCATCTCATCACAACCACGCTGTCCTTGCTGGTGTCTGTATGGTTCGACTGAGAGCGCGTGGTTGTGATGAGTTGGGAATGCAATAAAGTTGAATTTCGTATTGGAATTTCTGGCCATGTGTGTTGTGCTTCAAGTATGTGAAACAGGTTCAGGACATGGTTTGTGTCGCTTTTTGTGGCCAGTATCCCAGCTGCTGCAGCACTCATGTGGTATGTGCAGTGACTTGTGACATGTCCGGTGATTACCATTGGTATAGTCATACTGAGACAGAAAAAACGAGCAGTTGCTTTTTCGTAACTCTGAGTTTCACAAACTGAATTGATCATCGGATGAAAATTGACGGTGGATGAACTTCACATGGTATAGTCATACTGTGCGTCTAATGTCCACAGCATGTTTGTGTGATGCATTCATCTGCACTGACTTCAGGTTTGGCGAGAGGCGACAAGGGCACCACTACGCTCGCTTCTTCCTCGATCACGTCTTCCACATGAACACGCCACGCTACTTCGTTCGCTCTTAGAGTGTGGCGGCGACTTGGCTGCAATGACATCAAACTACAACTCGTGCTCCCATCGATGACATGTGATTGTCTCTGATTGGTGAGATGTGTGGTTACTTAACAACCAATGTCCTGTCCTCTAAGCAATCTGGTGGTTGATCTCTGACATGTTCCAAGACTGTACAAGATTCGACACAAACACCCACACAGAATTGGCATATTCCTAACATTTATTATGAGTTCTATGGGTCCTACATTGTCTTTCTTTTCTTTCTTTTTATAACCACTTTGACTGTTACAGCAGGGCCTGTGATTTTTGTCTGACCTACTAGTGTAACCAAATTGATTGGCATGTCTAGGCTGTTGAAGAGCAGAATTTATACTTGTTTCCCATTTGCTTGCCCCGTCCCGCAGAAGGAAGAATAACAGTCAACACTTGTCTATCAGGGAATAAGACGTGTGCTGTTGTCTGGTGACTAGTCCTGCCTGAGATTGCTGCTGCTGCTGCGGCTTCTGCTGTAGTTTTGTAGGATAGTGGAAAACAATGTGACCATAGGCTCACTGTTCACACTATGAAGTCACTATGACTGCTATTGGAGCTCGAGTATGTTTGATGTCTCGTGATAAGATCACGACGGTCCCACTTTGGTCCGATGCTCTTTTCACTCTGAATGCAGCATGGCCACTAGTTATTACACAGTCGTGTCACAGTCACATTGATGATATGGGCACGGCAATAGTGTGTGATGTCAATGCAATAGTGCACAGTGTAGTGAGAGACGTGTCTTCCCTATTTGATAAGGGAAAGTATGGCGCAAGACAAAGTAAAAAGTACAAACGCGTTGAATTTGTTGCCAGCCGGGCGGCATACCAGATACCGTACGTGTAGGTGTGCGGCCGTTTGAAGTCTCTAGTGATTTGTCTAATGCTGTGGATCCGAGTCCCGTAACCAACCAGTCACTGTTGTACAGCACATGTGCTGAGGTTCAATCACCACTTCTAGACGTTTAATATTCACCGATCACCTCAGTAATAAGTCATGTCAGTGACCAGTGTAGTATTTGCACTGAGCATGTCAACAATACATGGCCTATTTTTAATTAAAAGTTCTCGAGTACTGTAAAGTGAGAAACTTTCGCTAGAGATTAAATTTCGCTATTTTCGCGATCATCACAAATTCGCGAGTATAAATCGCCGCTAAATGCTCTGAATATTGATTATAGACAGTACATGTATACATGATCCAACTGAAGAGATGAAATCGTCCAAGTTTCTCATTGTGAACCAGCCCAATTCTTGAAAACGCAAACTTTGCGTGCCCCGAAAGTTTATCGCTTTACAGTAATCCGGTGTATGGTCTGCACCAAACCAGAGACACAAGTGACAAGGCCAGACGGCCATGCAGGAGTTGTAAAATACCCAGAGAACACACCATTCCAACTAAACATGACATGGCCCCTACTCAGTCCCCAGGGAATAGCAAAATACGAACAGTGCATTGTGGTACAGTACAATGTCAATGCCAATGGTTACCGAAATACAGTACAATCATGTACAGTCATGCATCCATGACTGCATGAGCACAAGCAGGGAGTAGTATGTTTACTACTCGAGTCAGCTGACTACAAAGTCTTCTTCCACTTCTTTTATTTTACTCTCCACGTTTGTTGCCAACGTCGTTCAAAAAATTTGTGACATGACTGCATTGTAATTGTACTCTTCAATGAGAGCTTGAGAAAATCTCTGCTTCTGAAGTAACATGGTAACTCATTCCAGCAATGGTCCAACTGTGAGATATCTATAGGAAAAGCTCGTATCCTTTCTGAAAAATGTCGTCTGGCGAGCGAAAACTGTTGATTACATCTGGAGGTGGTGATCTGGAGTCCCCAGACCTTTCAATAAACCAACCTGGAGTTTCAGACCCTGCAGCACCGACCAATTCGTTTTTCGGTGCAACGTTTATTGTAATCAATGCCTCGATCGGCGCGGGATTGCTGTCGTTTCCCTATGCCTTCCTTCAAGCCGGTGTTATTCCGGCCATTTTTATACAATTGGTAAGGTGATCTAAGGCAGTTCACTTCACTGTGATGCATGACATCAGTGATGTGTACCCTATTACAATCTGTGGTGTTGGTTATCGAAATCAATACCCTCAATGCTAGCATGCTGCAAACAGACAGCAGCGGTGTACCGGTAATCGGCAATAAATTTAACAGGTACAAGCACAATCAAGAATCCACAACCCATCGTGTGCAACGTAGTGTAATTTTTTCAGTGGGCCAGCTGCATGGTGCCTTTGGTACCTCATACAGCTTCATCTGAGCAATATGGAAGTCCCAAACGCACAATTTTCCTGTGCATGTACTACTAATTTGACGCAAAAGACTCGTGCTAAAGCCAGAGACGCCAAGAGTGGATTTTGAATTTTTGACACATACACAGTGCTTGATACATGTACAAGCAAAGTATGTAGTGTGAGCATCATGTTGCAACGCTGACCCAGATTATTACAGCATGATATGCATATTTACGTACACTACTCGGTGGTCAGAATTCTATGCGATGCAGTAGTTCAGCTGACGGCCACGAAAGAGAAGACATTCTTCAGTACAATCATGTATTTAACTACAGAATCTGATGTAGATACAAGTACCTGCCCACAGGGTGTTTGGTTCAGGGAGGTGTCTGGATGTAGGAGGTCTGGATAAGAGAGGTTCCACTGTATGAATAAAGTGGCATCAAACCTGAAATTCTGTATGGTGATTGTAAACGCTTATCACCGAGGTTGATACAATTGTGTAAGCATTTATGAACTAATGCACCATGTGGAGCGAAGTGGACATGTTAATGGATCGCTTTTTATCGGATAATTTCATGAATGCTTTGGGGAGTACCGGTATGTGGAGATTGTGTAGAAATTCCAGGTTGTGGCTGTCGCAGCAAATCTTCAGTTGAATCTTTCACACTCAGGCAAATGTGTGGATAGGCATACGTATGTGTTTAATATGTGATGCAGTTAACTGCTGAGCATCAAGGGAAATAGTTGTCTTTGTATGCTGCGCTGCTTGTGACTCAGACTGTATGTGATTGTTTCCCTTTCTACTGCAGGGTTTTGTTGTATTTATTGGTGCGGCGTTGCTGATCCTCGCCTACTGTGCGGAGCGCACACATGCCATGAACTATCAGCAGGTGGTTGAGAAATGCTGCGGGACAACGCTTGGCGTCATCTGTCAGGTGTGCGTTGTCATCTACTGCTTTGGAGCTTGCGTAACGTTCTTTGTTGTCATTGGAGATCAGCTCGACTCCAGTAAGTGAGACAGTAGGCACTCTGTACTCAGGTCTACATCACCTTCAGAAGTATTTCATTTCCATTCCATTATCTCATGTGCACAAACACTGTCGTAAACTGGCACCAAAATCGGGAGTACATGAGATTGCTTGCAAACATGGAAGACGGTGTGCATTGAATATCTGCAGTGTATGTGTAGTATGCTTTTTAGTTTTTACTCACCCTATCACGCATACTGCACAGTGATGACATATGACTGTTTCAAACTTTGTCTGGTGCTGCTCAATGAAATCCGATCAAGCGAGTGAACGCTACGCTGGGTGGTGTACAGCCCTAGGCCTGCAAACACTGGGATGTGAAATAGTGCATGGCGCAAACTTGATTCACACTATCGGATTTCATTGACCGGCACTGTACTTGTGATTTATACAGTTCTGTGTTTGGGTGCACTGCATTCTACTGGAGTGCGTTTTGTTATGTGCGCGGGCTGTGTGGAACTGATTCTGTAACTTGTGCTTGTGTTCTTATTCTCATTCGCATTGGCATTGCCGTTCTGCGCGTCCTCTCTTGCAGTGCTGAGATTCGCAGCAGGTACTCTTGACCACTGGTACCTAGACCGGCGATTTACCACTTCGGTCGTATCCATCGTCGTGGCTATCCTCTCCTTCTTCAGAAATATCAGCTATCTCAGCAAGCCAAGGTAGGATGCAGTACAAACTATGCGAGCATTTAATCAACATGTAGGCTATTTGATTTTTGATTCTTTTTCCAGTGATGGGTGTAGCCCAGAGGGAGAGAGAGAGAGAGAGAGAGTGTGTGTGTGTGTGTGTGTGTGTGTGTGTGTGTGTGTGTGTGTGTGTGTGTGTGTGTGTGTGTGTGTGTGTGTGTGTGTGTGTGTGTGTGTGTGTGTGTGTGTTGTGAAGATGTATGGATATGTAGGCTATTTGTTCGCATGTTTTTTTTTGCAAATTCTGTTTTCCCAGTTTTATCTGTGTCGAGGTTCAAACCAGAGCCAATGCACACTGAACTGAGCTGCAGCATTAACATTTAAAGTAATCATCTTGATATGTGGCAGTTTCATATAATTGGATACCTGAATTATGTCTGCATGCTCTCGTAGCTTCTTGTTGTGCCTATAGGTTTGTTTTGTGTTCAATCTCTCTTCTTGCTTTTTCCTTGTGTTCAGCTCTGCTGGTGTATTTGCAATGGTCTATCTGGTCATCGTTGTGGTAGTGCGCTACGGAACAAAGACGTACCCACCTCTGGAAACGCCTATCCACTTTGAGTGAGTGCGCTGTGTGCTGTCTGCCGTTGACACTGGTCACATTCAGTAGCTATTGCTGCAGAATGTTCTTGGCCATTGAACCCCCTGCTGGACCCAATGTACACGTACCTTTTGAGAAGATTGTCATTCTTTCTGCAGGGTTTTTCAACACTACCTTCTACTACCATCTTCACTATGATGGGTGGGCACTCCAAGCAACAGATTCTGGCCCTCCAACTGAAATATCCCCATTATTCAATGCTCGCTTTTTATAGTGTTTGCGCCTGTGTCTGTGTGCGCGCATGCACATGTGTGTGTGTGTGTGTGTGTGTGTGTGTGTGTGTGTGTGTGTGTGTATGTCTGTGTGTGTGTGTTTGTGTATGTGTGTGCCTGTCTTTCTGTCTGTCTGTCTACTTGCAGGCACAGTTGGTCTGTAGCATTTGGAGCAATACCAGTTATATGCTTTGGATTTCAGGTAAGTGGCGTATGTGCACAACTCCAGAATATGAGTGCTTCGAAGTAGAAACGGGCCCTGTATATGTTTTGCTGCAGGCTGGGGCATCCATGCAGGCAGGGCTGCTTTTTGTTTTCTTGTTTTTGTAGGCTCACGTGGCCTATTCTGCGTACGATTCTTAAATTGGCTGTTTGTATGTGGCGTCAAGAGAACTGTGTTTGTGTATTGTCTTTGTTGTCGCATGCAGTGCCATGTCTCCGCTGTTCCAGTGTACCATGCGCTGTCGGGACGCTCTGTCAGGCGCTTTGCCGGTGTAGTCGCCCTAGCAATGGGGCTCAATACGACCCTGTACACCCTGGCAGGAGCTTTCGGAGCGATGTCGTTCGGCGATGGTACTTGCAGTGACATCCTGGTCAATTACACGCCGACTGACAAGGCAATCACGGCTGCTCGGGTTGCACTCGCATTCAATATTGTCACGTCGTATCCTATTCTGCATTACTGTGGCAGGTTAGTTCAGCCAGTGAACGTACGGTTGTCAATGTTTCATTGCACAGAGCTACAAAATTGCTAGTTTCATTATACTGCAAAATCAAGTCACTTTCCAGGTGCTTTTCAGCCCATTCTCATCCGACTATGCATTGTAAATGAAGCCAATAAGAAGTCAAAAACAGTCCAGCTTGTACAGTGTAGAAAGGCACATGTAAACGTCTAGCCACATTTTTTGTTTGTGTTTTATATGCGACGTATGTCGCCTGCTTGAACATGCTCCATATGGGAGATATTACTTGGTAAAGGGATCCTCCACCTTCACTAGATCCAGTCTGTGGAAGTTCCTTTGTTATGTCTTCAACACCTATACTTAGTTGCTAGTCTATGCTCCAACTTTCTGGCAGAATATTTCCCTTGGGGTGACTGCTAGTAATGTGCTTCCACTCTTGGGTTGCATGCGTGTGTGTCTGTGTGTATGTTTGCAGGGCTGCTTTCTTCGATCTCTATGTCCGCATTCGGAGCCTTCCCCCCGTTGCTGATGAGCTTGCACCCGAGCCACCGGCTGAGCGTGTTCGCCGCTACGTGGCATCGTCCATCTGGCTAGTGACGTCCCTGCTCATCGCGATCAATGTCTCTGACGTCAAGAAGGTCATTGAGCCGTTTGGAGGCCTGGCCGCCTGCTTCATCTTCGCCTTTCCTGGTGAGTGTTGCCGCTATGGCTCGAGGATGATTTTGATGCCATGTTTTTTGTGACAAGGTTTCAGAGGCAGGACACCAGAGTCCTGGTGGTGACAGTCGAACAACTTTTTCCCGCTTGAGTCTTTCCCTCGAACCAGTGAATGTTTCAGAGGCACGGCACGGATTTCAGTCTTCCATTGTCTGGTGTTTTGCTCACTGCATGCATATTCGTTACAGGCTTGGGTCAGGTACAGCTGCTAGCTGAGGGTAGTATTTCTGTGGCTGATGAGGTAGCCCTTGTGGATTGCACGTGTTCACTATGACTACATGGACGTGCATTGTTGTTGCTCGGTAGAATCTCTACAAATCTGCTATAATACGGTGATTGCCGGTATCATAGCCTTCTGCTGTGATACATGCCCGAAATGCTTTCCCTGAACGTGTGCTGTATGTGTGCTGTATGTGTTGTGTTTGTACTCAGGTCTGTGCTTGTTCAATGTGGCGTTTGACCTAACCGGTATCAGTGCACGTCGCCGCCAGATGACGATTGCCACTGGCGTGCTCTTCTTGCTCATCGGCATGTTCATCTTCGGCGAGAACCTGACTCTCGTAGCCATGCGAGATAGCGGTGCCATTGGTAGCGGGCCACCATGTGCTTCACTCAAATCCAACCCTCTCTCCCCCTCTCATCACCATGCTGATAATTACACGTGGGCGTGATGGACCTACTCCCGGTAGTAGCAATCTTTTTTCTTCCATTCTCATGTGACTCGACTATACTTTATATTGTACATGACGTCATGGTATTTTCATGCTAGGTATACATGTCGCCATACCTGAAATACATTCGTTGATTGTATGAGCAGCCTCTAGTGGCAAATGTTGGTGATTTGCCTGCTAGGAGTTGCCTTGATTTTATCCAAACTCTGTTTCTTCTCTTTGATAGACATGTTGCTACATTGTACCATCCTTCTATTTATTCTAGTTTCTGTATTTTTTTAATTGATCTGCATTGTCGGCTACAACTACCTGCTGGTCAGGCTATAGTCTGTCCATTCCATGCAAATAATAATTTTGAGAACTCATCAGTCTAACTGAGTCTCAGGTGAACCATGATTATTTTTGGAGGAGTCATTGACCCACTTGCTCTGATATTTTTAAACACATTCTGTTGCCTTCTGTTTCTGGAGGAGGGTCTGTGATCGCAAGGCAAGTCGAGTACTGCAGCATGGATATTAAACACGTTTTCTTACCCGAAACGTTGTCACCACTACCAAGTACCAGTCCCTCGTACATGATTGATTGTAGGGTATCAGGATGGCGACTGTATACATGTATGGCATATACTGAGAGTACATTGTGCTACTAGTACATCATTATAGTACTCTCATCATGTAGTAGACCCATACGTTCAGGCTATGAATATGATGCCTGAAAATGTGTGTGTTTGCATGGCCATGGGCATGTGGCTGATTGATCAGGTTGATTGTGGTGCATGCATGTTTGGCAGTTCAGTGTCATTCAGCAGTACATGTACTAAATAGTAAATCAAGTGGGTGTCACTAAAATACAAGAGCGCCCACTCACATGACCAGTGCAGTAACAATACATGTACCAGACAAACAGTGCTCTTGCCATGCCAGGTCGGCAACTGGTAAAAGTACCAAACCTACTTGCAGATCCATGGATCAATCGCTTGGTGCAGGGTACTTTAGGCTGACAATTACATGTCACATATGAAGAGCAATGACTTTGCACACTGATAAAGGGAGCACATCTAGTTCAAAGTACTAAAGGCGTTCTAGCCTAGTTTCTATAGGTGTACCCATTAACAATTCATGGTAGCAACAGGTCAGTCACTACTGACATGTATACCATGACTCCGGCCCCATTACATTCCTGGGTTTTTCGAACACCACCTCAGATTGGTTCATGCACTTCGAAGCAGGGAATAATCACTAACCAGTGGTCCTTCCCTCATGGACATACACATAGTCAAATAACGCTACAAAAGAACTACAAATGAAGGGACCATGACATTGTGTAGAGTTTCGGTGAGAAAAGAGGCAGGTGGCCCAATAACACCAAGAAAGAACCACACACTGACAGATGGGAATGCTAGTGAACACAAGTCTTGCGGAATTGTAAAACTTACGGTAATAAAAGCAGGAACGCCATACGCACACCACTGAACAGAGATGGTAAAGTAACTCAGCCCAATAGGGCGGGGGAAAATACTAGAATTTCATATCAAACAAGAAGAGGTGTTGCACGTGCCCACAGGGTAAAACACACACACACACATACGTGCGTTATAGAAAATTCCTATAAAAAATAAATATGAATAGAACAATAATATAGCACGTAGCTCTAGGATAGTGTCTAAGTGTTAATGAAGAAACAGCACGCATACTAGTACACTTCAACGCCAGGAGGACATCACATCAAGGTAGATCAGACCAATATGAAATGAAATGCACACCACAGAAGCACCACGCGCTAACAAGCACGTAGGGAAGTGAGCACAAGAATAAAACACGGTCTACCGGCTGCTCTTATGGCAAATAAATATCTGGACAGAATGAGATGAAGACTTTTCATACATGGAGCACCAGGCTTTCAGGGCCGCTACATCCTGCATAGCGGCTGATGAAAACAACAACAACAACAAGCACCAGTCGGTGCAAGGGAACACGCACAATCAAGTCCGCACACTAAGGCGCTTGACCGTCTCATAGCTGACAATGATCACCGCACCGGACGGCACTGCCGACATGATGCGAGCTACAACGCCACGTGCCAACCACCGAGGACCTTCCTCTCGCCAGAGTGTCTGCACGGTCTTCCAACCGGAGCGGGATCCCTCCACCTGCAGCCGTGTGCGTACCACGTCCAGAGGGTTAGTCGTGACCGATGCAATACACCCCGCCATTCCGCCGCAGACCGCGTGAATCAACGGCAAAGGCACAGCACTCAGCATGGCAGAGGTCTTCGAATACGAGTACAGCATTCCATAGCTGCCCCACCAAATACCACTACTTGGCACATAGGTCAGTAAGGATGCGAAATATCCTCGGTACAGGCCACGGACGCCTTCTGTTTGGTACAAATTCATGGCGATCTGGCGCGCACTTTGAACGCCGGCTGTACCCGACTTCGCGCCTGCACCAGCACCGCTGGCACGAGCTGACTCGGATGAAGTGCGTTTGTTGGAATTCACGGGTGATGATGGCGGAGCATCAGGCACAGTTGGCCCCCGAGCTGGTTCCGTGTGCAAGAGCCGACGTTGTTCTACAGTAGCACCAGCGCCCGTGGGCTTAGTTGAGCCGCTGCCTGAAGTTGAACGAACATGCTTCGCTGACGTGGAAGCTGCTGTGCTATTGGAAGCGGTTCCAACCTGCCCTTGTATCATCTGAAGCTGAGTTACTACATCAATAGGCACAATAAGGCATTGACTGATGGTGGAAGCAGCTGCACCAGCAATGAAGTTGTTCCAACCATGGCTGAAACCAAACCCGGTGGCATGCTTTCGACTGATTTCGTACGTTGTGATATATACTTGGCCAACACCCAGGCCCATGCAGTTCGTGGGAAATCCTTTGTACAGCGCCCTAAACCCTTCTAGCTTCACGACCTTGCTGAATGCATCGAACGTGCCCTTGTAAGGGCAATTTTGAACTTGAAGTCTGGTCTTGATCAGCATAGGTGGGTACAACAGAGCACGCACTGCAAGTGAAAACGTTGGACCGATAACGTACAGCTTACGTTTGTCCAGATCGTCCCAGCCGATTACTTGTTGTCCATTATCCATGCCAGCCATCAAACAAGACCAATAGAAGTACTAGTATAACTACGAAGAGAAAGAGTTGTGTTTCGCAACATCACCTTGTTCCAAAAGAAGAAAACGAACAGCGTTAGCTGCACTCCATTACTGCATCATCTATGATTATTATCTCTTCACTCCCACTTGCTCTACTCACATCTCAGGAAGCAGATCACAAAGCAAAAGGCGACAACGACAAACTTGAATGCAATCAAGAGCATCAAATGTTGGGAGAATTCAGAAAATTGCTGGAACACTCGCCCACCTGCACTATCGAGTATCGTAGATCTATACACCACTGTACCCTCCCACATGCACACTGCACTGTTCTGCTGAGCGGGTGAGTGTGACTGTGTATGGCCTGACATGTGCACAGTCATCGACTCATCGATCATGCATCGTCGACTTGCATGCTGTGCACTGTGTAGTATGTGTGCAACCACTGACATACCGGTGATTGTGTAACCAGTAGAGACTCTACCTGTACGAGCATGAGACTGTGTAGATATCTACCCATATCTACGCAGTCTACCTGCTACTACTGTACTAGCAAGAGTTCATAACCCCCAGGGGTTATGAACTCTTGCTACTAGGCTGCTACGCGTGGATCTACGCGGCAGTCTGTGCATGATTTCACAACTGACACAAGATCAGGACTTTCAGGAGTAGTAACATTATAATATACCCGGCCTGACATGCCTGTAGTTGACTGACGTCATTACTAACTTTCAAAAGTCAAAGCTTTTTGTTTTTCGACAAGATCTGTCACCTCAGCCTCAGGCTCCATGATCAATACAAGTAAAGCAACAAAACACAACCTTCAACTAACAAGTAACAGTTAGTTCAAGGTGAAACAGGTGGACACTCACAATCGATCGGTGAGTAGAGCTAGAGTACTACTACTACTACGAATATGATACCCCCTGCCCTGAAAGTTGTGTCAACCTCTTTCTAAGTTTTGTTTTACCTGGTATTTTCTCTTTTCTTCAATTACAAATAGGACCTACTCAGCGCGTATTGTCACAGATGAGATTATTTTGCCACACCTCGGAGCGAGACTGTCTCTCCAGTACACACGTTCTTAGTTTCTCCTGCATGCACTGAGTCTGCTGCCACAGTTGTTGACAGCGTCACGAGGACAAGCAATGGCTCTACGAAGTCTTTTCGCGGTGCGAAATGCCTGCAGCAGCCTGCGAAGGAACTGTCAGCAAACGGCCTGCTATGGCACGCTGAAAGGCAGAACAGTTCGGATTGGTTGCGCCTCTGGTTTCTGGGGAGATACGCCTCAAGCAGGTGATCTACCACTCTACTAGTTTATACTAGTTTATAATGACTTATCACTCCCTTAGTATTGACTCACATAGATTTTTGCCATACCTAAGCAGTCAAATATTCCTGCATATTTCACTCCTTAGGGCTATATTGACCTCTTATATTTGACTCCTTAGGGGTTGCGCAGTTGAACGGTGCCTAGTGCAGCAGTTTCACTGCATGAGTAGGCCGTGGTGCAACGGTTGTGCAATCATAAAACCGGGATTCATGAGGTTATCGTTCTGGAATTTGAAATACGGACTGTTTGTCGTGATAAATCTAATATTGACTTCGTACTTGGTCAGTATAGGAAATAAAAACCTCGTAAAAGACCTCGGCTTCGCCTCGGTCTTTTACTCGGCTTTTATTTCCTATATTGACCTCGTACTCAGTCAATATTAGATACATATTTTGATGTTTCCAATATTATGATGCGTGCGTAACTACCATAAATTGTAGATGTACATTCTAAACATTTAAATACACGTCTACTTCAAGTACATGTATACACGTGTCATACGGGGCCTCCTTGAAAACACGATTTTAGGGAAACAGTTGCTAGTGACTACTCTTTCAGAAGTTATAACTTGCGGAGCGATGATAAAACCTGCCGGCGATACAACTGATTTGTTCTTCTAGGGGGTTGTCCATAAAGTTTAAAAAAAATGAAAATCCTGGTGATGGCTGATTTTAGGCCGTACCAATTTTGGATTCAAGACACTCCGTCCCGAGCAATGTCCTCAATGTCCTCTATGCCATGGCTAAAACTGTTTTCTGCCACAGTATGAGACAAGCACTTCAAGTAGACTTTAAAGGCTTGCGTGTCCAGCACAAACAAACTAATCTTAGCCTGGTCTCCACCACATAGCTGATTGAAGTCGCTCACACCCCCTCCACACACACACACACACTGTGTGAGTATAGTCTTTACAGTATCTATTTCTCTCTCTCTCTCTCTCTCTCTCTCTCTCTCTCTCTCTCTCTCTCTCTCTCTCTCTCTCTCTCTCTCTCTCTCTCTCTCTCTCTCTCTCTCTCTCTCTCTCTCTCTCTCTCTCTCTCTCTCTCTCTCTCTCTCTCTCTCTCTCTCTCTCTCTCTCTCTCTCTCTCTCTCTCTCTCTCTCTCTCTCTCTCTCTCTCTCTCTCTCTCTCTCTCTCTCTCTCTCTCTCTCTCTCTCTCTCTCTCTCTCTCTCTCTCTCTCTCTCTCTCTCTCTCTCTCTCTCTCTCTCTCTCTCTCTCTCTCTCTCTCTCTCTCTCTCTCTCTCTGTGCATGCGTGCGTGCACATGTGTATGTGGTGTGTGTATCTGTATGTGTGCGTGTGTGTGTGTGTGTGTGTGTGTGTGTGTGTGTGTGCATGCCTTTTGTGAATGGCAGCTCCGCAGCTAGTTCGCCAAGGCAAGATTGATTATCTTGTGCTGGACTATCTCTCAGAAATCACTATGTCTCTCATGGCAATGGCAAAGAAGAAGAAACCCGTATGTACAAGTTTAAAGTTTAATTGTGAATGTGCTGGGTGTGTTGAGATGAACTGGTTCCATCGTTTAATTCTCTAAACAAAAGCAGGCTAACCCCGGTGGTGATCACCCCTTCCCAAAGATCATTCATGACTGGCCCGTAGCCAGTCGACGAAAGCAGGCTTTTAGCCTATGGCGGTATGTCAATGGCATGGTATTAGAATCTTTCCCTTGCTGTTTGGTTCTCATGCTAAATGTTTTGCGTGAACACAATAGTTTTAAAGTAACTGCGCAAAAGGCAGAACGCAGGTTAATAGAGTTTGTCACAGCTCCAAGTTTCTTGCCAAATCCAATCATCAGGCTCAAGCTCGATTGCATTTAGCAAGAGGTTTACTAGTATAGAGTTTGTCAAAGCTCCAAGTTTCTTGCCAAATCCAATCATCAGGCTCAAGCTCGATTGCATTTAGCAAGAGGTTTACTAGTATAGAGTTTGTCACAGCTCCAAGTTTCTTGCCAAATCCAATCATCAGGCTCAAGCTCGATTGCATTTAGCAAGAGGTTTACTAGTATAGAGTTTGTCACAGCTCCAAGTTTCTTGCCAAATCCAATCATCAGGCTCAAGCTCGATTGCATTTAGCAAGAGGTTTACTAGTATAGAGTTTGTCAAAGCTCCAAGTTTCTTGCCAAATCCAATCATCAGGCTCAAGCTCGATTGCATTTAGCAAGAGGTTTACTAGTATAGAGTTTGTCACAGCTCCAAGTTTCTTGCCAAATCCAATCATCAGGCTCAAGCTCGATTGCATTTAGCAAGAGGTTTACTAGTATAGAGTTTGTCACAGCTCCAAGTTTCTTGCCAAATCCAATCATCAGGCTCAAGCTCGATTGCATTTAGCAAGAGGTTTACTAGTGTAGAGTTTGTCACAGCCCCAAGTTTCTTGCTAAATCCAATCATCGGGCGACTCGATTGCATTTAGCAAGAAACTCAGAGCTGCAACAAACTCAATAAACCTCTGTTGTGCCTTTTTGTGTAGCAGTGCTCCAGTTAGTCATGTTGAGTCCTCTCCGCTGGCGAAAGGGAACCTCTTCATAAGTCAACTACAGTCAACTTCGCTTATAACGACACTCGGCGGGGCATCAGAAAAGTGTCCTTATTCGCGAAGTGTCGTTATATCCGAAGTCTCATTGTATGTGTCACAGTTGGATGGGACTTTGCTCTGGGCATGAAAATTATGTCGTTATTCGCGAATTGTCGTTATATCCGAAGTCGTTATTGGCGAAGTTGACTGTACTTGTAGCAATGTTTCACACATGGCATATGTCTGCACATGAAGCAATGGTATTGGCTGACTGGTTCATGGCATGCGCAGTCCTGCAGTCCTTGCAGCTGCCTACATGCAGAAAGGTTATTTTGTTTGCATACCATGCATATAGTAGTGGTGTACTGTGGAGCCTACAGTCACAGATAGGCAGTAATCACTTTGAGGACTGCCCAGCCTATGCTCCTGTGAAGTGACTACCTTTGCACAGTCCTGCAGGTGCCTGCATGCGGAAATGAATCAGTTTGCAAAACTTTGCATTCATGTCTGGCATTGTCTGCTTTGGCAAGTGATTTGCACTCGACTAGTCCTGCAGGCACGCTTGGCTTGCGAGGGGAGTCGTTAGTTTCTTACCTCGATGTCTGCGTTTGCTTGTTGTTCCCACCCTGGGCTGGCCAGGAGTTTGGGTATGCACCAGACTTTCTTGCGGCCGTCATCAAGCCATTGCAACATACGATAAAGGAGAAAGGTAAAGGGGTAGGTTTGGCGTGCCCACGTGCTTGTGCTATGGGGTGATTGTTCATGTATTGGCGTGCCCACATGCTTGTGCTATGTTGTCACTGTTGATGATTCGTGGTTACTGGTTGGTTCGCTCAAGAGTTACAGCCACTCGCAGGAGTGTATTTTCAGCCGTTGTTGTATTTGTATGTGCTCCATGTTCCTCTATCATTCCATGCGTGCACTACTGCGTTATGCATGAACTTAGCTACAGTTAACACACACCTGGCGCAGGGCCGCTGTGTATGATGTCACACTGTGTCGCGTGGCACTGTGGATTTTTGTTGTCCAAACCCCAGAACAGGTCATCAGGCTGGTCCACACTCTGGGGACTGCAGGATTCATTTGATTTGATTTGTTTGTTTGTCCTCTTAGTGATGTACATGTGACGGTGTATTGTTTGCTGCAGGTATTCGCGTTGTTGCCAATGCTGGCGGGGTCAATCCAGCAGCTTGTGTGTCAGCCATACAGGCTGTGCTCAAGGAGTCAAATGTAGACCTGCGTGTTGGTGCCGTTTCCGGCGACGATCTAATGGACGTGAGTACGACCACTGCATGTATGGCCACTGCATGTATGACCACCACAATCTACATGTTTGGCCACTGCATGTATAGCCACTGTGTGTATGGCTGTTCCGTATTCCCCGGAACCAGGTTGCATCAGTACCGTAACTGTAATACCGACTGCGGATACTTTCCGAACCCACGTTCAACAATGGAGACAAACTTTACTGGTTCGAGTTCTCACTCTCAAAACACCAACTCCATCTTGGATTATCTTGGATGCACTAAGAATATCAGACATAAGACACTGCTAAACTGAGAAGTAACTTAGAATTGGATTCAACCACTGTTCACCATGAACTCTTTCCAAGACAAGGAGAATAAAAAACAACAACAAAACCCAAAGCTGCTAGAGCACTGCACGCGGAAAAACTCTGCACGTGAGATGCCATGCAGCGGGAAAAAAGGCCATACATCTGAAGCATACGTCTCGTGCACAGGAGCACAAGCCCGGGAAAAACAGGGTTGATGATCACATGATTTCACGCATGAGTGATACCATACATGACCTACAGAACTAGAGAATGATTGTAGCGAAAACAGACACATAAATCATACATGAACGGTACCAGGCGTCACCACGACTCCGACATACCTCCCTCGCGAACGAATCATAGCCTAATCAATGTATGCGAGTGAGACAAACTAATATTCCGAGTGATGTTCTAACTCCTGGGGAACTGCTATTGGATGTCACACCTAACATCATTGTGTCAAATGCATGCCGTAATGTCACTAGACATATCCGGGAACGAGGATACGTCTTATCTAGCCGGTTGGATGTATTGTTCACTCTGATTGTGGATTGCTTGCTAACACTACAGTAACAGCCTTACTACCTCATCGCCACTGCCGTACCACCATCCACTATTCGCTCAGCTGGTGACATTGTCCACATTGACGTTGGCTGTGGCTGGGCAGTTCTCGGAGTCGAGCTCCACCTCACCCTCTGTTACCTCCAGTGGGATGAGGCGATGAACTGATCGTCGATACTCCTTGCCTTTGATCTTCACGTTGACTGCACGGACGACACCATCTTGCCCTGGGTATGTGGCTGTGACGCGTCCCAGAGGCCATGTCGCGCGCGGTGTACTCTCATCCATGACAAGGAAGACCTCACCCTCCTCGACGTCTTTTGCCTTCCTGTACCGCTTGGACCGGACGTTTAGCGCCGGGACCATCTCGCGCAGCCACCTCTTCCAAACTTGCCTTGTCAGCACTTGTAGAAACAGCCAGCGCCGTCTGGGGTGGACCTTCTCCAGATCCTCTGTCTCCGCCTCGAGGTGTGTGACTGCAGCCGCGCGTCCCATCAGGAAGTGGTTTGGCGTCAACGCTTCTGGATCGTCGCTGTCAGATGATACGGTGGTAAGGGGACGGGAATTCAGCATTGCCTCGGCATGTACCAGCGCTGTTGAGAACTCCTCATCCGTGAGGCCAGCCTGGTGCAGCACATGCCAGAGTGCGCGTTTGACTGCCTTGACCATCGTTTCTACTACACCACCGAAGTGGGGCGTTCTCGGTGGGTTGAAATGCCACTGTACATCTCGCAGCTCGGAGTGGGTGGTTAGGCGGTCTTGATCTATCAGGCAGGTGGCTTCGCGCAGCTGTCGCTCTGCGGCGGTGAAGTTCGATCCGTTGTCTGTCACTATGAACTCCGGGGTTCCACGCCTCTTGCAGAATCGGGTCATCGCCATCAGGAACCCATCTGTGTCGAGCGAGTTGACGGGCTCCAGATGTACCGCTCTGGTCAGCAGGCACGAGAATACGCAGATATACCGCTTCTGCTGCACCTTGCCTCGTCCCTGGCGCGTCAGAAATGGACCGGCAAAGTCGATGGTCACCTTGCTGAAGGCGATAAGTGGTGACGAGGTCCGGTAATCCGGCAACCCTCCCATGATTGGAGTCAAAGCCTTCGCGTAGCCTCGTCGGCACTTGACGCACCTGTGGCGATGCTGTCGCACAACGGACTTCCCGTTTATCAGCCAGTACCGGTTGCTGAGGTTGGCCAGCAGGTGGTTGGGACCCATGGAGTGCTGACATCTCTCGTCTTCGTCATCCACGATCAGGGCTGTGACCCGATGTTTCGGTGGCAGGATGATGGGGTGTCTTGTCGTCAGCGGCAGATGGTGTGCAGTGGTGAGTCTCCCACCGACCGTCAGTACGGTTGTGCCATGTACCTCCTCCAGCTGGGGTCGCAGCTTCAGCAATGGCTCGTTGGGATCGGGTTCCTTGCCGGACTCCAGTCGCTTGATGACCTTGCCATACACCTCCTCCTGGGCCTTCCGTACCCAGAACACGTCGGCCGCCTGGACCTCTGCAGGGGAGAGAGCGGGTACTGTCATACCGTTCACTGACTTGGCAGATCCAAACTTGCGTCGTGGAGCGGGTGTTGGTCTGTTGGCGCCAGCCTCCCTCGGTATACGGACGTTACGTACAAAGCGCTGACACCAAGCGGTGATACGGATGAGCCGCGTCCAAGACGAGAAGTTGGAGGGGTCAAGCTGGTACTTCCCTGGAACCGCGCTGAACGACATAGCGGATCGCTTCTTCAGCTCTGCCGGCAGACTACTGGGAACCTCGATCGGCCGCGCCGGGAATGCACTCTCGGGTCCGCGTAGGAACTTCGGGCCATGCCACCAGTCGTCATCGGATGCGAGCTGGGCTGCAGATAGCCCCCGGGTGCCCTTGTCCGCAGGGTTGATTGATGTCGGAACGTGCCTCCACTGACGGGGGTCCGACAGTGCTTGGATCTTGCTGACCCTGTTGCCCACCTCGACTTTGAAACGGCGGCTGTGTGAGCGAAGCCAGTACAGGACATTGAGGCTATCACTCCAGTACGTGATGTCGGACGAGCTGATGCCGAGGGCTTGGGCGACTTGTTCGGCTACCTCGGCGCCGAGTACAGCTGCTCGTAGCTCAAGCATGGGGATCGACTGTCGGTGTAGCGGGGCTGGTTTAGCCTTGGCCATGGCCAGCGTGGACCAAGCCATGCCGTCTGGATAACTCGCCCGTACGTAGACTGCTGTTGCGACTGCTGCGTCGGATGCGTCAACGAACACATGGAGGCTGAGCTCTGCATCGGCCGGATCCCGGTCTGGGTCCTTGAATGACCTGGTGGCTCTCACGGCTTCTAGCTTGGGCAGTTCCTCGAAGAACTTCCTCCAACCCTTAGCCTCGGGCTCTGCGAACTCCTCATCCCATTCCAGCCCGCGGAGGCAGGCGTCCTGGAACATGACCTTTGCTCGGATGGTGTATGGTGACACTTGCCCTCGTGGGTCAAACAGAGAGGCCATCTTGCTCAGGACAGTGCGCTTGGTGTACTGCGTGATGACGGGCACCTGGTACTTGAACGTGAAATGGTCGCTCTCAGCATCCCAGGCGACTCCTAGCGTCTTCACGCAGGGTAGCGTGGGGTGTTGGTGGTCAGCTACCGAGATCAGCGTGTTCGGCGCCCGGTCGGCTTCTGGCACAGACTTCATGACCTCTGCACTGTTCGACATCCACTTCCGTAGATGGAAGCCTCCCTTGGCCAGTGTCTCCTGGACGTCAGTACGTAGGCCCACCGCCGCCTCTGGCGTTGGCGCAGACGCAAGTAGGTCGTCCACATAGAGGTTGTCCATGATGATGGTACGTGTGGGTGACCCTTCGGCGGCATAGGTGGCCGCGACAGCCTGGACGGCCTTTCCGGCGAGGTATGGCGACGCCTTACACCCGAAGCACACTCGCTGGAATTCGAACACCTTGGCTCTTCCGTCGACCTCCCACAGGAATCGGTGATACCTGCGGTCTCTCTCAGCCAGCTCCACTTGCAGGAACATCTCGCTGATGTCTGCCATCAGAGCCACAGGTTCCTTACAGAACTTGAGTAGGCAACTCACGATGTTGTTCTGTAGTGCTGGGCCGGCGTGCATCTCCTCGTTGATCGAGACGTCGTTCTTCTTGGCCGCCGCGTCAAACACTATCCGCACCTTGGTGGTGGTGCGGTCCTCCTTGATCACGGGAAAGTGGGGTAGGAACCACTGGTCATCCGCATCGTTGTGCACTTCCGTCTCGGGTACCTCGCGGATATACCCCTTCGTCAGGTACTGTTGGATGACACCGGCGTACGCTGCTGCGAGCTCAGGTCGTTTGTACAGGGACCGTTGGAGACTCGCCAGTCGTTGTTGGGCCATCGGTCTGTTCGAGGTCACGTGAGGCTTTCTGTCTTCAGCGACCCACGGGATGCCAATGGTGACACGGTTGTTGTTGAGGCTCATGGTGTCGTCAGTCACCTTCTCGGCTTCACGCTCAGCTCGAGACATGGTCTCTCCCGTGGCTGTAGAGCGGATGGTGTCTAAATTGAACATGCTACGCACCATGGCATTCAGCTCCAGGGTTGGCTCGGTGGGCTCTGCGGTCGCGGCATGTGTGGCGTGGTGGACGGTTGGTTCCGCCGATGTTCCGCTCCCCTCCAGGAGACCGAAACAAATCCATCCGAGTGGTGTCTTTCTTGCGATTGGACCATGGCCAGGCCCACGGCGTTCGGCTAGCGAGGCGTGCAACTGTGGAACGTCAAGGCCCAGTAGGATGTCCACAGTTGGGTTAGCTGGGGTATCCGGATTCATCCCGCGCAGGTGTGGCCAGCTTGCCTTCTGCGCATCCCAGTCCACACGTTGCATGTCGGCGGTTATCTGAGGGAGAACGACCGCCTGCACTGGGGTTGTTGCAGTTGAGTCTTTGTGACAGATCTCTATGGGGGCGATCCTGGACTCGTGCTGCAGACAGCTGCCACCGAGAACAGTCGTGCGCACGGACGTGGTCTCACCGGGTGGGACATTCAGCTTCTCAGCCATGTCGGTGGTGATGAAGCTGCAGGTGGACCCAGAATCCAGCATGATCGTTGCTTGTAGCTCGACGTCTCCACATCTCACTGTCCCCACAGTCGTCATCAGAGCTGGTAGGTTTGTTGGGGTTTCGGCATGCAGGGCGCTCGCTGCAGAAGCCATATTCGCGGTGTTGGTGCGAGCGGCGTTTTGTTGGCTACCGCTGCTAGGCCTGTCAGAGTCGTCCCTGTGGAGCAGCGTGTTGTGCTTGCCTTTGCACTTCCTGCAGTGGCTCGAGGTGCAATTTCTGGCGAAGTGGCCGTCCTGTAGACAGTTCACACACAGGCCCAAGAGGCGCACCAGCTCTGATCGCTTCTGGACGGGTAGCTGTTGGAACTCCTTGCACTGTGCCATTGCGTGCTCTTCCAGGCACTTCCTGCAGCTCCTCTTCTTCCTTGGGGAGTCAGAGGTGGCGTCGCGGGTAGTGCCCGCTGTTACTGCGGCCAGGGTCGTTGACCTTCTAGGCGGTGGGGTTGGCTGAACGGCGGCCGTCTTGGTGGAGGTTGGTGTCACCAGAGAGGCGGCTTCCGCTCGTTCGGCCAACCACTCAGACAAGACACCAAGGTCTAGTTCATCCGTACTAAGGCCCTTGGCCTTCACATACTCGCCCCACTGCATTCGATGGGGGAGCGACAGCTTGGCCACCAGCTCATCACGGAGCGCAGGGTTGTTCCTGTGGCCATGGCTCTTTAGCAGCTTCATAGTGAGGACGATGTTCCTCACAGATGTGGCCAAGGAGTGCAGGGCGTCCGTGTCCTCTGCTCTGGCTGGCTTCAGCGCCTTGGCCTGCTCGATTAGCTGTTTCACTACCAATTCTGGCCGGCCGAAACGACGCTCCAGTGTCCGGATGGCCTCGTCTACATTGTCTGGCACGGCCAGGAGCAGCTGTACTGCCTCCTGGGCTGGTCCCTTCAGGCAGGTCTGCAGGCGCTGGACGTTCTCTGCGTTTGAGTATGCGCATTGCTCCGTGCTGCTTCGGTACAGCGCGAGGAACGCGGGCCATTCCTCCGGCTTGCCAGAGAAGATTGGCAGCTTGCTGCTGGTGGATGACTGGCGTGCAGCCAGCTGTCTGATGCCAGCGTTACTATTCTCGACCTGGGAGGTCTGCCCTTGACGTAGGGCCTGGGTGATTGCACCTACAAACTCACTGGCCAGGTCTGCCATCTGACGCGCAGGATTGCTGTTAACTGTGCTGCCAGTAATAGTACCGGTAGTAGAGGTACAACCACTCATGTACGCGTCTTCGACCTCACTCGCATTACTTGCTGCGCCCCTACCACCGGTACACGTCTCCGTAGCTCTGGCACTAGAGTATCCACGTGGCCCTGACTCTGAGTCGGAGTCTGAGACTGTCATGTAGCCGCGTGCACGTGCACTCGTGTCGCGACGGTGCTTTCGTGGTGCGGGTACTGGCATGGATGCGTGTGGGTGACTGGGTGACGTAGTGCTCGGGATACCGCTATGCCTTGTGCTTGCGGTCGACTCGCAGCGCTCACGTCTCTCCTCGTGGACCTGTGCAGGCTGTGGTTGCACTACCGGTAAGCCTTGTACTTCTCTAACAGGCTCAGTGACACTACCAGACTTCGGCGCTCGTCGTTGTCTGGCACGGCTTTCTCGTAGGGCATACTCCGCTGCGAATAGCCGCTGCCTCAGCTCTGTCATCGCTCGGGCCAGCTCATCGTTGCGTTCTCGTTCTGCCGCAAGATCCCTGGCTTGCTTGTCGCACGCTAGCTCGACCATTGCCCTACTCGCCTCAGCTTCCTCTAGGTTCGTCTGCAGTGCGTAAGCGTCTCGCTGGCGCCGCTTCTCGACGATCGCGGATTCATCGATCATCGTCTGAAGCTGTAGTAGTTGCTGCTGATACGCAACTTCCTTGGCCCGGAACTCACGTTCTACACTGCGTAGACTACTGCCAGTACTGGATCTCGGCAGTTGCTGACGCTCTACGAATGTCCTATCCCAGGGCTCGGGCCCTATTCCCCGCTGAATGGACTCGCTTAGATAGTCAGCGTAAGTGGCATCGGCTACAACAGCAGTGGTGTGTTCAATCGTTCTTTGAAGTACCTGTGTCTGTGCCTGTGCCTGCGGTTCTGGTTGATGAAACGGAGGTTCATTCAGGTGTTCATGAATCGGATCTTGGACTACGCATGGCGGTGCCTGGTAGTGGTAGCTGTGTGCCGGAGTGAATGCACGGACATGCTGGACATCTGAGTCCCTCTCTACATGTGCGTCTATCACTACGTCTACCGGTGGTGGTGTGCTAGCCTGACAGGCCTCTGCATGGTGTAGACCTACTGCTGATTCTGACGTTACGTGCGTAGATCTATGGGAAGCCTCTCCTTCTGATGGCTGAGATTCTACACCGACTACCGTGTGTGACTCTGTTGGTGTTGGAACAGCAACTGAACTAGGTGCAACTACATCATCGTCAAAGTCGATAAGCGACGTATCTTGGGCTGCAACCGCCTCATGCAACTCACCCGCTTCCTGGAAGACTTCTTCTCGCATCGCAGGAGAGCTGGAGGTCTCAACGGACCTTTCCCTCAACGTCCCTTCGGCTTCCGACATCGCCTGCTCCGTCAACCGGGCGATTTCCAGCCGCTTTTCCGCCACAGCCTGTTCCGCTTGTAACACGGCTATCCTGGCGCTGAGCCTGTCTGCTGAATTCGCGGTGACGGCTTGGCTCCTACTTTCGGTCATCCTGTCATCTCCACCACTAGCACCGGCGTAGGACTGGGTGTCTGTGTACCCGAGTTTTGGTGCTGCGACGCCTTTCGTCGTGCGCTGACTCCGCCTGAGCTTCTCCATCGTGGACGTGATCCGGCTCGAAGGACCACTATGTTCCGTATTCCCCGGAACCAGGTTGCATCAGTACCGTAACTGTAATACCGACTGCGGATACTTTCCGAACCCACGTTCAACAATGGAGACAAACTTTACTGGTTCGAGTTCTCACTCTCAAAACACCAACTCCATCTTGGATTATCTTGGATGCACTAAGAATATCAGACATAAGACACTGCTAAACTGAGAAGTAACTTAGAATTGGATTCAACCACTGTTCACCATGAACTCTTTCCAAGACAAGGAGAATAAAAAACAACAACAAAACCCAAAGCTGCTAGAGCACTGCACGCGGAAAAACTCTGCACGTGAGATGCCGTGCAGCGGGAAAAAAGGCCATACATCTGAAGCATACGTCTCGTGCACAGGAGCACAAGCCCGGGAAAAACAGGGTTGATGATCACATGATTTCACGCATGAGTGATACCATACATGACCTACAGAACTAGAGAATGATTGTAGCGAAAACAGACACATAAATCATACATGAACGGTACCAGGCGTCACCACGACTCCGACAATGGCCACTGCATGTATGGCCACTGCATGTACTTCCACTGTATGTATGGCCACTGCATGTGCTTCCCCTGCAATACATGTACACGTATGGCCACTGCATATACTTCCACTGCAATACATGTATGGCCACTGTATGTATGGCCACTGCGCGTATATGTAGCTGGATGTGTGGTCTATATGGGTGTATAGTACGTGTACAAGTGCTGCTCAATGAAATCCGATCCGGCGAGTGAATGCTGCGCTGGGCACTGCGCCGCCGTGGACCTGCAAACATTGGGATTGTTTACTGGTGCGGGGCGCAAGCGCAAGCTTGAGTGACGCGATAGGATTTCATTGAGCAGCACTGTGCATGTATGATGATGGGAGTATAGCACAAGGCGGAGTGCTATGCTGTCATCATCATGCCTGGTAAACTGTCAAGCAAGAACAGCACCATGTGCCATACATGTATATGGTACTGTTCTTGCTTGTGTGTGTTTGGCATAGGCTTACTGTGAGTTTTGCAGTGCTGGTTATGTATCTGCTGAATCCTCTTTCAATACTGCACAATGTCTTTGGTCTTATTTAGTTCAACTTTTGTTACCCAACGCACTGTGTGCCAGGAGCCACTCACAGCATATGCATGCTATGTGTGTGTGTGTGTGTAGGGGGGGGGGGGGGGGGGGGTATTCACAGAGCTCATTGAAGTGAGTGTGTTGTCCCCCTGATTGCAACTACGGCCACTGTGCATAGTCGCACAGTTTGTGTATAGATCCCATGTGTGCAGCCGTGAGATACACAGACTGGCAAAAACATGTCGTGGCATCTCGTTTTGCTGTTGTTGTTCTGTTTCCCCTTGCTCAGCAACAAGAGTATCTACGGGGCCAGGACATCAAGGATCTGTACAATGGGGAGCCTTTACCCGAGTCCTTACAGAGCATGAACGCATACCTGGGGTGAGACAGCAGTGCTTGTTTACCCGAGTCCTTACAGAGCATGAACGCATACCTGGGGTGAGACAGCAGTGCTTGTTTACCCGAGTCCTTACAGAGCATGAACGCATACCTGGGGTGAGACAGCAGTGCTTGTTTACCCGAGTCCTTACAGAGCATGAACGCATACCTGGGGTGAGACAGCAGTGCTTGTTTACCCGAGTCCTTACAGAGCATGAACGCATACCTGGGGTGAGACAGCAGTGCTTGTTTACCCGAGTCCTTACAGAGCATGAACGCATACCTGGGGTGAGACAGCAGTGCTTGTTTTAAGTTGTTTACCCGAGTCCTTACAGAGCATGAACGCATACCTGGGGTGAGACAGCAGTGCTTGTTTACCCGAGTCCTTACAGAGCATGAACGCATACCTGGGGTGAGACAGCAGTGCTTGTTTACCCGAGTCCTTACAGAGCATGAACGCATACCTGGGGTGAGACAGCAGTGCTTGTTTACCCGAGTCCTTACAGAGCATGAACGCATACCTGGGGTGAGACAGCAGTGCTTGTTTACCCGAGTCCTTACAGAGCATGAACGCATACCTGGGGTGAGACAGCAGTGCTTGTTTACCCGAGTCCTTACAGAGCATGAACGCATACCTGGGGTGAGACAGCAGCGCTTGGCGGATACAAACGTAATGCAATTGTCTACTGTGCACACCGCATTTTGGACATGAAGTTGAGAAAGCAGAGAGCCTTGTGACAAGGGTGTCCACCGAGTCCGAAGTTCAGGCAAATAGTGTGGTATCAGAATGTCGTGAGGGAACCCAATCATTTCACAATGTAAATTTCTTCGATGGAGAGCCCAGGAATATTATTTGATGAAAAAAGACCAACTGCACAACGTATGCATAGCTTGTGGGCTACTGGTCCTTTTTCATTATTTTCCCTCAATGTGTTTCTTTTTTATTGTGGCAACATGTAGGTCCCATATTCTCTGACTGGACATTCTTGTAGTGTTAGTTTTTGGGTGTCTTTCTCCACACCCATGCATGCTTGTCCATCCACTTATCTGCCTTGTCCCTGTGTGTGTGTGCACACGCGTGTGTGTTTGTATGTGTTCGCGTTTGTTTGTGTGTGTGTGTGTGTGTGTGTGTCTGCGTGTGTGTGTTTGTGTGTGTGTGTGTGTGTGTGTGTGTGTGTGTGTGTGTGTGTGTGTGTGTATGCGTGTGTGTGTGTGTGCGCGCGCGCGTGTGCGTGTGTGTGTGTATGTGCATGTTTTTTAATGTGACTACACGCAGAGCCCATGGTATAGCCACTGTGCTGGGCCAGGGAGCTGACATCGTTGTAACCGGACGCTGTGTGGACAGTGCACTTGCCCTGGGTCCACTCATGCATGAGGTAAGCGCAGTCAGAGTGGCATTGCAATGAACGCTAGAAACTGCCTGCTAGCTGTGCGTTGTGCGGCGTGCCTTGTGTGCACGTTCGTAGCTGATTGTTCATGCGTGCATTTGCAACAGTGCTTGGTGTGAGGGAGCTATGCGGCCGGAAAATGTAACACCCCGATGTAGTGGAACAGGTGTGTGTGTGTGTGTGTGTGTGTGTGTGTGTGTGTGTGTGTTAATGAACTTAATGCACAGAGCTTTTGGGCAATTGTTATCTGCCGCACTGAGCTTCACTATCAGCCATTAAAGTGCCTTTCTGTCTTAGTATTTCTTAAACTTTTTTTGTGAACTCCACCACTCCATGACGCGCTCTCAGCCGACTCACTCTACTTGCACAGCGACACCATAATTAAAAGCATATCGTTGAGACTATGATATTGTCAGACCTTCCGGACAGCTGTTTTGCTCCAACAGAGCTTGCCAGTGAAGGTAGTACAAGTCATGTAGAAAATGAATTCAAGGTACAGGAATGGTGTTATACTACAGTTGCGCTTGGTAAAACCTGCTGACCCAAAGTGCAAAGCTGGTGCCCTGGACCAGTTCCGTTTACATCACTGTATTTGTACATGTCAACGTCCAGCAGCATTCACACCACTTCCAGGGCGTCAAGGGCCGTGCAAGTTTAGGGTGCCAAATATGCACTTTGGGTCAGATTTTACAGAGTGCAAGTATAGTAGTATAGGGCAAAAAACTGGTGCATTTTCACTCTTGCCACATTGAAGTGTGACATGCCCTAGGATGCTGAAGTGTTATAGGTTTTAACAGTTACTGTCAGTTTGCACCTGAGGCTGAGGTGATAGTGCAAGCGCTCATTGCTGGGACATGACATGCAGTGCAATGCAGTACAGCCAACCTGTCCACACTCCTTTGGTGTGTGTGTGTCTGTATGTGTGCCTGTGTGTGTGTGTGTGTGTCTGTGTGTGTGTGTGTCTGTGTGTGTGTGTGTGTGTGTGCGTGTGTGTGTGTGTGTCTGTGTGTCTGTGTAGCAAATTTAGCACCTCTGTCATGATGCATTGGCGGTAATAAGTTAGTATTGCCTTCCCGCACCTTTTCCAGCGCTGCATGTCATGTCCCAGCAATGCGTGCTTGCATGATCACATCTGTTATAACCGCTGTCACCTTTAACGCTTCAGCATCCCAGGGCATGCCACACTTCTCGAAATTGCACCAGTTTTTGTCCTATATAACATCTTTCCTGTGCCTCAAGTCAACTTTCTACTTCCTCCACTGATGAGCTCTGTTCGAGGAAAACAGCTGTCTAAGAAAGTCCGAAAATATCATTGTCTCCGCGGAATTGTCCTCACCATGGTGGTGTTGTGCAAGCAGAGTGGGTTGGCTGAGAGTGCGTCGTGGAATGATTCTGATCACTGACAGTTACTTAGTGGCCCAGATTGTCACTAATTCCTTTTCTTATCTGTGTTAATAATAATTATTACAATACTTCCGAATTCAGTACAACTTGGCTCTGGGAGTGATAATTGTACAGAAATCGTGTCAAGTGTTAGTTTCCGGAGGAGGTATCATCTTTGTTTATATGCCCTGTTCTTTGCTTTGTTTTGGTCTTGTTAGTTTGGCTGGCAACGCAACGACTACAATCGACTTGCAGCGGGAAGGTGAGATAAGCACCGCTGTCAACGCTGTCTCAGGCCGTGGTGCATTGCCTTACGGTCCTTTCCTGTTTGTTTTTTGTTTCGTTTTAAATAGTAAAAGTCTTCACTGTGCTCGAGCTTAGCAAGAAAATGTTGGGCTAGTTGATATTGACCTCTATGTGACTTGGACAGCTTCATAAAAGCTAGCTGTCACATTGTTAGCATATGCAGTACTGTGTGTGCAGTGTGCAAGGCATTGTCTCTGGGTGAGTATGAGTATGAGACTGCTGGAGGTGCATTGTTAGCATATGCAGTACTGTGTGTGTGCAGTGAGCAAGGCATTGTCTCGGGGTGAGTATGAGACTGCTGGAGGTGCATTGTTAGCATATGCAGTACTGTGTGTGCAGTGAGCAAGGCATTGTCTCTGGGTGAGTATGAGTATGAGACTGCTGGAGGTGCATTGTTAGCATATGCAGTACTGTGTGTGCAGTGAGCAAGGCATTGTCTCGGGGTGAGTATGAGACTGCTGGAGGTGCATTGTTAGCATATGCAGTACTGTGTGTGTGCAGTGAGCAAGGCATTGTCTCGGGGTGAGTATGAGACTGCTGGAGGTGCATTGTTAGCATATGCAGTACTGTGTGTGCAGTGAGCAAGGCATTGTCTCGGGGTGAGTATGAGTATGAGACTGCTGGAGGTGCATTGTTAGCATATGCAGTACTGTGTGTGCAGTGAGCAAGGCATTGTCTCGGGGTGAGTATGAGACTGCTGGAGGTGCATTGTTAGCATATGCAGTACTGTGTGTGTGCAGTGAGCAAGGCATTGTCTCGGGGTGAGTATGAGACTGCTGGAGGTGCATTGTTAGCATATGCAGTACTGTGTGTGCAGTGAGCAAGGCATTGTCTCGGGGTGAGTATGAGTATGAGACTGCTGGAGGTGCATTGTTTACTTTTAGGTCAGTTGCGCTGTGTGAAATCCGACCCAAAGTGCAAAACTGGCGCCCTGGATCAGCTCCAGGTGCAACTGTATTCGTACATGTGTACGTCCAGCCGCATTCGTATCACTTCCAGGGCGTCAAGGGCTGTGCAAATTGCGCGAAATATGCACTTTGGGTCGGATTTCACCGAGCGCAAAGTGCATATTTCAGGAGTGTTCAGGAGGGTAAGCAGCAGCTCTTGGCCTGTATTCATTATTCAATAGCACTGACTCAAGTCAAAACTCCTCATCCCATTCCCTCTCCTCCCGACCTCGTTCACCACACCGGTAACATGGCTCCAAGTGATAGTCGATGATGGTCCCTCCATGCTGCCGTTTCGATCATACAGATCTCACCGGTGAATTGATTTTTCATGTAGTTAAAATAGACCCTTTGCACAATACGGGTCACATGACTTGAGATGGGGAAACCTCATTGATTTCTGTGTAAAGCATCAGTTGCTGAGCATGGTGAAACACTGTTGATTTACATTTTGAGATGGAGGAGACACATTTGGTTCACTGATCCATGTGAAGCAAGTGGAATATTCTTACTGAAGAAGTTGAAACGAGATTGGACACACCTGTTGGCTCTTTCCACACATAGATCCGAACGCTTGCAATCTTCTGTGTGTTGACACCATCTTTCAGTGGCATTGAAGCCTGAGAACCTTTGAATGTCGGAATATGTAGTATGAGCCCGGCTTTCACGAGCAGGTCCTGGATTTCGAATTCCCGGTCTGCCATCACAAGCTGGCCTCTTGGGACAGACTCCAGCAACTCTAGTATGCCACAATCAATCACCAGCTGACGGTCACTGATGGAGCCTGCGTACAGCTGGCTGATGTAGGTGAATGCTCCATTTGGGGAGACACCAACAAGACACTTCAGTACGGTGTGTGATTTGTATGCCCAGTACAACTCTGACTGAAGGGCATTAGTTGACGGCTTCTTGCAGCGAAGCTCAGTTGCGTCAATGACGAAGAAGGTATCTGGATACACATGTTATGGAACGCCTCTGGCATTGACTTTTCAACATCCTCCCAGCTTGGCCAAATCGGCAAAAGACCAAGTCTTGGGTACATGACGTTGAACCACATCACAAGGAGGCGTTGACATTGTGGAAATGTCAGTGCCGAACATGTATGCCAGCCCTTCTTCAAGGCGCCCTAAACGCTAGCGCATGAGGGTGAGGTGGAGTTGGTCTTCATAGCTAAGTGTCGAGTGACGTCCACCATCAGCTACTCTCATCCTACCCTTGACTTCAGTTTTCACTGAGTTAGCACTGGCGCTGTTGCTCTTGCTGACGTCCAAGATTTTCCGCAAGGAGTTCCCTGTGTGAATAGATATGCCAGTCAGGAACTTCAACTCGGCATGGTTACTTTTTACGTTGTCAAAACAGAAAAGCTGCCACGTCAGAAGAGCCACTACTTGTTTCAAGGCCTCAACTACTTCCTTTTCTAGCTCCGCAGACCCCTTCACACAGCTTTCTAATGAAAGCCTCAACTTAATCATGCTTGTTTTCTCCACGCATCGAAGCGTTGGAGGCTGCGTCTTTGTGCAGTTTCCACATCAGCAGCTCGAGCAGCGCCAGCAAGCAGTCGATCTTCCTTGGAGGGCCTCGCAGATTTAGGTGCTGGGTATAGGCTGAAACTCTTTGCCGAAAGCTGCCTCCTGGACTTGGTTCATGAGCTGACCAAGGCAGTCGTACGACTTCTCTACATACACTTTCTTTGCAACGCAATCACCCTTGTGGCGCGACAAGCACAACACACTGTGGACGATGTCACAGCAAACTGCGGGCCCTCTTCTCGCCGGATAGCCTGGATTCAAGAGTGTTGAATGTCAGCATCGCCAGGGTACGTATGGAAAGACTAGTGGGGTTTCTTAGAACGATGGTTGCTGCAACAAGGAACGCAACAAGGGTCCTCGGAAGACCTTTTTCTGGCCTTTTGGAACTACTTCCTTCAGAAATGAAAAACTTCAAGTGACACAAGGCTGGGAAGTAACCCATAAGTTTTCCGGGGGGGAGGACATAGAGCACAGTGAAAACGTGAGAGTTGTATAGAGTCGCAGGATAGGTCACGGCACACAACGGCTCGGGCGATGTGTGCCTCACAACACTGGGGGAAGCCCCCTGGGTAGAAATCACGGGAACCTCAGCATGTGCAGATATATTATGATTTTTCAAATTTTCCCGGGATGCTTTCACCAAAAATGGAGAAGAGGACGAAAGGTATCACTCTCGTCCACCGTTGATATACGGCGAAGAATAGCGTACCTGAAAATTGATTTTAAAAAGAAAGGATAAAGAAAGAAGCCTCCTTTTGGGTGGGTGGGTGTTCAATTCTTCAGCCTTGCAAGCTGTTGAATGGTATAATCCCAGCACAAGTTGCTATGGCTTTTGCTGTAGCATCACTATTATCGCCCTCCGGACTCCGGCGGTGGACCTCAAAGGTGTGTGTTGTGTGCATGCGCATGTGTACGTACATGTATGCATGCGTGGACTCGTGTGTGTGTGGGTGTGGGTGTTTGTGTTTGGGTGTGGGTGTGGGTGTGTGGGTGTTTGCATGATGTGTATGTGTATTGGTGTACCCTGTAGCCTGGCTGGTCATCTAATCGAGTGTGGTGCTCAGTCAACTGGTGGCATTATGACAGACTGGAAACAGACGGTGGATGGCTGGTATGTACTGATTCTGTACTGAAGTTAGAATACATGTACCACTGTACTCTTCTGCACACTTCAACACACGTCTACACCTGACTGGTATCCGTGTATGCAATACATCACAGTACCACATGTACTTGCAACATTCCTTGTTCCCGTAATGTATCACTCGACCACCCGCGATTGCTGCATCTTCTTTTGCCCTTTGTTGAAGTTTTTTCCCGGCTGCATGAACATCATGCCTTCATGTCTCAGTCACCACTGTTGTTTCTGTATCAGTACCCTTGCTCGTATTGAGTGCATGTATTGTCAAGTAATTGTTCTTACTTATTGGGTATAGGTGAAGTGTCAGTGACTACAATCATGTCTATTGTTGTTGTCGTTGTTGCTTGACAAACACATCGTGATGGAGGGCAGGCAGGAAGTCCTCAGAATTTCTGTGTATTAGGTTTCCTGTCCGTCTGGCCTGACAAGATACCACCAAGTGGGCTCATGGATTGAAATTCTTTTGTCCAATGCACTGTGTTTGCTTTTGTCGTGTGTGTGTGTGTGTGTATGCGTGTTTATGTGCGTTTTTCAGGTCCAATATGGGATTTCCTGTTGTGGAATGTGCAGAGGACGGTCTCTTTGTGCTGACCAAACCAGACGATACAGGTGGTGTCGTGTCGCGCAACTCTGTCGGCGAACAGGTCAGTCATGGACGACCACAAACCAGTTGTTTCAATCCATAAGCTTTGCTTGGGCCATCCCACTCCTAAAGATAAATCCGGAAAATCCATCGTCAACGCTCTCCAATCAGATAAGACCATGCTCTACAGTACTGTACACACAACGAAGGCAAGGCTGTAGCTAGAGAGCTATTGAACATTACCCTCAAAAACAGGCTTTAGTAGCTCTTCACGCAGAAATAAGCAACCGAGTACCTAGTTGGTCGTCGCAAAAGTTGTTGTCGCTCCTGAAAACGAACTTCATTTCGGACACTGACCCCCCCCCCCCCCGAAATGAATGCAGCTTATACTGTGCTGGACGACACAAATCGCATGTATGTGCATGTACATGTACAGTGTTGGTCGACTTGGAATTTTCGTTCCCGCCCCTCCCACCTAAACGAACACTGTTCTTTTCAGGGATTACGAAAAAGGATGTGCGACGACCCCTAAAGAGCTACCCCAGATTATCAAGAACTTCAACCCTGAACAAAGAGCAATACAGCTGCAACCCATCGGCGGGCTTGAACCAGAGAACCCAAAGACTGTACTGATGAGCTTAGGGGATTTTGATTATGATATGAAGAGACCAGAGCCCAAATTCAAGATAGAAGATAGAGTGCAAATAGCCAAACAGAGAGACGGGTATACCCGCTCAGCTCCTGAGCACCATGAAGACAAGAGAAGGGCTGCAGTATCCTCCAAACTTCCTTTGGCACAGGGCTAATTCCGGACAGCTTCCGCAGGACGAGTTTGATCCTCTCCTATGGAGTGAGGGGATGAGTTTCGTCATCCGGGCCTGTTAGTAGGGATGGTAATGATGGTAAATTTTGGGGGTAGGGAGGGGAGGAGGTTGGGGGGGGGGGGGGGGGGCTGGTCGATGACCAGGTCCAGCAGAGCTGGGAGCCATGCCTGGCCAGTCCAGAGCTGAGCCACCAGGCCAATGGAGGGAACCACTTTTCCTGCACAACTCTGAGACAAGACACTTGCCGGTCAGGCAGGCGGGTGGAAACGCATAGCCATGCTGGTGTGACCAATTGCAACTGACGGCAGTGGAGTGCAGAGTATGCTGGTCCGGACGCCAGCTGACTCGGCAGTGAGCTGAGCATTCATCCGAGAAGCAGACCGATCCAGCTTGCGTTCACAGTATGGGATGATCTCACCACTCCTCACTCTGCATCCCATATTAGTCTAACTCTGGCTTCATCGGCAGTCCTTTCGATGTACGCAACCAAAATCAACTTGAAAACATCCCAGCAGGGAGCCCTAGGCTACACATATTTAGTTCTGTTTGCGTTCTTCCTGTAAGCAGTTGTTCAAGTCACTTGAGAACTGAATCAGAAATGACTGAGTTCCCCAATACGTGTGGTCCGCGCCCGTCTGCATGCATTTGTCAAGTAATGTGCAAATTGTGGGTAAAGGCGTGCTGTTGTACATTTTAAATGCACTTGTCATCTTCCTCAGTCATTGTAAAAATTGCGGATGCTCAAAACGGTGGGGCTGTACCATTTGTAAGTATCCGCTGTGTCTCGGGCATCTTCATTTCCTCCTTCGTGCTCGGGGTTGTTGGCCAACATGTGTGAGTTGCAGTTTGCGACTGGTGTATCCTCACCGTCACAAACATTGCAATCTTCACTCGACACATCAATAGCGGGTATTGCTGGCTGTGGGTTGGTGGTGCTCTCCTTTTGGGTGTGCCGCCGCTTAGCATTTGGAGCATCATCTTGCTTGCACCGTCATAACATTCGAATGGCAGTATGTTCTATGTGTGCTTCAAGTCTTGAAAACTCAACCAGGAATGACTGAGTTCCCCAGTACGTGTGGTCCGAGCCCGTCTGCATGCACTTGTCAAGTAATATGCAACTTGCACTTGCAGTGGTTGACTCTTGTTGTTGGTGAACGACTAGAACTTCGTCCTCGGCAAGGCCTGCATCCAAAATTCTGCAAGATTCAATGGTGCTGAGTCGATATCATCCATTATCAACACAGACTTCTTTCAACAGCTGAAAAGCTGTTATCGCCAACCCCGAATCCACTTCAAGGAGCGCTCTCTGTCCAAATAAAATTCTTCTTTGCACCCTAGAACATCTTCGGCCACAGCAAGAGGGCCACCACTTATTGGCATCCACATACTCTGCGTTGAACTTGGGTTTGATGCCATCATCCAGCTTCTCTGCAGATATTAACTTAAAGGCTAGGTAGATTGAAATAATGTCCATTTGAATAAGTTCGTAATCAGTGCGTTCTACAAACTTCTTTAATCCTTTCCAACCGGGACTGCCGCTGGTTGATATGAGGTGGGTAAAGGCTTACTGTTGTGCATTTTTAATGCACTTGTCATCTTCCGGAGTCATTGTAAAATTGTGGATGCTCAAAACGGTTTGGTTGTACCATTTGTGATCATCCGCTGTGTCTCTGACATCTTCATTTCCTCCTTCGTGCTCGGGGTTGTTGGCCAACATGTGTGAGTTGCAGTTTGCGACTGGTGTATCCTCACCGTCACAAACATTGCAATCTTCACTCGACACATCAATAGCAGGTACTACTAGCTGTGGGTTGGTTGTGCTCTCCTTTTGGGTGCGCCACCACTTAGCATTCGGAGCATAATCTTGCTTGCTCGCACCGTCATAGCATTCAAATGGCAGTATTTTATGCTGTGTTCCTTCAGCCTGGCCCTCCTTGTTGTAAGTTTAGCCAGCTGCTATACCGTGAAACCTGTCTATGGCGACCACTAACCCTCCGTCCTCATTTGCAGTCCCCGTGCCCAGGGGGTCTCCTTGGCCAGGGTAATACTAATGCATTGTACAGGTACTGCGATGCCCACTTGATAGGGACGATCAATTCCAGTGTGGGGAGTCTACCGCAGCTCAAGAAAGGAGTGGCACACTCTTGGTTATTTACTCTTGGGTCGCGTTTGAATTGTCCTTTATATCAACTGAAGAAATTAGTTGAAATATCCCAATAGAATGGTTGCTTTTTAGCCTCGCCGTTTTGTATGGAATCGTCCTAGGAATGAGATTTTGTAAGCGTACCTTCACGTGCAGCTGGGCTTCCCTTGCCGTATGTGCATGCTTTGTCATTGCTTCTACGGGAAATGCATCCAAAAGGTAGTGTTCGCGGGGAATATTCCAAGCTCTTCTAAACTAATCCACCCCTGACCTTGGATGAGGCTGCGGAATTTCGAGGAGACTTTCGTTTTCGCAAGAGGCCAATAAGCCACCTCTTCAGAAAAATCGAAACTCCTGGAAAAGTCTAGAGTGACAATTCGAATGTACAATTTAGGGTAGTTGAAGAAGTCTGAAGAAAACCAAGCAAATGGCTGGGAAAGATGTGTCCTTCGATAGCTCAGTTGGTAGAGCGGAAGACTGTAGTTGCTTTCGTTAGCAGTAATCTTTAGGTCGCTGGTTCGAATCCGGCTCGAAGGATTTTTTCTGCAAATTTTGATTTTTTTTAGGTCATGTAATTGGGGGCTTCTGCTCTTGTGGCAATTAGTAGATTTTCATATGCTGGTATGTATTGTTGCTTGCTTTTACTCTTCTCTCCTTTTCCACAGCTGGTGTACGAAATCGGTGATCCACGTAACTACTATTTGCCAGATGTGACGTGCGACTTCTCCAATGTGCAGCTTACGGAGCTGGCAGGTAGCTGCATAAAGTAGTGTGTGCACGCGTGTGTGTGTTTACATGTCTTTTTCTGTTTGTGTGTTGAGCTGTGCGTGTTGGGGAGGGTGATGTGTACTAGTACCGTAGACTACTGCCTTGATTTACAACATGGACAATTGTATGGCCGAATGCAACTGAAAAGGTCAGAATTATGTAGAAAAACTAGGGGTGAAACTGTTATACCGAATATTTGACTACTCTCGGTTCATTTGAAAAATGATCGTACTCGGAATGGATCTGAGAGTACTCGTTCGTGCATTGTATATGCATGTACCACAGAAATCAGCGGTTTCAGAGCAGCAAGAAGTAAATTTTGATATGCAGACTGCGGTGAACATCAGTACAGGAGCAGAGGGAACCCAAATGCCCCACCAATCAATATGCTCTATAGAAAATGACTGCTAATCTGTTCAATCAGGGCTTGTATCATGTGAGTTGCAGGCTTTTTGCTTGTGATTCGTAGGAGATGAAGAATACTCAATCAGAATAGAATACTAAATGAAGAAATAATTTCAGAATGAATTGCAGTGTAACAGCAGCACCGTTAGCTGTGGTATTACCTCCTGATCTTTTGAATACTGTCCAGAGCCCAACTCGGTCTTGGTGGAAGGCGCACAGGGAAAAGCACCGACGGATTCACTCAAAGTACGTATTTTCACGTGCGTGTGTTTGTGCGTGCATGATCACTACCTACACCCGGCCGGCAGGTTTGCATTGCTAAACTTTTTGTGATGACCCAGCAGACTGATGCCAATCCTTTGAGCCACCTAACCAATGTTTATGCACACATTGTCTTCCAAAGAGTGCTTGCTTGCAGCGCAACAAGTCTTTGCGAAGGCGTGGCCTATCCCTTTTAAATTAACACAGCTCTTCCTGAACCTTCAGCCTGCTTGTTGACGACATTGAAGTGTTACGACTTTGTTACAGTGTCTTCCACTGTATAATTTGTCTGTCATACAGATCTACAGTCCATTTCGAAACTATAGACGCGTAGGGTTTTTGAAATATTTCAAATTTGGCTGGAACTTTTTGAGAATAGTTTTCGGAATATTGCTCAGGTCCGCTCCACAATTACTCTCATATACTGTATAACACCTTTATTTCGGTGTAATTTAAATTTCGGTAACTTCGGTACTGATCCTGGATCACCTAATTTAACATTACACCTAAATTTTCCGAAATACAGTCGTCCCTCTCTAATCCGGCACCTTTTGCTACGGCATTTTCTGCTGGATTAACGAGGGTGCTGGATTAAGAAATCCTGCCCTTTGACCCGGCCCTACCCAATTACATGCATGTATCATACGTCAAAACGCAGGGTTTTTCCGTGTCGACCCCAGTATTAGGTGCACGGCTTTATATTCTCAACTTTTCTCCAGGAATATACACAGTGATAAAGTAAAACAGAGAACATGTTCACATGTATACGTACTCTTGCACACACAAGCACAGTCGATTTACGACTAGTAGTAGTAGTAGTAGTAGTAGTAGTAGTAGTAGTAGTAGTAGTAGTAGTAGTAGTAGTAGTAGTAGTAGTAGTAGAATTTATTATTTTACTAGGGAACTCCCAACAGGCGTTGCCTTTTTACTGGGAACCCTAGGACTGCCGGATTATGAAATCAAACTACGTGCAGTTTGAGCGATTCGTTTCAAAAAGTCACTGCCGGAGGCGGAATTCAAGTGCCGGATTAAGATGTAGGAATTGAACGAAAAAAATTGGTTTCGTCAGAAAGTGCGCCGGTTGGCAAGGGTTCCGGATAAACAAGTGCCGGATTAGAGAGGGACGACTGTACCAAAATATGTAAAAATCATGAAAATCACTGTCAAATTAAAAAAATCAACTTGTATACTGGTATACCGGTAGTACATTGTACATACATAACATCAAGAGTACATAAACCCTGGGTCATGTACTCTTGATAACATGTACCGGTATACATTTGTGGAGCCTTTTGGCCTTGGCGGAGATATTAGTGCAAGAGCGTTTTTTTTTTTTTTTTTTTGGTCCATGCATACCGAATTTATCCTTACACCGAAAGGTCAGGGGTTGGCTTTTACCGAAATTTTACAACACCGAAAATAAGGTGATATACAGTAGTTTCTAAACGATTGGATAACAGACGCCCAATTTGGAAAAAATTATGCACAAAGTGATCACAGATTTTATGTGATATAGATGCTGGCATAACGGTTTTTGCCTAGGTACACGTCTATAGTTTTGAAATGGACTGTAAGGTAAGCGATTGCATTCTGTATAGGTGCATGTTTCACGTTGTGGCTGTATTCGGCAATTCACAACATCCCATTTTGAATTTCTGACTGTTTCTGACTTCTTTTTTCTGTGCAGGTAAGTGCAACATACATGGATGGGTATCGAGCAACGGTTGTAAGCCCTGTGATAGGGCCACGCGCCGCCGAGAAAGTCCATATGATCTCTACACATCAACTTGAACGGTTCGTCTCTGCTCTGTCTCTGCTGGGCTTGAACTTGAACTTTGAAGTACATGTACTGTGTTTTGCCGGTTTGAATACGACCTTTCAGGAGCTAAAAATAGGTAGTCGACGCACCGCTGAGGTTTAGTAAACTAGGAAATCGAGGCCCAAGCAGCGAGGGGGGGGGGGGGGGGTCGACTTGTTACCCGTAAAATACGGTACATGTGCAACGCTTGCTTGAATGTACTTGAAGTACAAAAATTATTATTTGTCTTTCTTGGACATATCCAGATGGGCGAGGGAGATCCCCAGTAGCCTAATCGGTGGGGCACTGTCCTGGAAAGCCAGGGGTGCTGGGTTCGAATCCCGCTCGTGGATCCTTCTTTTTGAACACATGGGAAGTGGTTGCCAATGGAGCTGGTTGACCACCGTGCTTATAATTATAACCCCTGTGCAGAAGCCATGTTCCATCCCTGTGGCCAGTGACAGTAATACTGCCCACTGCTGATACACTGTGTTAGTTCTGTCATGTAGTTGTGTGATGGCCGGTTCTGTTTGATGTCTCACAGGGCACGGAAAGTCTTCAAGAAGCTGAAAATGGACGACTTCAGCCACGTTCACGTTCAGGTTGGTAAGCTGAAGCAAAGACTGGGTACTTCTTTAAAAGGTGGCTCATACCCAAATCAGAAAATAAAAACGGCCTGATCGATTTTGTTCAGATTTGCACACCTCTTTATCAGACTATTGCCAGTCCCAAAAATGGAAAGGATTGAAACACTCCATGAGTGGAAATATCATGGCTTTCCGTCTCTCATGGTTCGAGCATCATTATGGACAATTTTTCTTCTTTTTCCATGGTGTTTTTGACTGAAATACCCAATTTCCGAAGGAAAATAAGGCTTTACAGCAGGAATTTGCCCAAATACCCCCTATAGTCTTTTTGTATTTCCTGCTGAGCAAGGGTGTGACTTGACATAGAAGCTGCAAAACAGGAACATCTTCGGACCAATTTTGTTGTTTCATCATGCTCACAATGACTTTTACGCGAAATTCACTGTCTGCGAAAGGCCATGGAAGATTGCAGTGGGTGAGAAGGCTGGAATTTGCTGTGTAAATAAAACTAAAGATTTTTTTCTGACAAGGAGTCTTATCTGCAGGAACTAGAGTGTGATATTGGCCTATGCAAAACTATCTACCAAAGTATCCACTAGACAAAATTTCCGCAAAATCCGAATGTTCTCTTCTTTTTGTGATGCTTTCGTCCAGGCACTTGGTGAACATGAGTCGTACGGGCCCCATGCTGTGAGTACCAGCATACCATGTATGAAACTTCACTCCCATACTCGGATACTCCGGTATCAGACGATACGAACAACAATAAGAAAAGTTTACCAGCATACGTGTAGCAATGGCTTGTAGCTTGTACATGTATTGGACTCGAGACGGACTGGATTCATCTCCCAGTTACAGTGTATAGCACACCTCAAGGGACATAATCATCAGTACTTTTGCTACTGTCTTTATATCTGGGGTGACATGACTGGAAAAGAATATGCATGGTCTATAGAAAAAAAGTTCTCTATATCCAGTGAAAAAGTACTTTATATCGAGTGAAAAGTGCTTTTTATCCAATGAAAACTATGTTTATTCAGGGCACTTTATACTGCAGGTTTCACCGTCCAGTGTGCTGTTCTTGTGTGATAGTCTATGGCCATCTGAGCACCTATTCTTGGAGACTTGTATGCGTGGGCAGGCGGGCCGACATGTAACGTCCACGTTGATGTTGTTTCTGTAATTGATGTCTTAGAAAAGTAAGAGCCGTGAGGTCGTGCAATGGCTGGCCGTACGTCATAAGCAGAAGGAGGCCATCGACATATTGGGCAGGGAGCTAGCAGCAGCCGGAACTGGAATGGGTGAGTTAGTACTTGTGTAGCGGTACATGTACTTGAAGTGTGGTGGCGTTCCTACGGATGCGGAAAACTCGGCCTTTAGCCGAGTCTCACGCGAACCGTGATATGTTTTTTAGTGGTACTTGCAAGTGGGTTCTAAGAGCCTTGGGCTTAGAGGGTAGGAACGTCAGCTGCATCTGCGGCTTGATCCTTGAAAGGTCCTACGGTTGTGAAAAAAACACAAGCTTGACGGGGGTCTTACGTGAACTGTGAATTGTTTTAGAGCTCATCAGCATGTCTCAGGTGTGTGAACCAGCAGTGGCTGCATTGTGGCCTACTTACTGTTTCAGCCTGTGATGTTTATCTACCTGCGGCGTGTACGCTTGCTATTTGTCGAACCCTGAGCATGGATATCAAGCTATGAGCAGGTCTGCGTGAGTGAAATTCACGCTATGAATGAGATAGTGCTGGATGCCAGACACCCTAGTACCACAAGCACTTTTCTGTTCACTCAGACCTAGTAGCAATATTTTGGCTCTCCATTGTCCCAAAGAAGTCGGATGTTTTTCAAACTTCGTTGTGGGACGTGTGGCACCCTACCGGTATCCCGAAAAGAAAAATTCTGGCAAGATATTCGCTGTTGTAGAGAAACCAGAAAGAAATTGGTTATTCCCCATCTCGTACTCCCATACAAAGTCTATCTCTTTGACATCACAGATGATCTGGCCTATTGTGGGCAAGTTGATGATGTCATCATAATGGTCACCAAATTTAGTGATAACTTTAAGCTGTCGTAACTCGGAAATGGCTGCTCCGATCAACCTGGGACCTTCACCACTGGGGTCAGAGCATTATTTGGTACAAGTTGTGAAGTTTTCACTTTAGGGTGAACTAGAGAAATCCCCCTGTAGCTAGCTGTTTAGCTGTAGCTAGGTGTTTGCAGATTGAGCATGCGTTCCTCTTGCAGATATTTCTTTTCATTGTAGTTCTGTCATGTCGTTCATTCCCTTCTTCTTCTTCTTCTGCCTACTCATACTGCTTGTAGCCCCTGGGTGCACAGCACTTGTCGGTGGAAGGCCCAAAGCGTAAGTTTCTGCAATGCAATGCTTGTTCAATATTTCTTTCTTTGGCACCTATATTGTAGGTAGTAACAAGATGCGTGAGAATAATATCAAACCACCAATACCACATTGGCTCATTGTTTGCAGCAGCAGGTCCGCCCAGCATTTAGCTTGCTGGGCATTTACTGCTTGCCATTTAGTCACACTTCCTGCATCTGTCCTTCCATGCCTTCACATCCTCAACAAAAATTTAAAACATTGATTACTGCTTTTATAATAGTTAGGGCGACGTATACAGGGAAATGGCCAAAGAAAAACAGACTGTCACCGCTGGGACTAAAGCTGCATGCACTTCATAGGGACCTTCTGACATTGTGACTACGGTATTCGCTTGCGTAGTCTGTTCAACTCATCATTACCTTTACCAAAAATGAGTCATCATCTAATTCATCTTTCAGGGCTATGGAATCAGGATTGTATGCACCAGATTACCAGGTTGCCAAGCATACTGTGTCTTACTCACTTGTACCAATGCTTCTAGTGTGTTACAGTATAATGGCTTTACGGTTTCATTCTATTTTCCCATGCAGGACTCCAGTCTTCCGCTTGTTCTCCTTTCTCTATCCCAAGTCACGCATTGAAGTAAGTCCACTGCCACCACCGCTGTTCTTGATCAGCATGCTGCATGAGTGGTTGACATTTAGGCCCCGGCGGATAATGCTCGGGAATTAGGCCCATTCTGCTTTTCATTCTGCTCGCAAAACACCCACATTCTGCTCAATTCTGCTCCATGTCAGTGATGACTTAGAGTATTACTTGAACTTCATTATAGATCAATGTAATACAATAGACAAGTTCCTCTTTTCTTGTACAAGTGGTGCGGCAAGAATTTTAAAGCAGAGGAATGCCTTTGGTGTTTTACAGATCTAGAGGTCAGCAAAGTAGGAAATAGACCTGCGAGGTACTAGGTGTGTGACTCCATACACTTGCTGTAGCACAGGTGGTCATTATGCAAAATCATGAGACAGAAAAGATTACAGTCACCTTAGAATGAAATTGGAAAAGATCAGGGCATTGTATGTGTGTTGGGTGGAAGCCAGGGAATGCCCAGGGTTTCATGCATTACACATTCAAAGAAATACATATTGACAAAAGTTACAGGTTGTTGTGTACTGCACATGGAACAAGTCAGTGATTGTAACATGGTTCATACTTTGGGTCTGGATAACGCGGAGTATGGAATATAACAGTTCATACCTGACAGGTTCATATGTTGGGACTGGATAACGCTGAGTATGGAATATAATAGTTCATACCTGGCAGGTGAAACAAGTTCATGCATTGGGACTGGATTATGCCGGGCATGGAAAACTTCACATCAGTTCCCTTGCCGGATAATGGGATTTACCCCATGGCCAGGCGACCCCGATTGTATTGCAGCATAAGTGACGCCTCCAGATGATCTCCCAGTAAACTCGTCTGCTGTGAGTTGAAAGAAGCTTGTACAAGCGAGAACACTCTCTCTGCTGGGGCAGAGGATGGAAGCAATGCAAAGACAATCTTTGCTGCCAGCTGCCATGCTGGAAGGTGGGTTTGCTGTGCCCACCATTTCAAACGCGGGGCATCTTCACTGATCACTGCGTCCACAGCCGCAACAGCGTATGCAGGAAGCTCTTCTGTCAGCTGCGCCATGATTTCATCGGAGTCGAGAGCAGGAACAACACGTAGGGCTGCTACATCGTCCACTTGCAGGTCGAGCCGTCTCGCTATCTGTGGGCAGAGAATGCGCACGGCTTTGAAGAGCTGCACTTCCTTGAACATTGGCGTGTCTTGTTTGTTGAACGTGGTTCTGAAATACTGGACAGCAGGTGCAACACAGGCCTTAGCAAGGGTTAGCAATGCTTGCTTCTCCACTGCGTTCTGCCCAGCAAGCTCTGCAGCGACTGCAGCTGTTTCCTGGTAGTTCTGTAAGGCCATAGCGGTGCAAATCTCTTGCAGGTGACCATAAGCCTGGACGATGAGCTCACCATCACCCTCCAAGAGGTAGGTCTTCTTGACAAGGAGCTTCCCAACGTCAACAGTGATGGCCAACTGCAGACGGAGCACTTTGAGTTGCTCGGGATCATCAAGGATTCTGCGGGCATTGGCAGAAGTGGTTGGGCTGCTTTCCAGGGCGTCCAGGAATGGAATGACGTGCTCAAAGCATCGATGCAGTTGATGAAGCACCTCCCACCAGCTCCACCACCGTGTGCACGAGTATGTCTTGATGCTCTCTTTGGTTAGCGTCTTCCATTGAATTCTGGATGCAGGGCTGTGTGAAAACAGGGACACCCACAGGCGTAGGAAGGAGTCCAGGAGATCTGTGTCAAAATGCCGGCCAATGTTGTCCAGAGAATGAGCCACACAGACGAGATCGGATATGTTCGGGTACACGAAGTCGGTGAGATACCCAACTGCTGCCCTGTTGACCGAAGCGCCACCCCGGATGGTGGAAATCACGCTTGCCGGTGGGTATTGGAGCTCTGTCGAGAGGGTAGCGATGACTTCCCTGGCAAGTTGCTTGCCTGTCATGCTCTTCGCCAGGACATGCACGCGGACGAGGCGCTGGCAGATCTGGAAGTTCTCGTTTACGTAGCGTAGAAGGATTACCAACATTTCGCCTTGGTACGTGCTCCCATCAAATATAATGCTTATGTAAGGCTTCTCCTTCAGCTCATCCTTTAGCGTGGCCTGCTCGTTCTCCAGTATGAATGGTACATATGAGGCGAGATGAGTGGAGTAGGTCAAGCGGTCCGAATCTTCCTCCAGCAGTGGGCGGAGGATGTCTACTTTGGCAAGAGGGATGCCAGCCTTCATCATTGCCGTTGTCGTTTCAATCCTCCGCATTCTTTGCTGAGCTGGCACGGCAGCAGTCAACCCAGTCCCTGCAAGGTCGTGGCGCTTTACGTATGCCTCCCAACTCTGGGCAAGTCGCTGCTGAATACCCTGTTGCCGTTGCCTTTCTTTTCCTGCCTCGTGTTTATCACTTCCGACATGATCCTTCACAATGCTCTTCTTCAGGGCAAGTGTACTCTTGCAGGCTTCGCAGTATAATTTACCGGATGAGACGACGAGCATCTCGTCTGGGAATTCCTCCACTCGCTGGTGTGGGCTAACATTCACTTTTGTGCTGCCGCCTAGCGACACCCGGGTTCTCTTTGCCCCTGAGGCAACCACATCCTTTTTTGCGGACGTCCGTTTCATAGACCTTACACGGGAGATTTCAGCTTCCTCCGCTATGTCCAGGCCTTGCCACTCTTCGCCAGACTGGCCTTCCGTGTCCACTGGTGTATCATCTTCGTCGTCAAGAATATCAACAATTATAAGATCTTCTTCAGCGGAATCGAAGTCGGCTGATCTGTCACGTACATCACCGAATTCCGCCATTGCCGCACACAGAGCATATCAGGGTCGCAGGTCAAGACACTAAATTACCAGCCCGCAATTCAACATCCAGGCAATGGTAATGAACTAAAGTACAACAAAAAGTAAAACATTAATATCCCTTGACAGTAGAACATCGATTATCCCGCGATCCGGCCTTTCCATTTCTGAAGGCACCAGCCCAAATTTGGGCTAAAATGGCATGTAACGATTCACAAGGTGTTGCAAAACTCCTCTATAGAGCTTATGCATACCCGTCACGTGGTCATGAACAATGACCAAAAATGTCCAAGTACAGTGAGTCTGAGCTGAGGCGAATCTTCGAACGTCCAGGGAGCCATACACGAGACCGTCCTGATTACCAAGGACTCCCAAATAGGCACCAAAACTGCAAAAGGTCCGTTACGGATACCGAAGGTGAGTGGCATGACGTCACGTCGACGTGCATAAGCTCTGCGTACTGAGAACTACAGTGCTCCGTTCTGCTCGTCTAGTGCTCGGTTCTGCTCGTCTACCGCTCTGCTCGTTTAGTGCTCGGTTCTCAGCTCGTCTACATTTGTAGTGCTCGGTTCTGCTCGTCTCGTGCTCCATTCTGCTCGTCTGGTGCTCCGTCTGCTCGTCTGGTGCTCCGTTCTGCCCGCCAATTGCCTCATTCTGCCGCATTCTGCTCCGATTTTGAAACCCCTGATTCTGCTCGAAATTCTGCCGGCATTATCCGCCGGGGCCTATTGACATTGCAACAAATTCTTTGTAGCGTTACCCGCCGCTGTTCTTGATCAGCATGCTGCGTGAGCGGTTGACATTTCAACACACTCTTTGCAGCGTTTAGGAGAAGAGCATGCTGTAGTGGGGGTGATGCTTGCTGGGCCAGGCCATGCATGGTATAGATTGGCCACAATTTGAAGTCACCAAACCTAACGGAAATCATTCTTGTGTTGTTGTAGGTATCATGTACTGTGCTGGACAAGGATAGCCAGACATTCCAAGGCACGACCACCGAGTCGGTCCCATCAACAGCGCAGGTCGCTGAACAGGAGCCAGCAGCAGCGACTGCCACTCCTGTGCAGCAGTACAGTGCTCCACGCTGCTCTCTGCTGTCAGTGACTGAAATGAGCGAGACGCGACTGGAGCAGATTGCGTGCATGCGCAGCGGTGACAAGGCAGACTCTTCTAACATTGGTGAGTATTGCTGAGGAAAACAATCTACTAAACATACGTATCCATGTCCCTCAGTACGCTCTGTGGTGTGGTATTCTGCACTATATTTCATCATGTGAACAGGCAATGCTGCCTTCTCGCCAGCCATCGGCTGGCTCCCACGAAATGATGAAATTAGGCTGTTGGTTGACTTGTACTGCAAGTAAGCGGGTTACTATGACATGTCAGTTACATGTAGCTGTTAGGCCACACTTAGTTTTTTCTATGTTTCTCGTCGCCGCGCGCGTAGGTTTTCACAATTTTCGGAAGAAAAAAAAAAATTCGCACTCCTGCATGTGTACGGCATACATGTACAATGCAGCAACGCAAAGTGTCAAAAATCGCACTTTTTAGTACGCGGGTACGACGCGGTGTCTGCATGCAGCAGAGCTGTTGACTGGCGTGTCACCCTACTGCAGAGTGCAGGGCTGGCCGGTCCAGTGCCGGCCTTGTCATGCTTTCTTCAATCGCTTCCGCGACACCTCAACTCGCTCATGCAAGGACTTTAGCCTCGTTTAGGTCCGATTCACATGATTCACCAGGAAGGTATCACTATCAGAAAGGTGAGAATCCCAGTTCACAACTACAGTGAGTTGTGGCCAAAGAAACCCGGCCTACGACTCACCGGAGTCAAAAGCAGCTCCGCGTTTCTCTTTCAACAACACCACGTACGGCCCAAGCACCCATCCGAGGGCCGCATTGGCCCACGCATGAGACTTGGCGCTGCTTTCAGCTCACGGATCGGATTTCTTTGGCAACAATACGACTTCGCCTTTGCATGAATCTCGTTTCGATCCCGTGAAGACAGCGAAGCTGGAGAGTGAAGTCGATATCTTCGTTTTGGACAGCGACAGGCTTTTATTTTCCGTCAGTCTGGCTACTGGTATTTTGAAGTTGAAGCACTGAGGTGTAGCGCTGGTGTTTAGTTTTCGTGCGTAGGCCGAATGGCCGAAGTCATCAGCTTCTCCGTCATTGTTGACGGTCGCCGTTGCCTTGATTGGTATGGTGAGAGCGTCGACGATGACAAGTCCTTCCGAAGCGTACTCGAACAACTACTGGCCGACGAGGATGCACAGTTCAAGGAAGACGTCAGCGCAGTGATGGATGGAGATAGCAGCATTTCTGTGAAGGTACAGAAGGAACCATCCTTGCAGTCCGTGTGCATCACCGTGCAACCAGGCTTGGTTGCAGTACCGACGTGTCGGCGGTTCGGGTTCTTCGTCACGTTCATTGTCACAACGAAGTCCGAATCACAACAGCAAAGAACTGCTCCCCGTACGAATGCGTTCTCTGCGATGATGGCGGCGGCAACGAAGCTTTCACTGCCTGAGCCTCGCGGGTCCCAGGAGTACCGTGAGTCGGAGAAGTTCCGTGGCGACTGGCGTCTGCGGAACGACGTCGTGGAGATCCTACGCGAGCAGAAACTCGGGTGGACGCATGGCGAGGAAAAGACGAGTGGAAAAGCATTCGTTGATGCGATAGCTGATGTTCTCTTCGCCATCTCGCCATCAAAGCGCTTGGCGACTCTGAAGAGCAGAGGAATTGTCATCCCCGCTGTGTTCGAGTGCATGGTCAGCAAAGGCAACGAGTACAACGACCCAGGCCAACACAAGCACAATGTTGTGAAGCAGTTCACTCAGGACGAGGTCTGTCACCTGGCAGACCAGCTGTATGGTGTTCTGTCCTACCCTTGGGTGAACACTGCTCGCTGGAAGTGCTTGACTGGCCATATTGCTGGCTTGGCTGCTGGACTCCGGAGCTATGGCAAGTACCTTGCAGAGTGCGCTATGCGTGTCCAAAGTCGTCATGAAGCTACAACAGCAGCACATCATCCTGGCGACGGGACATCAGCTAACATCACCATGAAAAAGGGTGTTGTGCGCACGGATGGCAAGGTGATACAGAGATACCAGCAGTTGGAGAAGGACCTAGAAATGAAACTGGAGTTTCAACCAGTTCACCTCAATCCACTCATGCCCATCATCCGTCATGACCGGTATATGTACCTGCAGGAGTTTGCGCTCCCCTTTGATATTGAGATGCTGAGTTACAGCCAGGGTGGTAACCTGACCACTTTGTGGTGGTGCTGGAAAGTTGAGGAAGCTGACACTGATCGCACAGCAAAGGTTGTCGATGGTCTGAAACAAGACATTAGTGTCTACCACACGCGGGCAATGAGACGAGCGTTTGTCAGTCGCTATGGCATGCTGTCATCCACAAGTCCCACTGTGTTGACGGAGATGTACAGAGAGCTAACTGGTGATCAGTCTGCACTGTCCTGCACTGTCACTACTGCTGTCCACCAACGGCTGAAAGCGGCACTAGATGCGCAAGATCCAGACATGGTGTTTGACCTCAGAGAATTGAATTCTGGGAGGCCAGAAAAGTACCAGCCATTCTGGGATGCAGCGAGGGCATTCTTAGAAGCTCATTCTCTCCAGGCCGTTGACAGCCGACGGCACGGCACTGTCACCCATCTTGCTGCAGCTGTCTCAACACGTGATTTTGTTGAGCAAGTTGCCAAGACTGTACCGGAAGGAACACCCATACCATCCGTTGAATGGGTTCAGTTCCAGTTCTGGCCGAGCAACCCGTTCACCCAGTCGGCACGCTGGTACACTGGCAAACTCAACATCCGCCATACCCTGCAATCTCGGCAACTCCATCACGACCATCCGGATGCGCACTATGCTGCGGCTCAGTTCCGCTACTTGCGAGAGTTCGCAGTGCAGTATCGTGACTCTGCTACACTGGTGTCTATGGACGACAAACATCTTGTTAAGGTCGGCGAGCCCGGCTTCCCAGTCGCTGCAGTCGACCGGGGGCGCTCTGTGGTTGTCGGAACCACGGAATCATTCCAGGTGGCTGATCATGACTTCACCAAGCTGAAGATCACTCCATCTGTTGCCCTCGTGTGTGAAACTCCGAACTCTATCGAGGAGTCGTTCTACCGAGGAAAGGTCTATGTCTCAGTGAAGCACACCGCATTCCAGCCGTCATCACCCCTGCGGCATGCAGCCGAGTTGAAGAAAGTTCTGCGAAGGGCTAGTGTGAACACCGTCAAAAAGCCGATTCTTCTGCTCTACACGGATGGAGGGCCTGATCACCGCGTGACCTATGTATCTGTCCAGGTGTCGCTCATGTGCCTGTTCAAGTCTCTCGGCCTGGACTACCTTGTCGCAATGAGAACAGCACCGATGCAGTCCTACCGCAACATTGTTGAGCGTGTCATGTCTATCCTGAACCTTGGCATGCAGGCAATTGGCATGATGCGATCCACCATGGCAGATGATATGGAGAAGCTGCTGAAGAATGTCAACTCTATGGCTGAGCTGAGAGCACAGGCAGAGCGCCATCCGGCCTTGAAGGATGCTGTGAGCAAAGCCATGGAAGCACCCATGGAGCTCATGAGCAGTACATTGTCGCGCCTTAAGCTGAAGGATGAGCCTGTGACTGTTCTGCCAGGAGCTGATGATGCCAGCATTGACGAGATGTGGGAGGAGATGAAGACCATTGATCCTGCCGTTAGCCGAGCTGACACCACACAACTCGCTATCAAGAGCAAACAGCAGCTCCAAGAGTTCTACAAGCACTGCTGCCATGTCCGCCATTATGCTTTCACGATCAAGAAGTGCGGCGAGGAGACCTGTGAGATCTGTGGTCCTCCAGTCCTTCCCAGCGACATTTTCAGCACTCTGGCCATGTTCCCAGACCCAGTGAAGAAGCCTGGCAGTGAAAGCTACCTACCATTCGCTGAGGTATGGGGCAAGGCCACAGATGACAGTCGGCCATCGGCACGATTAACCAAGGGAGGGACAAAGCCGGATCAACAGCGTGAAGGTGATGTCCAGCTCAAGGCTGAAACTGCCAGGCTGACTGTCGTCTGCAGTGAGTGTGCCAAGCCAAGATGTGTATTCAGCTCGTCCCGCCTGAAGGACACACAACAAGTGGCCATCCGGCAGGCACTGGATGACACCGACTATGTCTGTGGAGCCGCGCTTCTGGCGCCTGACCACGAGCTCCATCGCCTGGTCGTTGTCCGAACAAGCCTCGACTGCTCTTCTGACGTGGAACGAACGTATTTTGCGTCGAAGAAGAGTTTTGCAGCCGTCTGCTTCTCCTGTGGTGCCAGCGACCCTCCCGCCCCAACACCAGAGCAGCGGGAGAGGTACCAGAGTATCCACATGCCATGCCAGTCGTGCGGCAGCAGAGGTACAAAGCCCCGCACCCGTGGTGAGCAGAAAGTGGGAAACGCATCGTCCCGGAAGCGCAAACATGCTGAGACAGAGAACTAGTCACGTTAGCCAGACACGATTCTGTTAGGCAACATGGACTCAGTGTTCGCGATATACCTCGCATGTACATTCATTCCACACGTCAACTGATTCAACATGCGTGTCACATGTATTTTTGTGTTGTATTTGGAATATATCAAGTGATGTGGCAGCCGATCATCCCCGTTTAGTTTATCTGTCGTACTATTGGCTGCTTTGCCGGTATGTACATGTATGAGCACATTGTTGCTCTTTGCTTGCTATGTGTGAGCTGATAATCCACCATAGATATCATGGGAATAGCACTTTTTATTAGTGATGTCATGACGTATTGATCACACATGTACAATGTATACAGTTTTCAGTAGAAATTGTTCTTGTTTTTTTCTTGACTTTTGTTTTTTTTCCGCCCGCCCGCGTACCTTTTGTTGAAATTCACCGACGAGAAACATAGAAAAAACTAAGTGTGGCCTTACTGGCTACCGCATCCTGAGGGCTATCAGACTCTGATGAGTGATGCTTGGCCACGTGGCGCGCATTTTGGATGCCGGTACAGGCCGACCTTGAGCACGCGTTCGTGGACATCTGTGCGTAGCGTGTGTTTTTGAAATACGACATGTGTATTGATTGAGCACGTAACAACATCATCGTTTGGTACTGTGTTTCCTGTTTGGAACAGGTGTGCTAGCGCGATGTGACCGCTGCGTGGACATCATTAGGGAGCAGGTGACCGCTGAGAAAGTGCAGCACTACTTTGACCATCTTCTCGAGCCAGGCTCCAAAGTGGAGAGGTGTGTAAGCAGTGCAGCAATGTTGTCCACCCATTGTCTGTACACTTGCATGCGTGTGCAATTCCATACCTTAGTTGTTGCACAGAGTGATGAGTTTAGTAAGCTCTGTGGTGATGCATTTGACATTCGAAATTTTTATGCACAAAGTGATCACAGATTTTATGTCGTATAGATGCTAGCCTAACGGTTTTTAAAATCACGCGTCTATATTTTTGAAGAAAGTGGTGGACATCACGCAACCGCATTGTAAATAAGGGGGGGGGGGTTGTCAACTGACAACCGCTCTCTTCAGCTATTCACTCTTGGCGCATGCGCTGGATGAACAATTCTTTAATTAGTGATGTCGAAAAATTATTGACGTTTCGGGCCGGTCACCCATCATCAGAACAATTTACAAGGGGCGAACCTGGCCTTTTATAACGAAAGCAAGCGAGAGCGTATGTATGTCCGGGTACAAAACTACTTGTTTTTGAAACGCACTGTAATGTTCTCGTGATCCATGTATAGCACTGTCACTGGATTAGCGTCGGGTACTGAACATGCAATGCTGTTTTTCCCCAATGATTTCTCCTTGTTCTATCTAGGTATGAGCTGCCAGGCATTGGTGCTTTCAACTTTGTCTTGCCCCATTCCCTCGGTGGTGGTGGCATCACGTCTCTACGGCCAGATCCACAGGTAGGTCATGTGGTTTTGCTTTTGTTAAGGAGAAAAACGTTGGATGAAGAGCAGCAGAAAGCTGATTTCCAGCCACAAATAGGCAGACCAGTACCAAAATGGCATTGATCATATGCCTGTAATTGCTCCCTCTAGAAATTCGTATGTATAATCGTTTCGGCTCTAGTGCAAATAGAAGCAGGCATATTTCAACGGCCGCAATAGTAAAAGTTATCGTTTTCTTACGCTATTATGATCTTGGCTTTGCTGCAGGGCAAGGGCTATGGGCAGATGCTGGCGGATTTCCGTGTGACGTGCTCATCATCACCATGCTGCCATTGTAAGGTCACCGTGTAGTCTTGTGCTGCCAGTCAACCAGTCTAGTACTACCATACCGTCTCAGTGTCCTGGCGATGCCGGCGATCCTCCCACGTCATCACCTTCACAGTGCTGTGTTGTTGTTGTTGTGCCGAGGCCGTCTTGACATCGTACTCTGACTAGTACCCTTAGTTGTGCCATGCTAGTCCGCCATCTTACTCCCATACGCAGTGTGTGGTGACCGTACTTCAATTTGTGGTGTTGGCTACTTGATGGCGTGCACATGTGCATGTACCGTTCGTTGTCCGTCGGCCTGTGCCGATTTTATCCTGCAGTGTGGTCAGTGCCAGTGGCACTACCACGCTCCTTTCTCACGTGATCCTGGCATAGACTGAACTCCAACCAGGTCGAAAACCTTGGTGTAGCATTGAGCAGATTCTGGAGCGCGTAGAGATGTGCCCAAGTATGTCCTGCATTTTATGACTGTCCCGTCCCAGTTGCCAACCCTGTTCGTGCGATACGGTAAGCTGTTTCATCCTGTACTCAATACGTCCCTTAATGCACACTGTGCCAGAGTCACATGTTGCATTCGGACAATCTCAGTTCCTGTGCAGCAGTTCTAGCATTGTGCAAGGAAGACTGTACGGGGTGGTGCGTGTGTGTGCCAGGCACACTGCTGTGTCCATTCCCTGCTAGTATGCCGCTAGCTGGCGTATTCTGTTTTGCTCAGTTTCGCATGCAATCAGATGGTGAAGACGACCCTTTACTTCTAGCTGCTGGTTTTCCTGTGTCTTCCATTTCTCAGGTTTTTGGTCCAGAGTGGGCTGCTTTTACATAAATATTCTGCAGTCCGCAGATTGAGTAAATATTCTGTAGTACATCTTTTTTTCATAGCTTTCCTTAAATTTGTAAAGTACAGACATCAGGCCTGTCCTACTCAATGTAGACTTTCTCAAATATTCTCATTTTTTTATCTAGCTTCCTTACACCTTTCGGTAAGGCTTCACATCTGTAATTATCAGGACCCAATCCAGCGGAAGTTCAAGATAATTTGTACTGCCCGCATTCTCTTGTATTCCTCCTATCCGCAACTACATCTGCAACTACATAGCTTCATGTCAACATGTTATACTGTCATCGTAAATATTGTAACAGAAATCCAGGGCGGATAATAATTTTCCAAACGAAGGTACTGTCGTGGACATGGAAATCCGGTCGCATGTCTAGCGGCCCCAGGGCGCTGGCCATGCAGGCATGGTGGATATGCGGAACATCCATTTCGCGCTGCAGCGCGCTGGTCGCATCGGTTCAACAATGACTTTGTGCACTGCACGCAGCGTTCTGTACGCGCTGAGGGCCCCGGCCCCGGTCAATCGACTGGATTTCCATGTCCGCCACAGTAGTTTCGCAAACATTCACACAATTTTACACATCCAGTCAACAAGGCACTCGTGCATGAGTGCTTGCGAACCTACCTTCGTTTGGAAAATCTATCGTACAATGCAAGTAGACTTTTCTTTCTCTGAAGTACTCGATTGTATTACAAGACCAAGCCAGCAGCTGCTGGTATTGAATGAATAATATACATGATTGACAGGGGAGGACTGCTATACAGGGTGATAAAACATCTGGGGAATCTGGCGTCATAGTTATTTAGTATAGCCACGGAATTTACGCGGACAGGGGCAAAGGTTGCATCAATAAGTCAACGGCCTCAAAAAAGAAATGGAAAAAGCGACGAATAAGACATGATTATAACAGTAAAGCTCCTGAGACAATAACTGAATTAGATACGACACAGATCGTCAACAAGCACACAGTGAAAAAGAAAATAAAGAAGCTTCTCAACCGATATAAATAACGTGCGCTTGTCTAACGGCATGGCACCCTAGGAGGCGTTACTGTCAACAGAGAGCATAGCCACTGGCCCAAACTCAATCGTGGAACTGGGCCGTGGTGAAGCTGCCATGCAGGGACAACTTGGTCAGTAGTGTGACCAACAACACGCAGTGCTGACAAGACAACAATCTTGCTAAGTAAGTCGAAGAAGACGACGGCCACTAGACTGCCTAGCTCAGTCTTGACATGTGCTGGTATTACGACTTAGAGGAATAGATAACGGAAGAGATGGTGACTGCGCAGCAAACGTCTCCACGAAACAAGACGAATCTGCTATGATGGTCTGGTGTGATGGTCTGCCCGGAGACTCCAGGCGTAGATCTGCAATAGGACGGTTGGAGCTGCTTCACTAGGACATTGAGCCCCGGGGCCAGGCATCGGCTAATACAACACAGTGCTATGCTGCTGTCCAGAGACGAGACTGGTCTAGGGCTGGGGGGCTTCCTCACCTGTGCTATAGGGTGAGAGACTTATCTGTTTTCTTTGCCAGCTTGTCGGGCGTGGTCTGCATATCTGTGATGACGTCGTCGGCTTTCTCCGTCGTCGTGGCGCTGTCCGACGATGCCGCGGTCAGGGCCAGCGGTGGCGGTGGTGATGCCAGCGAGTCGTCCGACTCACTTTCCGGCCGCTTGCGATGGCGCTGCCTGAGCATGCGCAGGGCATCAACACACCTGGACGGCGTGGATATCGAGTCGGTGTGGACGCGGAAACGCAGCGACTGTCGCCTGGGCGAGATGGCAGGAGAGAGTCGAGGGGATCCTGGCACGCTGCGGCTTCTCTCGACATCGGGAATTATTGGCAGAGTTAGTGAATTAGTGGTGGTGGTGTGAACGATTGCTGCTGGGTGCGTTTTCATAGTGTCTTCATGCAGGGAATGGGCCTTTCCGCCGAAAGATTGTGTTTTTCTGTGAACCAGTCTGCGACGTGTTGGCTGTGGTTGCTCGGCTGTTACGCCGGGAGATGGTCTACCCGAATCGGGTACATCCTCTCCACACGGTGCTGATGTACTGGGTGAAGCAGGTGCTGGTCTATCCAGTAACGGAGGAGAATGTTCTTCTTGACTAGCAGCATCATCGCTGTTTATTTCTATGTGCTCGTCCTCCATGATACACAGCACCTCCTCCAGCTGCTGGTGCACTTCCTCGAAATCAGGCCGCTCCACTGGATCAATCTGGATAGAAGCGTGCACACACGCATGCACACGCACGCACACACACACACATACATACACCTGGAGATCTACTTCTACCGGCACTTACTCACTACCAGAGACTGGTTACGTGGGTCACTTTGGAAGAGAGGAGAGAAAGAAATTTGAAACAAATCTAGAGCAGATGACTTGTGGCTATCGGATCGCGGCATCATTGCTTAGGCGCATGCAGTTCATCAGCTACACCTGTGGTTTGGACAGCAGGTTTTCTACATGTTACGTATTGTAGGTCAAAGAAGGAGGAACGTCTTGCTGTTGTGGGAAGTGTGTGTGTGTGTGTGCGGTGTGTGTGGTGTGTGTGTGTGTGTGTTTGGGAGCTGTATTGGAATGCACAGCGTGGCAGAACTGGGACTATCTCAGCAACACACCGGAGAGAAACTGGATGATGATCACCCCGCCCAACAGCAGCTAGCTCATGGCAAGAGTAGATATTTAAAAAAGCTCCTGTACTCTAGCTCACAGGTCAAGCTCACAGGTCAAGCTCACAGGTCAAGCTCACAGGTCAAGCTCACAGGTCAAGCTCACAGGTCTAGCTCACAGGTCTAGCTCACAGGTCTAGCTCACAGGTCTAGCTCACAGGTCAAGCTCACAGGTCAAGCTCACAGGTCAAGCTCACAGGTCTAGCTCACAGGTCTAGCTCACAGGTCAAGCTCACAGGTCAAGCTCACAGGTCAAGCTCACAGGTCAAGCTCACAGGTCAAGCTACGTATACAGTACAGTCAGACCTCGCTTAACCGCACACATCCCTTTTCCACACAACTATCCGGATAGGCGAGGGAACCGGATAACCGAACACCAGTTTTGTTGGGTGCACCACGTATGCTGTGAATCTGTAACCAGCTATTTTCTTCCGGATGGCGAGGATAAAAGAGGACCGGATAAGCGAGGTTTGACTGTATTCCACATCAGTGGCAACACTCGGCACACACTCGTACCAAGTGCTGTTCCTAATTGACCGTTTTGTATTGTGCGATGGGACCCGCCGTTACCGCCAACCCTCTTACCTGACAGCAGTGAAATGCTATACCCAGAAAGGCGTCAGGACACTGCAGGTCATCACACATCTTGCCGAAAGCGTTTTCATCCAAACCGAATGCCTGCAGCGCGCACATCGCACCAATGCACCCACACCAACAAAACACTAGTGTTATCTTTGTTTATAGAAAGAAAGAAAGAAGGACCAAGGAACTACAAGTTACGCTATAAGGTCCACTAACACCACCAGTTACTAAAGAATCAGCTCATGCTCCTTGGCTCTCCATCCGAGTCCATTAACTTTATTTGCCCATCATTCTTCTGCAGCTCTTCCTGGGTGATGTAAACAAAGTTCCATGAAGCACTAACTGCTAACCCTGCGTTATGCTGTGCAGCATTTCAACACCCGAGTTCTACTGCGTTATGCTGTGCAGCATTCCAACACCCGAGTTCTACTGCGCAGTATACGACGTACACACGAAGTGAAAACCGGCCCAAAGTGCGTATTCGGCACACTGGACTTGCACGGCCGTCGACGCCCTGGAAGTGGCACGAATGCGCCTAGATGTACACATGTACAAGACTACAAGCACAGTGATGTAATTGGAATTGGTCCAGGGCACCAGGTTTGCACTGTAGGTCGGATTTCAAAGTAAGCGCAACTGTACATGTAGGAGTGTTGGACATTGGTCCGGGCTTACATATACTAGTACATACTGAGAGAGAGAGAGAGAGAGAGAGAGAGAGAGAGAGAGAGAGAGAGAGAGAGAGAGAGAGAGAGAGAGAGAGAGAGAGAGAGAGAGAGAGAGAGAGAGAGAGAGAGAGAGAGAGAGAGAGAGAGAGAGAGAGAGAGAGAGAGAGAGAGAGAGAGAGAGAGAGAGAGAGAGAGAGAGAGAGAGAGAGAGAGAGAGAGAGAGAGAGAGAGAGAGAGAGCAGCAAGTGTGGTATACCAGGATCAAGGTGATTAACCAAGAGCAGGGATGACTCTGATTAGTGTCAAACGAGCTGTGAAGGCCACAGTGGTGTTCACACACGTACACGGCACTTTCACACACGTGTGTGTGTGTGGAGGTGCCACATTGGTGCGCATGTACTGGTGTATGCATGTGTGTACATACCCCTCCCCTCCCCCACCCCAACACACACCATGGACACATGCAACTGACACACACACACCTATGCACACACACACACACACACACACACACACACACACACGTAAACACACTTACGCTAGTGCGTGGAAGTATGTCAGGATCTGCATTGACTCGCGCTATAACCTCACACATGACAATCCCGTAGGAGAAGATGTCGGCCTGCACACGGTTCAGAGAATGGCACATTACATATGAAAACACGGCCCAGAGACTACAGCACTAGCGCTAGGACAATATGAACTCAGACGGTGAGCCAAGGGAAAAAAATGGAAAACGTGGGCACAAGTTTTAAGCTTGTCAGTTTCGTGCTAGATTGTGCACGTCTGACTGTTCAAAATCTGGTTTATTTGGTGGACCCAATTGCATAACTTGTGCCCACAATTTTCCATGTTATGACAATAGCTTGACTTTGGGGGCAGTGGCAGTACCAAACCAATACCCATGTTCTCATGTAGAGCTCAACATCGGTACACTTCTGCTGTATGGAATACTAGTATTTCAAAGTATCCTTCCGGGACGAACGGATGCCAATAGAGGGAACTTCCCAGGAAGAATTAAAAATTTAAAATTCATATCGTGAAGAGAAGGGAACTGAAGCCGGGGAAGAAGAAAAAAGCATGTGCATTGTGTCTAACGGCAGTTCTGCTTCTCTCCCGCATTGAGCAAAACTATATTGCGTAGCATGTCCTTGATATAATTATATTATATCAAGGCAGCTCCAAGCATTCTATTATAACGCTTGGAGCTGCATGGCAAGCATATCTGATTTGCATGTCAGACAGACCAAAAGGAAGAAAAATCTATTAAACCGCCACCAAGGCCAGGGACCAGAACAGACAAGTGTAGATATGATCACATACCTTCTCATTGTAAGATTTCCCGTTGAGCACCTCCGGCGCCATCCAGTACGGAGATCCAACGACAGAACTAGCCTTTCGTAAGCGTCGGCTCAAGCAGGGACTACGACCATTGTCTGCATTGCCAAACCTCGCCACCAGTCCAAAGTCAGCCACGACTGCAATCAGTCCATCTGCTGGAGAATCCCGCAGCAGGCAGTTCTGTCCGGGTACAGGCAGCGAGTGAGTGAGTGAGTTAGTGAGTGTGTGTGTGTGTGTGTGTGTGTGTGTGTGTGTGTGTGAGAGAGAGAGAGAGAGAGAGAGTGGGAGAGAAGGTGAGAACACACCTACGCTATCTGTTTGAGCATCAACAATGTCTGCATGCATGGATCCCCCATTATAGCAGCAGCATCATTGTGGGCAGATAAATGAGGAAATACTGCACACATACCAGCACTGAACTGAGAACACGTGCAAAGAGGCTATATGTACGTACTCACACGAACACAAGTTAGCAATGAAACTAGGGATGCGTTTGGTTGGTACGATCTAGACCCGGATCGAACAGCTGGTGCACATGGAGCAGCCTCATGCCAACCAAACGGTACTCCAGAAACAGAGCACATTTTCGTGAAAAACATGCCAAACTTGGTGCATTCTTCAAAATGTGTATGGGCCACGATGGTCACTGTGTACGGTACGACGAGTCCAACCCAAAAGCGTATGCACGTGATCATTTGGGACCAAAACCGATGTTCCCGCCAGGTTTCACTGTGAAAAAGTGAAACTGCTCGGTCTGCCCAGGCCTCGAGGCCAGAGCAAGCAGAACATGTTCTGCCCGACCCAGAACAGGTGCAGTCCCAACCAAACGCACTGTTCTGGTGAATCCTGTTCAAGGTCGAACCAACCAAACGCGCCCTACAGTAGACTCGTACGCCCAAGAACGCGGTTTCAGAGGGCCAGCCTAGCAAAGTTCTTATTTTTCAGCGCCCCAGGCTACGTTCTTATTTCGCGTTCTTACGCGTCCAACATGACCCGTGACGCTCATGTACATGTACAATGCACTTTGCGCTACATGTACCGGTTGTACACTTTACATGCACGCGTAGTAAGTAGCGCTGCACTGGGTGATGTTTTCGCGAGGACCCGACAAGAGTTTGTGGTTGCGGACTTGTTTTTCGTGTACTTGGACAAGAAAATGTCGCGTTCTTAAAAATCTTGGCGTTCTTGGGCGTCGAGTCTACTGTAGACTGATTTAATCCTCAGACAATCAGAGATGTTTTTGGCTCCGTCCTCGTGGCATTGAGTACTTTTTGCAAGGGTTTAGCAACATAGCCTGTACAAATATGTACACTGTGTGTGTGTGTGCGTGCGCGCGCGTGTGTGCGTGTGTGTGTGTGTACGGTGTGTGTGTGTGTGTGTGCGTGGGAGGATTACGCACAGGACATGTATACACACGCGTATTGAAATGCATATCGGCTCGCAGCGACAAGCGGCCAACATACCTTGGAGGTCAGGTCGCGGTGCACTATTCCCTGTCCATGTAGATACTCCATACCAGCTGCGATGTCACATGCCAGCTGTAGCTTGACCAGCCACGACAACTCGCGCTTCTCATCACCAAGCAACTCCTCAAGGTTACCACCATTCACGTACTGCCAACACACAAACAACGCACGCACACATACACACACACAGGCAATATTAACTACATGTACATGTACACACTCTGTCACACAAGGTGGCTGGAAACTAAATCAGATTTTCACATTGGCCCGAAATTGTTGGTCTGTGAAGTATGCAGTGTTTTCAGTGTGCCATGTAGAGATGAAATGGCCAAACAAAGTAGCTGGTCACCATCAATATTATGGACCTATGAGCACCCCAAAATTGGATGATTTTTGGGACTTTTGCTCAAAATGGGCCATTATGAGAAATTGGCCCGAAAATGTCCGCTTATTTTTTTAAAAATCAACTCTACCAAGTGTAAGATACAAGTAAAACCAAAAAAAGTGACTGTTCACCACAAAACGTTCCAAAAAGCTACGATTTCTCCTGACCACTGTGCAAGTACCGTAAAAGCCCGTGTATAGGCCCCTGGGCGTATAGAATAGCAGCCTTGATTTCCTGGGTGTATACAAGGGCACGGGCGTTATTTTGGAACCGGGCGTATACTTGGAATAGGGATAGCAGTGAATATTGGGTATCTGTACCTGTACATGTACTGGTATTGCTGGCATGGCTGGGCGCTATTTTGAAACAAAAGTGTTGACTTCCCCTGACTGGGCGTGTACACGGAGGGTGGGCGTAATTTCGAGTGGGCGTATACAGGGGCTTTTACGGTATGCTACTCAAAGTTGATTGGGGGATCAGGGTCCTAGTACCCTAGCCTGGTTTGTTTTTTAGCGTACACAGCAGTTTCGTTCTAATTCGATGATAGAGTCTTACATGTACATGTATGCAGAGTCACAGTATACGTCTGAGTGTACATTATCATTCGGGTATACTTTACAGTTTCCGTTCTTATCTACAAAAATCCAGTCTAGACCGTTCTTTTTAAAAGTTGGTGAAATTCTAGCCTGGCCATTCTTCGGCGCCCGGCAGTACTGTAGTGTTCAAGTGAATGCTCTCTTCAGTAGCACTGCAGTGTTGGTAGACAGTGGTAGCTCTGTAGGGACATGAACTATTACACAGTGTGCACGTCAGTACCGGAGCAGTGCCGATGCTGTTAACGTTAGCAAGCTACATGTATGTCTCACTGCCGAGGAGTACATTCCCGCAGGATTTGACGGCACGGGCCACAACCCCGAAGGAAATCAGGACGATACCCGAGAAGCCTCACCTCAACAAGTGGATGAATGTTACCTTCGGAGATGCATGCACCGATGAGCCTGAAACAAGAGGAGGCAAGTGTACATCAAAACGCATTGTTATTATTTGCAACTCGCGTCATCGTCAATCAAATGATTGATGATTTCGCTTATGCTGAGTGGAAGTAAACGGAAGACATCAAAACTAGTTGAGAAAATGAACAGCTTTATCGTTGTGACCAAACTGAAGCACACATGCAATAGAGCCCCCCCTGATTCAAGCAGCAGCAAAAACTACCAAGTACATAATCATTCTGAGTACATCCGACCTCGCGAACAACGGCACTCGATCAGGCATGAGAAAGAATAATTCGTTGATGCCATCTTCATTCGGTCCGTCCATTCATAGTACTAGAAGAACCTAGTACCACCATGAGAAAGGATTTGTCATTCTCTAGGTTCAAAGTATGCAGTCAAACATCTACTAGGTCAGAATCTATCGTTATTTGCAAGTTCTTCACGGTGATACGCGAAGTTGCTACTCACCAGGTTGACTGTACGTGTATTCTATGCCTTGGCATTAGATTATAAAGAACTAAGAGAAAGAGGGAAGTCTGAGAGAGAGATAGATAGAGAGATAGATAGATAGAGAGATAGATAGATAGATAGATAGAGAGAGAGAGAGAGAGAGAGAGAGAGAGATCAGAGAAAGGAGAAAGAGAGAGAGAGAGATGGTGATAGAAAGACAGACAGTCAGACTGAGAAAGCTATTGAATTATCTTCATTACTCACATGAGTACATTCGGATGCTTCAAGTTGCGCATGACCTCTATCTCTGTCAGATTGCGGACCCGATTCTGAGGGTCAATGAACCGATTCATTTTCAGCACCATCACCCGTCCAGTGAACCTCTGTGTAACCTGCAAAGGCCACAAACACAACCACATTATACTGTCATATACATGTACTGATGTACAAATACATACATGTCTACATGTACATGTTTGTACAAATAAGAAGTACTGGTATCTTAAAATGACTCCCTAGTATAATGACGGTCCAGACCGGGTCCAGACCCCAAACGGTTCAAATGGTCGTCAAGACAGGGCTCTACCAACCCATGATGGTTGTAGTCAGGAGCACTGTTTTCAACACAGTGCGTCCACCACCTTGTAACATGCTGTTAACCCTACACCAAACACATACATGTATATGTACAGGTGGAATCCTGATAATTCGACTTCATATGCCACGGGAAAAAAACTTCCAATGATTATCCGGCCATTCTAATTATCAAACATGTGCCCACAACACAATATGTACGTCAAAATGCTCGCATTGTCACGCAGAGTTGCACTACGCACCTTGGACACAGATTTAGTGGACCGCGGCTGGACTGCCTGCACGTGCTAACGAAACTAACTTGTAGAAAATAAAGTGAACTTCGAATTATGCTTCGTTGACTTCGAATTATCAGCACAAATCCCCCACCTTTTCTATGTGGGACTTGTAATTAACCGAACATGCCCAGTTCGAGGTTCGAATTAAACGGTGTGTTCTCCCCACATGATATTCGAATTATCAGTATTCCACCCGTAGTACATGATTGTACATATAAGATAAGCCTTAATTGGTTGAAAGCACGTTGTTAGATTATAAGATAAACCTTGATTGGTTGAAAACACGTTGTTTGCCTTGTACCATGCTGTCAACCAAACATGATTGCACATGACTGTATGGTGGCAAGGGTGGCTAATGGCAGCTACACTGATCAACTTCCTATACAATCATGTAAGAGAATTCCATCTAGTTAGGCGATGCAAAGTTCAAGTGAGTCCAATGTTGTGGGTATGCATCCCGTCGATCTGGTCCATTTGAGATCACATTATTATAGTGGTGCCTATGGTGCACATGTACATTTCGCCGTCCATTGGCATTCGGATGTCGCGGCAAGGATGCTTTGAAGTCATTTTGGATAGCATCCACTGCTGTCGCCGCATAGTCTCTGTTCTTAAATTCTACGCACACATACAGTGACACCTGCCCTAACCGGACGCCCTTGCCCTTGGTGCAGCGGAAACTGTCCTGATATGACAGGGTTCCGATGCACCAAGGGATGCATTGTTCGATCCACAGCACTGTAGTTGGTGCATGACAATTCGTCCGGTTGATACAGGATTCCGCTTGGTACAGGGTCCGGCAAGCACATGTTAACATGCTCTGGCGCTTTAAAAAAAATGCAGTGTCTCGTGGAAACTTAGTAGTGCCCCCGTAAGCAGTACTCTTTGAAAGACAACATCCCTTAGCTTGAACATCCTGATTTCATGCTAAAATATTCCATACTGGAGCATAGCCCCATACTAGTAGTACTATAGTATCAGGCTACATTTTAGCAACACCCTGGCCTGTTCCTGATCCGGTTGATGCAACACTGGTTCCGATAAATTTTATGCCACTCCGCAGTTGCTTACACTGGAGCGACGCTGACAGCTGGCCGAGGCCTACGGAAATGGTTCCCCAGCCCATGCGATATGCTCGGGCGGAGTAGGGCGGCCATGCAGATCGTCTCACCTTATAAATGTCACCGTAGAACAGTTTACAGGGCGGCCAAGCAGATCGTCTCACCTTATAAACGTCGCCGTAGAACCCAGCGCCTATCTTCTCGCGGTCGAAGTCTTCTAGATTCGTCAGGCCACCAAGAGCTTCTCGGACCGCCATAGCGCTACTCGGAGACGAGCCAACCCCATGGCCCGCTGGATAAAGAAACTCCTGCGTTCCTGTTGAACCCCGAAGCGCCTCCAGCGATCGCGCATGGAGCGAGTCCAGCGGTGAAAAGCTTCCATGATCTGTTTCGTCCAGACTGTCGCCACTGGATGTGAAGGAGCGACGCGGACTAGGATACCCAGCCAGTTCTGCTAGGGTGATGGAGCGCTTGCTGCGCGGAGTTGCACCCGCAACATTGGGCGGCTTTTTACGAGCAACCACCTTCTCGTTGCATTTGATAGCGTTCGCCATGTTCGGGCTTCTCCTTCAACGGCACACCACTAGTGCCCGTGGCGGTAACCACCGCTGATGTGGCGGTAGTCACTGGTCCACTGCTCCGTGAATTGATCGACTTTGGTGAGAGCCTGAAGGACTTATTCTCTCTAACATTGTCTCCAACGAGTACTAGTATCGCTTCGTGAGGGTCGTTCCACACCTGGCCTTGGTGCCAGTCTTTCTCCTGTTCTGGTGTATCTCCCACAGCGTTTGCCACGAGCGCGCAAGGCACAGTTCAGTCGACCAACTCTCAACAGTTATTCAACAACAGCAGGATGATTTTAGCAAAACCCAGATGGCCAATCTACCTGCATTCTTACTCCGGTAGGTTTGCGTGTTTAGTACATTATACAGTCATCTAGCCAGTGGCAGTGTAGCAAGCTGTAGCTTTGCTTGCTTCGGTCGCGGGTTGAGCTGAGCAGCCGAAAAATGATGATTCTCTTGAATCGCTCTGTTTCGGCCTCGAGCCTCGGTCACGCGACTGTGGATCTAGCGATGACGCATTTTTTGCCTCGCCGGCATCGACCGTGCAAGATCATGATGATGACACCTACTTGACAGCTACATTTTTGATACAGTTTTTGTTTGGCTACTCCATTGTAGAATCTACAGTCACAGTCATAATCAATCCGATTCTCCGGGCATAAACAAATTAGAACATAACCACACACAGTACACTGTGACTCATAACTGATCTACATTGTTTGTAAGTCATTTGTTGCAACATACATCTGCACTGTAGGGTGCACACAGTGCGGTAAAATTAGCACCACACCGATTCTCACCAGGCTTTTACATGATCCAGAAACAGAATCATGGGCCAGGCTACCAGCAGCAGTCAGGAGCTCTTGCCTTGAGCTCCCTGGCCTCAGTGGTTGGGGTCGTGTCCTCTGGCCGGCTAATCAGGGACGTAGCCAGGATAGTGATCAAGGGGGGTGCCAAGACTTTCCCCACACAAATGTACAATCATGCACTTATGTTGGTCCTTTCATTTATAATAGGCATATGCGGATAATGCCGGCAGAAAATCGGCAGAATTCGGTACTTTTTCGCGTAAGTTTCATGCATGTTTGGTATGTAGATAAAGAAATGGAGCAGAATTCGAGGAATTGCCCGCCATAAGGTTTGTATGGTTCTGCCATTTTCACTGATTTTTGAGCAGAATCTGCCAGCTTTTCGAGCATTATCCGCACACCCCTACCTTTCATGCACATTATTCGATCCATGAAATGGGGGGGGGGGGGGAGCAAAATCCGCCCCTAATTCGACGCTGAAGATCAATCAGTGAATGGCAAATCTCCGACCAGGGAGTAGTAATAATTATTGTATTTTACTACACCCTGGCCTGCTTCCAACTAATGACGGACTAAGTCCTGGATGCTGCTTTCTCCAGAAATATCACACTCTCCATCGAACTTTTAAAGTGGGATTTCTCGAGCCATTTTTCCCCTTCGTCATGTTTGATAGTGCAGTAAGGCATCCTTGATCAAACCTACACTATTCCCCACAAAAACTCAAACTGCACTCCAACGTTACTTTCACTCTTCTACTGCTGTATCCACACTTGCAATGCATGAAAGAAACTTTGCCTTTCCACAACGAGACCAATTAACAGCGAGAACTACACTGTGATTATACAAAACATAGCGAGAACAAACTGCTATGTCTGACGTGTGCTTTCCGGCCATAGACTGCGTTGCTACTTCCTTGCTTCTACCAATGGCGTGTTTGTATGATTCTTTGCTTCTAACAAAACATGTGGAGTGCAATACAAATCATGTGCTGAGCCTGCTGAGGCCTGATGTGACACTGCACAACGCGGAGTTCCCTTGACTGGAAATTTCATTGCAAAATGGCCAATCATGAGACAAAAATTAATAGTCCACTAGCATGTGGATTGGTTTCAGATACATTGTACTTGCAGGTCTGAACCAGGGAGTAGTACCTACTACTCCCTGGTCTAAAACAGGGATGGCTACAGTGTGAGATGTGCAGAGTTGCGCATGTGATCAGCGGGTCTGCTATGGACTATGGTCTCTCTCGAACCAGCTGTGAACCAAGATCGAAATTTTTGAGGGGGGTGCTTTAGCACCCAAAGCACCCCCCCCCCCCCCCTGCCAACGCCCCTGGGCTTGGGATGCCTTCACACTGCAAAGCAGTACACTATTGTACAAGCCATGTACACAACGTGTACATTGCGGTGGATGTACACAGACATCTTGCATGGATGGCCGAGGTGTGGCAGGCTGGGGATCTTGAGCCAAGACCGGAGTCTCAGGGTCTGCTCTGAGTCTGAATCAGATCACTAGTCTGCTTGCATCATGCATGTAGCCAGGCTCGCGTAGCTCGAGTATCATCTGAGACAGTGCAGTCCGGTCGCAGCAAATGGCCATCATACTTTCTATATACATGTACTGGTACAGGTAGAGATCGGCTATAGGGTTGGCGGTTATAGTAATATACCGGGTATAATGTTGTCCGCAAACTCCAACGCAGCCACTTACACATTGAGAAAACTTCTCTTCTCAGTGACTCCAAACTCCAGAAATGGTCTCTTCACTGCGATTCCAATTGATATTTACATAATACACCAAATTTTCGGGCCTGGCCCATCATCAGGAATCGCAGTGAAGAGACCGTTCAAAAACAGTTGGAGTTTGGAGTTGAGAAGTGAAGTTTCCTAAAATGTTATCAGCTTTAAAATGTTAGCGCAGAATGTGTGCGGCTTGTGTGCCGGGGCAGGAGGTTGCGAGCAAGGCGTATGGATGTTGTAGGCAGGAAGAGGCTGTAGAGTAGAGGTACTACACTGACAGAGCTAGCTGTCGCGAATATGCCACCACACTAGCAGTGTGATGTTAGAAGTTAGAACAGAGTACAATCATGTACATGTACTGTGCATGGCTGGTGTGTGCAGGACGCCGTTATGGGCAAGGTGTGCTTGATGTAGGCAGGAGGCTGTGGAGACATTTAGGGGTGCATCCTCCAGTCAATACATTGCCACGGTACATGTATACAAATTATGAACATTTGTATCATCGGGTCGCAACACAATCTAGACTGATGGGTAACCATGGTAACTACAATGTGGCTTCAACTTGTACTCATTTTGTCTCTGAATAGGAACAAGTCTACTAAGTTACAAGAGTCATACACCGTAACACGTAACAGATTCGGCCGGATTTCAACTCCCAAGTACTGATGCAAGTATGAGATCAGGGAATTTTCCTCATGATGCCCCTAGAGTAATGAGTACTAATGACTCGATGAGGGTCTGAACTGGGGCAGAGCCACATGCATGTACAGTTCACTCGGAGTGGTCGCAAGACTGAGACACTACGGTACCAACCACATTTGGGTTTGGCAGCACTGCATACATTTATTGCTTATCACAAACCCTATAATATAACAAGCTTCCTACCGTGCCAGCCGCGTAGCGTCAAAGAGAATATTTTCGTTGGATAGAATGACCACCACCATTCTTCTATGCAGTCATACTAACTTGTACACCCTTGACAAATGCCTCAACTTCAAAACCTATGTACATGTACATGTATTTGTTTACCGCTGCCTGAATGGACTTGCTAATCCTCTTCTGTGAGATCGCTTTACCTTGCGCGCCCATGGTGCCCTGGCCCCACACTGCAGCCAACAGTTTCTGCTGCTCTTGTTCTGCCCCTCCCCCCCCCCCCGCCGCTAACACCCAATATGGCTTCAGTGCGATTTCTTGTTTAGGCGGGCACGCTGCCAGATGGATCGTGGAACACACTTCCACCGGCTTGCCACATGTCTAGTTCACCAGCTGAATTTCGCTTACCCATCAAATTATACCTAGGGTTCCCTGTAAAAAGGCGTCGACGGCGGTTGGGAATTCCCTAGTAAGGGGGGAATTCCCTAGTAAGGGGGGGGGAATTCCCTAGTAAACTGAGAAGCCTGGAATAAATAAATACAGTAAAACCTGCCAGGGCGACCACTCGGATAAGACGACCACCTGTTCTAGAAGACCGCCGCAACCAGGACCAAGGGGTGCTATTTCCAGTCAATTGACCCTGGATAAGGCGACCACCTGGTGACAGTGACCACATTTGGAAGGTCCCTTGTGCGGTCGTGTTAGACAGGTATAACAACCGGTTTATGGGTGAAGTCAGGAGCACTCGGTTTCAGTACAGTGGGTCCTCATACTTCGAGCATGTACTCTTGGTAGGTACGATGTTTACTATCAGTGTCTTCAGTGCCCTTGCTTTTGAAAGTTTCCTTCTGCCGGACGGGATAGTACGCTGGTGCATGGTGTATTGTATTCCTCCTCCCCCCCCCCCCCCCCCCCCCCCAGTGTAGGTCACGGTCAGGTCTGGCGGTTGCCGAGATGTCTCGCTCAGTAAGTTACCCGTACCGTGTCAGGGTTGCGCCTTGTCGCACTATGTATGGGCTGACCGTATATCTGGTTACATTGGTTAGTCACAACTCGAGGCGTGATATTTTATTCTTCCCCTTCTCCCCCATGAATACTATCCTAGTTCAAGGATCTCTTACGGTGCGAAAGGTCGCGGTAACGCCGAGATCACAGGTCGGTGTTGTTGGCTTGCCTCACCAGCACAGGTTCCTTCTTGGAGCCCTACTCTTCCCATTCGGTCGTGTTGTCCTGCTACTTCTCTCGAGACCCTCTACTTCTTCTTAGCTCGACTCATCATAACTAGTTAGTTACTTACTTACTTCATAAGCTTGTCCAGATTACCGGTATTTTGAAGCTACCGGCACCTGGTATCTACTTGAAGTACGTAGATCTACATGTACCGGTAGTCAGTAGATCTACTGTTTGACCTTTTGAACTCGTAAACTGAACTGGTCATTTTTTGACGTCGAAAAAATACTGCGCCGGTGCATTGACTGTTGACTTTGTGCATCAGGTCAGGGAGTAGTAAAATATTACTCCCTGAGTCCCTGACTCCCTGGTACAGCTGGCTGAGCGCTGGCCCGGCCGCTGGTTAGGCCTGTCCGAAAAATGTTCTGAATTTTTTTGGCATTTTGGGGTACATTTTGCATTTTTGCATTTTTTCTGAATTTTGCCCATTTTCGGTCGAATTCCAAGGTTTCAGCCAAGGTTTCAGCTCGACCAAGTCAAGTTCGGCTTGCTATTTCGGTGTCTTCTGTCCCTCTTGCCTTGGCTGAGACTCTAGCCTTACTTTGCACTGGCCTTCTAATCACACAAATGCGAACACATGGGTGTTTAGTTCTACATAACATTGTACAGTCATGTACATGCAGGTGTGATGATGTAAAACTACAAAGATGTGTTCTAACTAATACTTCTAGTGCAGGTACTGTATACTAGTACAATCCAGCAAGAGTAAGGCCTACTAAGGCCCCATTCACACACGGTAGAGGAGACGGCTCGATACCGGGACGTTTTGACAGCCAAATTTGTATAGACCCAAACCGATCACCAGCGTTGATTTTTCACTCGAAATATGTTTGTGGAAGGAAACTGGCATGTTGAAGTTTGCTCTGGGGCCAGAGTCAATCGAACTGAGCCACTCCTTTGTGTTGACCCATTGCCTCCAAGTTGCCCAATTTTTCGCTTCAAAAAAGTTCAAATCAGAGGTGGCTCCAAACCGGACACGTTTTAGAGTGCACGTCAAATTCACTCTGGGTCTGAAATTAGGTAATTGCTATCGCTCCACGACGGCCAGTACAGAGTAACAATAAGCCTTGTGTGTGCTTCCATTAGTTTTGATTGGTATGCGGTGCTTTATTGGCGAGAGGCGAGCCGCTGTTTACCTGCGACAAGGAGTTGATTTTTCGAAAGTCGTAAAACTCAAGTCGCACTGCGAAGCAACACGTCAAAAACTCACCTGCTTGGTATGGCGCTTCTGGTCATCGCAGAGCCATGAAATTTTGGCTCGGAGTATAACACATCGTAGTCTCACTGTGACATATGTTTTCTAATCAAAATACCAAGAGAGAAAGTGAATATTGAGTCCGTTCCGGTTTGCAACCTATGTCCTATTTGAAACCGTCCCCTCTACAAAACCGCATACAAGCATCATGCTCTTTGAAGTGGGCATGGAAACATGCGCGAAAAGTGAAAAATCACATCAACGTTCAAAGCCATCCCGGAGCGGCTTTGAAGGCGGCTTTGAAAGCGGATTTCGGCTTTTAGTTTTCAGACAAGTCGAAACAAGTGGTTTGGTGTGTCCAGTGCGCAGAGTTTTCGTTAGTTTTTGGAGAGTCCGGTAGTACCATGCCTCGAGTTGTCTTTTCTGCCGAGGCGGAGCTACGCTGATAGAACTATGGGGAAAATACAAGCGAGAAAAGTGAAACTATGATGAAAAGAGCTGTTGCCGAGAAGAGGATTGCAGATGAGCTGAATCTGTGCGCAAAGCAGCTACCCGGAGTGATCAGGAAATGATATACACGGCCTACCCACGGCCGCTATCGTTCACAACTCCAGCACACTCAGAGGAATACACCAGTTGTGGAGGCGTTCCACCGAGATCATACTAGCGGACCAAGAAATAGTATTTTTGAAATGTTTAGCCGTACCGGTGCGCTCAGCTCATGCAGAAATCAAAATATTTTAATTCCGCTATCGTTCACAACTCCAGCACACACAGAGGAACACACCAGTTGTGGAGGCGTTCCACCAAGATCATACTAGCGGACCAAGAAATAGTATTTTTGAAATGTTTAGCCGTACCGGTACCGGTACGGTGCGCTCAGCTCATGCAGAAATCAAAATTCCGGCTCTTCCGGCTCTTCGCTATGGGAGTATGGGTCACGCGGGTCACTTTTTACGTGTTTGGCATGCACTGCATTTGACTGTGTGAATGCACAGGCGTTGCAAGTGGCTTGTACCGTCATGTAAACGCGAATTTTTGTACCGTGTGTGAATGCAGCCTAAGGCTGTACTCACACTACTTGAAAGTTTGACGCGAATGTCGCGTTCAAGACTAGACAAAAGTACTTGAAAAAGCCTTTCCAAGCACACTGCACTCCAGTAACGACTTGAAACATTTTTGTCAGCAAATTACCATGGAGAAACATGATTGTCATGTAGTTTTGCAAATCCCGAGGCTGCGTTCCTTCAATTTTTTGCGCTCGATCAACTTATTTGAAATTTTCAGTTCATGAGAAAAATAGAAACAGTTATATCTTGCTTGGATCGTGGAGTTCATTCGCCATGCCTCGCGAAGAAGTAGCACATCGTGGACGTCGACGGATGAAGAGGTTTCTCTCCATAGCTCGATGAGCTTCTTCTCCAAGTCGTCAGAAAACACTACGCGAGGCATGATGTCGGTACAAAAGAAATGCGACAGAAACGGCAATCAAAACAACGGGAAGCTACTGGAAGAAAGAAGACGGAAATACTCGGAAAAAAAACACCACAAAATTCAGAAATGACAGGCAAAAAAAGGAAACTACAAGTATATGTACAGAAGCAGTACGGCCACGAGGAAACAAAGCATGAAAAATATTCTAGAGCCTTTCAACGTACAATAGTACTCCGGCCTCCTGACCTCACACAGCTTTCCAAACGGCTTGAAAGCAAAAAACCTCGTAGAAGAGGGTTCCGTTTCCGCTGAAACCTTTCAAGCGGCTTTCAAGGGCTTTTTTCATTTTCGCAACCGTCACCGTGGCAACATTCACACGTAAGTCACTTGTATGCGGTTTTTCAAGTAGTGTGAGTACAGGGAAACACAAGTGACTTGCACTGATGAGAAATGATTAGCTTTGCAGGCTTGTCAGCAAAAGGGGTGCACCGTGACAAGATTATGATCATGCAGTGCGTGTACATGTGACATGATTAGAGGTACATGTTGCTCATGTACCTGTACATGTACAGTGTGACATCCGGAAAAATCACATGGAAAACCAATAATAATTATTATATTTTGTGATTAACATGGCATGGCGGCCATTTTAGATTCTGGTTGCCATGGCAACGGATGCATTTTCTCTGCGTTTTGGGTTGTTTGGCTTTGATTTTTTGATTTTTTTACATTCCCCTTTGATTTCTTGTTTGAATGTTGGCTAGAAAACCGTGCATTTTGCATTTCCATTTTCCGCAAATTAAAACACATTTTTCGGACAGGCCTACCGCTGGTGCAGACGAATTTTTCGCGAAATCGAAATGACTCGAAGCATGACTCATGCATGCACGACTCACTGCATGCAACTCAAGTTTTTACTTGAATTGAAACATTATCATTCCTACATGTACGTATATGTATCTTCTTCAGGATTATTCTCCGAGTGGATAATTATTATAAGGTTTTGTCGTATACACAATCATTCTACTCTCCTCCCCACACCAGCTCATTGAGATCAAGGCCCTGGTTCACTGAAGTAACTTAGCTGTACGTGCAGACAATTGAAAAGTTTGAATTTGCAAAAATACGAATCAAAATTTCATTGTATGGCAGAGAAGTTGTCATGTCTTCCGTCAATGTGTTGTGCCCCGGTGGAAAGAGGTTCGTGGTGAAAGTAACCCCGAATAAAAAAATGCTCGAGGTGAGGCTGGGGTGATTGTATACATGCACCAAGTAATTAGTTACTGTCACGTTTTCTTTACTCTCTTTTTCACCCCCTGAAACCCTAGAGTAAATAGTGTTGAAGCAATGCGTAATTTGAATATAATGCGGATAGGCCTAAGGGCAATCCTCTTCTGTACTATGCATTGCCACCAAATATTCTCTTAACCCACCATGGAGTAGTGTGGAACAGATCACAGACTGCCCATTCAGGCTTCTGCTTCCATGCTCTTGTTTGTGTTCCACAATAGCACATACCATGGCATACGGTCATAAAGAACTCACAAAGGTACCTCAACAGCAAAATGGCTCGAAGAGCAAGCGGAACAAGCACTAGTGCATGTCCAAGTATGATTATGTTTGTTTGCCGATGATGACGTCGGAGATACCTTACGCGGTATGTACAGTGTCAGACAATGTTTGCCGCCATACACCTCTAGATGGAGCATCAGGGCCTGGCGCTCGGTCTCAAGGTATATATAGTCGCCCCTCTTTAGTCCAGCACTTTGTGAACCAGTACCCTCCCTAATCCAGCAGAATTTCCGTAGCACCAAATGGTGCCGGATTATAGAGGGACCACTGTAGATTGTTTGCAGAGAGCGATAACAGTGAATTATTCATGTATGCTCTGTGTTTGCGTGCGTCTCGTCTGTGCATGCGTGTGTACGTATGTTTGTAGATACTGGAAGATGTATGCAAGCGAATGGACCTTAATCCATCGCAGCATCAGCTGGTGTGAGTCTAAAACAATGGACGTACATTGTATTAGTATTGCAGATGATGGAGTGCATTCAGGGATAACTTTTAAAAGTGTGTTCCGCTCGAGTGCCTCCGGGTAGTCTTCGATCACCAGCGAGTGAGCCCATCTGTGCAAGTTGAAATATCGAAATAGGCCATGTGCCCTGAACCATAGTATGATTACACTGGTTCCGTTTTGTTGTGGCAAGTCAAGGTGATCTTATAGGGAAGCATGCTGTTCTCTTGTAATGGTAATTCATGTACGTTATAGACAATGACTAGTGCTTTACCAAGTCACATCCTCTTCTTTTCCCGAGAAGTTAAGTGTAGAAAAGGTGCGACTTATAATGGAGGAAATACGATACATACATGTATATTTTTGCAATTTAGACTGAATGGCACCTGCCTCTGTTCTGTGCATGCGTGTTTGTATGTCTCGTGATGCTGCAGGCATGGTCGGAAGAATTTGGACTTGTCTATGTCGTTTCGGCTGTCGGGCCTTCCCAACAAGGCTCATCTTGAACTCGTGGCTGGTGTTGGCGTGAAAGCTGGTACGATTAGTCTTGTGCTAACAAGTAATACTGCAAAACACGGTATTTTCGGTGTATTTTCCGGTGCAACTCTGGGGTGGCCACTGGCAGCTAGCGTGTTGGTGTACTCAGGCACGGCTTCCTCAGACACTTCTTTTGAGCTGGGAATCATCGCCAGGCGCTTGTTGGTGCCAATGGGTATGCTCTTCAACACCTGCGGTGGGTGGTTGGACTTGGTGCTTACGTAGAGCGGAGTATCTTTCGGCTTACGGTATGGCTTGAACGTACCGGATTCTAGGCACATGGTAACATCCAGGTAGTTGACCATGCGCAGGTTACTTTCTACTGTCATATTCAAGCCGCACGACTTGAAATAGTCAACAATTATTTGCTTTCTTACTCTGTCCGCTACGGGTCCACTTGCATCCCTGAGCACTGCGAGTCCGTCGTCAAGGTAGAGCCCCGCTGACTTCCAGCCCAGGTGCACAGCTAGCTTGTGCAGGATGTAGGCTCCAACTACTTCACAGGCCTCCGCACCGTCGTACGCACCCATGGTGACGTCGAACATCTCACCTCGGTCTTTCTTAGACTATGCCTGACCCTGGGCAAATAGCGGTGACTTGCAGGCATGGATAACCACATTCATGTCGTCGTCGCTGACCTGCACATGCTGCTTAGCGAATTCCAGGACGCCCTGTAAAAGCTCCTTTGTGATCGATGGGTAGAAGTTGACAATATCAAATACCGCGAACGTGTGGCGCTCTTTCTCCTCTATGTTCTTGAGCCAATTAATTACATCGGTAGTGCTTCTCCAAACCATTGCCACTGTAGCGTCACGGAGCTGCCTTGTGATGTTGGCTATGATGCTCTTGCTGACGACGCCTAGCGCACTTTTAGCTCACTTTTCGCTGGAAGTTCTCTTTATGGTCTTTTAGCGCTATGAAACATTCGGACTTGGCAAGTACCCCCATCCTGTCCGCTATTTCAAGCTGCTCTGCGATTTCCCTTGCCCCCAGGTTGATTTCACTGTGCACACCCTCCGGTGCATGCTGATACGTCTTGGTAATATTGTTGTGTAGCAGTTTCTTGTGTTTCTGAACATTCAAGCGATGCCGACGCGGATCCCGCGAATATTATTATTATTAGCAGTTTCTTGTAGTCATCGACCGGCGTACTATACAGGTTACGCGTCTTGTGGGCGGGTACTATCACATCGGGCGAGTGCTGATACGCTGCAGGGCTTTCTTCATCTTTGTCTGGAGGTCATTTGATGTCGCTCTGAAGCTAACGTTTCCGATCATTTTGTACAAATCCCCCTTTAAACGCCTTCAATTTTTCCACCTGCGGAGGGCAGTTCTTGGTCTTAAAGCCAAAGGTGTTGCACTCCGGCGCCTTGACGTCAAATATTGCCTTCAACTGCATCCTCTTTATAATGCTTTCCCCCTTCTCAATTAGTCGTTTCCTATATTCCTTGGTCGTTGGCATCGGGATGTTTTTGAGCGAGTATCCCAAGTTGATGCGCGTAGGTGCATCCATCGTCTCGAACCTAGGGGAAAGAGTGCTCACTCACTTGTAAAGTGAGAGCCGGAGGACCCAGATGTATTTTTTATAGAGTAATGAACAATATCAAAGCTGCCTCCACGACACCATGATAATGGACACGATTGTGTTAAACTTAGATTGAGAATGTCTGCACACCGCTGACTACACTTCTTCTTACCTCCTTCATTACTACCCATCCACATCACTGTCAACATCATCACATTTCATTATGGCGTGAATTATCATGGCGTTACGGTGGCATGCTTTACATTGTTCATGGGTATACAGTACAGTCAGACATCGCATAACCGCACACATCCGTTTCCACAAAAATGTCCGGGTAGGCGAGGGAACCGGATAATCGAACACACATACTGTATGTATGCATGGCATACCGTAAAATTCCGTAAATAAGCCCACCCTAAATAACGCCCATGTCCGATAATAAGCCCAGTTTTAGGCGGTGTACACTTCAAGTCCGTTTTAGCGCCCATGCCCGAAATAAGCCCAGGGCGTAAAGTGGACTCAAAATGACCAGCGCGTGAGCGTGCGTTCGCGTAAATGCCGGTACCTGTTGTGCCTTGTACTTATATAGCAAGTGGTTTACATATCAAATCTGTAATTTATCGCTACATTCTTGGTTACGACCAAATTTCCAGCTGTGGTTTGATGTACCTGTACCGCGCTCGCCCAGTGTGAATGGTAGTTCACTGAAACTAGTGGGTTGCTGATAGATTGATCTTCTGCAGATTGCGTCCGAAATAACGCCCATGCCCAAATATACGCCCGGTTTTTGACCCTCTGCTAAGTATACGCCCAGGGCTTATTAACGGAATTTTACGGTATGCTGTAAATCGGTAACCAACAATTTTCTTCCGGATGGCGAGGGATCCGGATAAAAGCGAGGTCTGACTGTATTACTCAGGAGAATGTCTTTACCGCCATATGAGTCAGGTATATTACTCCTTTTCTATTTTACTCAATCTCCGGACAGCATGCTGTCTCCACATTATTAGGTCTCCTCAGCCGAGCTCAGAGTTACTGGCCGAACCGATTGTAATCAAGTCTAATGAACAAGAAAGCATTTTTTTAACTGGCGCAAAGCGCTAAAGTCATAGTGCTCCTTTTGATTTTATACATTTACCGAGGCTGTGTAGAAGGAGACATTTCTATGGCTGCTTGCTCAGTACATTGTGCTGGCGTTCCATTGTGTTATAGTATTAAATTAATGGAATGTGAACAGTGATACAACCCTCAGAATGTGGGACTGTGTGCCTACATGTTGTGCATGTACCGTCAAGTACCGCCAGAGGGACCCGTCTCGCCAGAGCGCCCCACCTTGATTTTTACAGCCAGGGAAAGGAAAATCGTATGGCAGAGTGCAACGGAGTTTGTACGGTGTGAGAATTTTGGTGTACTAAGGTCACACGTAGCAGGTACTTGTGTGGAGCTCTTGTCCGCTCGAAGGTACGGATTGACAGCAAAACGTGCAATATGTGTACAAGGTTTGTGCCGTATGACACTACAGACAGCAGACCACCTCCACAATACGACCACCAAAGGACGAGATGGTGGGGCAATCTGGCGGTACTTTACGGTACATGTACTCAGTGGTGCTGAGTTCGTGCCAAGAATCCTGGCTCCACCACTGCACGTGTGCTGATTGTGTTTTGTTCATTCTGAGCTTGAGCTTCTGCTGTCATTCTTATTCCTGTTATCATAGACTCTAAAGTTGGCGTAGCACTTCAAATTCCCACGGGAGAACGACTGCAGAAGGAGTGGCAGGCAACGGATACCCTTTGGTCCGTGTTGGAATACTGGCGCCAGAATAACTCGTATGTTGGTTCCTAACAGCACCATGTCAAGCCTACAGTTTTGCTTTCAAGTTTAGATGACTTCAGTGACAGTGCAGTGCTGTGCAGTATATCTGCGAGCATTTTCTTATCAAAACCATGGCTTGTTTATTGTGTGAATGGTGTATGGCATGTGAAATGCTGTGTGCTGTGTTCCTCTGTGCTGTGTGCAGTGCTCTGCAGCAAGAAACCGGCATGCCAGTGTGTGTCTATCTCCAGCAGGAGGTAGGGCGGTGTGTCCCACTTGCAAACTTACAGATCTGCTTGCATTTCACGTGCCGCCTTGTTGATGCACTATTGACAGCAGTCGATGTTGGAGATGCTGTCTCCTCGTTTCTGAACCTACAATATATTTGGCGGTTGATTCGTGGTCTATCAAACTAAAGAGCTCGGTCGATGTTTGCCCATGAAAATAAGTGCATTCTTTTTGCTCACTGCAGGTTGCTGGCGAGGTGGCACTTAAGCGTACAACATTGCGCTCGCTGGGTCTCACTGGTGGTCGTGCCCTGGTCAGGTGTGTATCTGTACATGTGTGTGTGTGTGTGTGTGTGTGTGTGTCTGTGTGTGTCTGTGTGTCTGTGCCTGTGTATGTGTAATTTGAAGCACATATGCGTGTATGTGTGCGCGCATGTGTGTGTGTGTGTGTGTGTGTGTGTGTGTGTGTGTGTGTGTGTGTGTGTGTGTGTGTGTGTGTGTGTGTGTGTGTGTGCATGCGTGCGTGTGTGTGTGTGTGGTGTGTGTGTGTGTGCGTGCGCGCTCGTGCATGTTTCGGTCTTTGACCACTTTGGTGATGAATCTGACCTTCTCACTTCCCACCACTTTAGGAGCTGCATCTGCACCTTGAACCTTGAGGGCGGTGGGGTTTCTACGGATGCGGAATACTCTGTCCATAGAAGGGCTTGTTTGGGCATGGCAATTGGTTCTGTGAAAGAAAAAATCACCGTTCACCTCAAACTCAGTTAGACAGAGTTTTCTGTATAATTTCATTTTTGGATTTCCTTCATCTTGATGCATCTTTTTTTGACAAGCCTGTTTACTTCTATTTTGAAATGCACTACTGTAAGTAGGGATTCCAGTCAAAATTTCAAATTCATAATTCAAGCTAGCTTGTTCTTGGACAATGTCACCGAGGTAATGAGAAATCCTATGGTGCCAATTTTATCAAAATCGGTCCAGGCATTCGAAAGTTTTAGCCATTTTTCTACAGCGAAATGGGTGTATTTTTCTCTGGCGATCAAATGGGAAATCGGCTCAAAACATGGTCAAACTACTGCGTAGCCACCACCTAGCTACATACATTTTGACACGAATCAGATGAAATTTTGTTTACAGCCGGCCTCTTATCCTTGCCTTGAGCGAATGACATATGCACGCTTCGATTCGGCGAACCTACCCCTCTTCTTCACACGGCTTTGGCCGACAAGGACGTCAAGTCACCAGCACGGCTTTGGCCATTGCCGACAAGGACGGCAAGTCACAAACACGCCAATATTGATGTTGCCGATGCCGTCCTCTGCAGGGCTTGCAAGTTGCGAACCAAATCCAGAAGACGCTGTCGATGGGAGCTGGGATCAGGCTGATCATGGTGAGAGATACTGGCATTACTGCATCAGCTCCAACACCAACCAGTTTGATCGGTAATGACGGCAGCTCACTGTTCTCCGCCAGCGCACAAGTCGCAAATCCAAGCCGCCGCCTGTTCTCCGTGTTCCTCGCAAACAGGAGATAGTACAGAATCGTGTACTACGTCGTGCTCACTAGGCACAGCGAAATCCTGGTCTTCGTGCTGCTTGATACTCGCGATCAGCTGACTGCGCTGGGGGTAACACCTAGTTTCTAGTGTAGATCTACTCTTCTTCCTCGCACTTGAAAAAATCGCCATGTCGGAGGTGCTTTTAGTCCTACTCGGCGCACTCAAATTTTGTTGCGCTGCTGTACCTTGCTTGAGAAAAACACCGGCATGGGTGATTCCGAAAGGTTTTTGGGTGCTGAAGCTGAAAATCAGTTTAAGAATCCCCTAAGATGCCATTTTAGACTTGAAAATCGCCTTCAATTTCTTCTTTGACTGATCGCAATGGCCTAATTTCGCAGCACGGCGATCAAAAACCCCACATTGGACAGCTGAAAACCTCAGGAAGCCACTGGTAACTTCAAAAATCCTCCAGAACTTACGATATCCCAGCGCACTGGCCTAGAATGAGCCGTCATCGCGCGACCAAACTTTTGTGTGTAGCGCGTGGAGAAAGTCCTCGAACCCAGTCGGCCAGATCCTGGAACCCCTACTGTAAGACCAGATATTTTAACGTCAATTAAAGTTCACGATCTCCGGATTTTTATGGGTTAGCGAGGTGAAAATTCTAACGAATTCTGTCTCAAAACCGGCGAATGACTGTACATGTACATATCGTTTTGCACATAACGACTGCAAACGTTTTAAAACGATTTTGTTAAATTCGTTAAATCGTTTGAATTAAATGTTCGTTAGCATTACTGGTCTTACAGTACATGTATAATGAGCTACAGTGTACTAAATAAGGCTACTTGAGTTGAAACTAGTGGTGAAATGAATATACCGAATATTCGAATGTTCGTTCGGTTTGTCACATTCGAACGAATATTTCTCATGGCGAATATTCGCTAACCGGGTATGCAGAGGCGACTTCAAACTTCCGTAACTTCGCGAATACTTGACCGAACCGCTTCATCGAAAGTTCCATCGGCATTAGAAAACTCTCAGCTGTCGTCTCTAAGCAACTCGGACGCGATCCGAGGTCCTGGAATGGAGTTATGGCGGTCGAACGAAAAATCACGTCTTGAGCTGTTTTTTGAGCGTGTAAAATGATGCACTTCAGCTGGGGATTTTGTGAAAATTGACCTAGAAATGATGGAGAAATATGTGCCTTCGTTTGTCATGCCTAATAATAGTGACAATATCCAATAAAATGACTGAGAGGAGGGTGTGTGATGTCATCTGTGTTAACGAAAGAATATTCGTTCGTTCGTTCGTTTATAAGCCAAAGAATATTCGGCTACTGGGTTTTGATATTCGTTTCACCACTAGTTGAAACTGATATTATTCGTATACTGTGCCCTTTCGAGTTGAGATTGTGCCTTTTTTGTTTGTTGCTTTCACTCTCAGGGTTCACTTCAAATCTGAAGCTCCAGTAGCAGCAGCAGCCTCAGTGTCGGTGGAAGCTAGTACTGTAGCTGTGCCATCAGGCCAGCAATCCCATGCTGCCAGCAGCCATGAAGCAGCGTCGAGGCAAAACCAGGCGGCGGGTAATCTTCCTGCTGAAGGGAGCGTGTCGTCCAGTGGAAGAACAATCGGTGGCGAAATGCCGTCCAGTGTTGTTGATCTAGCAGTACTAGAACCGGCTGCTTTGAGTGCTCAAGACTCATCCAGTGTTGGTGAACAACACCAGACAGCAGTGGACCGGCCAGCAAGTAGTGCTACACAGCCAGTGGACAGTGTGGCAGAAGCCCATGCTGCTACGACTACTACTGCTGCTGCTGCCACTGAGCCTTCGGCTGCAGTATCTACTACCGAAGAGACCATGGACACGTCAGCATCACAGCCATCAGCACCAGCACCGGCAATACCTCTTTCCCACCCAACAAGCGCTGAGTCCGCTGCCGAATCTAGTACGGTACCAGGTGGTTGTGCTACTGCTGCTGCTGCCGCCCATACAGAGTCCATCCCTCACAGCACCACAGCAGATAGCAGTCAGCAAGTAGCGAGTGCACCTCGCAAGTCTGGTCTATCAGCCAAGCTACAGTCTACGCACAAGGACAACACGTTCGGCGGCACCTCGTTTGGCGAGAGAACAGTGGATTGGTCCAAAGTAAGTATGGCAAGCATGTGTGGGTGTGGGGGTGGTGTGTGGGTGTGAATGTGTGTTTGTTCATGCATGTCAGAGCATGTATAAAGGACAGTATTGCCGGACACGTACAACATGTACTAGCACTTCAAACCACATATCTAACACCTTTCATAGGCAATGGCGTGCTCAGATTTGAATAGAAAGTTGCGTCGGCAAGCTTTTCACACTTGGCAACCACACAACCACACTGCCATTATAAGATCATGAATCAATGTGCTTATAGCGGTGTCGCTGTGTACTTGTTTGTTTTCACTTGCCATTACTAGAGTGTCGGACATCGTCTCGGCGGGCCATCCACAACAGATGCCGGCCCACCGCCCAGCAAGCGGCCTCATAGAGGTACGTAGTATTAGCAGTTTAACAGCGTCAATCTGGTTCTGATTTTCAGGCTCCGCTTCACATGCTGGGTTCAGAAGGCATTTGTCCTTCTCATCTTGTCCGTACTGTCCGTACTGTTGACTGGCTGCAGAAGGAGATTGCATACTCATTGACTGTTCTTACACCGACTTACATTACTCGATCTGCCCGTCTTTTCTTGTTGCCATGGTCTACATTACTGTGTTCAGGCAATCAGACTGAAGGTGAAGCTACACCTCGCCTGATAGAGGTATGTGAGTGTATTGTAGACTAGATAGAGGCCACTTTTAGTGCAACTTAGGCTGTGTTTACATGAGAAATTTCAACCCGGGTCGAGTTCAGCCCGGGTTGAAAGTCTGTACGATAGACAAAATAGGTGAGCGTTTATATGAAGACAGTTGACCCGGGTCAAATACTGATATGCCGCCAAAAGTCCACTTCTACAGTTTCGTATAGTCACGTGAATCCTTTCGCGCGAAATTTGCATGACAGTGCTGTTCAAACCTGGCGCGAGATACGCACAGAAGTACATGTACGTAAGTACGATTTCTTCGACCCGGGTTGATTTCAACCCCCCCCCCCTTGGGGGGGGGGGGGGGGTTGAAATCAACCCGGGGCGAAATTTCAACCCGGGTCAAGAGCAATGCGTCATGTAAACGCGCCATTCATTTTGTGTACATGGCGGGTTGAAATCTGACCCGGGTCGAACTCAACCCGGGTTGAAACGCCTCATGTAAAAACAGCCTTATTATGTTTGAATATTATGTTTGCAGTACTCGGGGTAGCTTTTTCTTCTCAACCGCACTTAGTTATGTCCTAGGATGAATGCCGTTGGTGCCTTAGGTGTGCAAATCTGGAGCTTCTCTTCTTACTGAATACGCTCCAAGGAAAGTAGTACAGCTGCCAAATGGGAAAATCAACTTTTTCAGGGGCGTCGTTGCAGTTTAGGACCGAGCACCATATCTTAGGCTAGGATGATAGACAAGTGTATGTAAAGCACGATCGTGCTTGTTGCACATACTGCGGACGTGCGGTAAGCTAGAAATTCCATTCCTTTTCTTCGTCGTTGGGAGTGGTAATGACCGCTTCAACACCTCCAGCACTACACCAATATCTGTTGGAGGTGCTGGAATGACGGGCAAGTAGCCAACAGCTGTAGACTTTGGTGACGTACTAATCATAGAGTTGAATCCTGACCAGCTGGGCACTGTTTGTTGAACCTCGTCTGATTGCTCTGATGATGCATCTGGCACTGCAGGAGAATTGCGGAGCAATACCCACAACATGTCAGTTTGTGCACCTATGTGGCTCGATGAGGATGGTACTGGGTCCAGTGCTGGAAGCTGGGGTGGCTCTCTTCTCGGTCCAGACACATCCTCATACTCTGCTGGTGGTGGTGCAGATACTGATAGTGACCTTGCTGCCCTCTTGCTACGTGTAGTAGGGGCTGTCGGGGAATCTCAAGCACGCACACAGAGTGCACCCGACACAACGAACACCCACTCAGTTCATATGGTTTACAAAGTTGAATGCATGATAGGATTAAAGTAACGGGAAGAGAAATAGAAAGTCGAAACTGTCTTCATGCCATTGCAATAATAATTACAACCACTGAACACCGCGTGGTTGAGAGCTCTATCTGCTCAGGGGGTGCATGCATGCGTGCACAGCACACCCACACGTAATGAGTCTGAAGCACATGCCAGTACGTCATATTAGGACGTGACGTGGCAACGTGATACTAGTACATGCCCCCTAGTGACAATTGTCACTAAAAATGAGGAGAAGAAGATAAAAAACAGTACCAATTATCGCAGAATAGGAGCCAATAAATTGAGAAAACAAAACAAAAGAACCAAATTTATGACACACACTATTAAACGTCAATCGTCAGAGACGGCCAAAACACGAATTAGAGTCACGAGTCAGACCCAAACTCGGACAAAGCAGAGAACATAGTGGTCTCAAGAGCCATACCTACTAGGCTCACGGAGCAGGGCTCTGTCGCGGAGAAGACGACCACCAGCGGTGTCATCAGGTACACCAGCCAAAGGCACATGGTCCAACGGCTCGTCATCGATAATACTAGCTACATCTAGTGGCTCAGGGATACGACTGGAATGACTTCCAGCAGGCTTCAGCAGCTCTGTGTTGACGAGTTTTTCTGCTGTGCCACGGCCAATCACGACAGTTGAGGGACCAACGACTCGCTTGACGATCCAACCTTCTTCGAATTCGGGGAGTCGTTTCTGGTGCCGGTGTGGACGGCGGAAGAGAACAGACTCTCCAGCCGAGAACGCTTGAGTTGGCTCCTCGACAAAATCGCAGGACGACAACTCTGATTCCAGGAGATCGTACATGGCTGAGGCGCGACGCTGTATTTCCTCCGTCCAGCGGGGAAACGACCAATCTGTTGGGGTAGCATCCACCACGAGACTGCGGGGCTGCCAGCCAACCATTGCTTGCATAGGTGAGACACCGGTGACACTGTGGGGCCTGTTGCGGTAGAAGTACAGGAGCATAGCTAGGTCAACCTGCCAATCACTGGACTCGTCGAGGACCTTCCGCACCAAGGTCAACAGCGTTTGGTTGAACCGTTCTGCGGCACCTTGCGATTGGGGGTGGCGAACTGCGCCAAAACACACGTTGACCCCAAATACCTTGTAGAGGGATGACATCAGGGCATTGTGAAGCTCGGTGCCGTTGTCGGAGCGGATAACATGGGGAGGACCCCACCGAGTGCAGACACTAACAAATGCATCGGCGACAGACTCAGCATCATGGCGAACAAGTGGGACGACCTCCACCCACTTGGTGAAGGTGTCAATGCAGACAAGAACGCAGTGATATCCGCCAGACTTGTTGGTACCAAGCTCGAGCGTGTCAATTTGCACAACACGCCAGGGACCATCGGGAGTTACAGGTCGCGTTGGTTGCGGTAGACAAGGTTGAGCAGGATTTGCCGCACGGCAGGTAGTGCACTCTGACACGTAGTCACGGCAGCGCTGTGCCATACCAGGGAAATAGCATTGGCTACGGAGTAGACGCCACATACTTTCCCAACCGGCGTGACCACTCACAGTATGGGCGACTGCAAGTGCATCGGCAGTAAGACTCTGGGGAAGGGCAGGCACAAGCTCAACATTGTTGAGAGGCGATTTCACGCTGCGAAACAGCACATCATCCTCAATCACCAGCTGGGTTCGGACTCTGCTGTAGCTGGAGTTGGGAATCGGTTCACCGGAGAGAAGCTGGGCCTTAACGGACGAGATCGCCTCGTCGGCAACTTGGGCAGTGGCGATGTCACCCATAGCAAGAGGTGGGAGAGCACGAACGGTAACACCGGCTGCTGCAACATCAGGCTGTGGCTTCTTAGGACTGTCCGGCACACGGAACCAGGTAGGGACACGGGTTAGCTGATCCGAAATATTGTCCTCTGAGCGGACCCATTCAACGTCAACTGTAATGCCAGATACAGTGATCAAATCGTCGATGATCTGCAAACGACGCTGAACCAACGTAGCGTGAAGGCCACTCACTTTAACACGACGGATGTTGTTCAGCAACTGCGTCAACCAGCCATGGACTGTACGCGAATCAGTGTGCAAGACCACGTTCTTCACTGGCCAACACAGAGCGAGGTTGAGCGACTTGATGACGGCGTCTAACTCTGCTATGTTGATATGACGCTTATCATCGGAAGGTCTGAGCCAGGACTTGTCTTCGACGATAGCGCCGTTGACTTCCAGAACCGCACCCATGGCCAGGCCAGAAGCATCGCACCAAACGTGCCACACTGTGGTGTCATCACAGGGCACAGACCAGACACCATGCACAGGATCGTCTTGACGGACACGAGACTCGACCTCACGACATGGTTGCACGAGATGAGGCGGTACGAGGTCATCCCATTTCGATGTGTTCTCGCCGACAAGCCGCTTGATGTAGTTGCACAGCGGGCGTAACCAGGAACATACCGGGTAGTGACTAATCACACGGCCACACCAACTGAACACTTGACGACGAGTTGGTGACTCTGGCAACTTGAGGTCAACACCAGCACGACGTTCCCACGTGACTGTATCTTCGACATCAGAAGAGGACAGCTGTAGGCCCAACACACGAGCAGTTGCGAACTGCTCTGGCTCTTTCGTCTCAAGCCCATAGCTGGCGAGTTCATGGCGGACGATGTCGGTCTGGGCAGTAGGGACGTAGAGGTCGTCCACATAGTTGTCAACGTCGGCGTGATCACGGGTAATCCATTGGACAATCATGTCCAAGATCTTTGGCGCGACGTTCAGACCGAATCCCATGCGGGTCATGGTATACAACTCGCCTTTGTACACAACGGTTTGGTACTTGTACAGGGTGGGATGGATCCGAACTTGCAGGTAGGCTTTCCGGATGTCGAGAAGAACGCTGTCGGCACTACGTCTGCGCCAGTCACGAAGTTTCGCGTCACAAGCTGGAGCGGTGACACCGGGGTGGGACACAAGACAGGCATTCAGGGCACGGTAGTCCAAGCACGGCCGAACCGGCGTGGATGCCTTGTGCTGCTGACTAACGGCAAGTATCGGCAAGACAGCGACAGGCTCTCCGAATGCCTCGGAGTCGTACTTGACAAGCCATCCATTGTCCACCCACAACTTCATTTCTGAAGCAAACTGCTCCTCCTCGCTGACGCTTAGAGACTTCCGCGAGTACTCTCCAATGCCGGAACCAATGTGCTGCTCGGGTGCAACGCCACCCTTCCACGACCACTGAGCAATCCAATGACCACGCTCATTCGACCAGTTAGCTAGGCAATCATTTGCCTTCAAGGTGACTGTCGACTCGGACTCGGTAACATCGATGTGACGAGAAAGCTTGTTAGGCTTCTCAGATTCGGGTTGGGGAGATGCCCCGGCAGCGACACCTGCCTGCTGACCAAACACAACTGAGGACAGCGTGCCCCCTAGACCGTCGTAACGTAGAGTGAGGCCACCGACCTTGCCAATGGTATCTGTGCCAATCAGGAAGTCCGTGTTCAAGGACGACAAGTTGGGCACAACGAGACAATCAATAGTGATCCGAGGCAAATGGACGGCTCCATCAAGTCGTTGCACACGTAGCGTGACGTTGCCAAGGATAGTAAGTGGTGTTCCGTCGATAGACAACAGCTTGTCCTGACAGGGAGAAACTGCAGCTGATAGGTTCAATCGGTCAACAACAGCCGACTCCACCAGTGTGCGAGTACAGCCAGAATCCACCACAGAGGCAAAACACGTCCACGTACTAGACTCAGTACTGGGTTCCTGTACGTCCACGGCTACACGAACTAGGTCTCCATCCGATTTTGCCAGAGCAAGGCAAATATCCGTACGTTCAGGCGGCGCGTGACCAGCAGCGACATTTCCAACTCGACTCTTGTTCGGACAGTCCTTGGAAATATGCCCTTTCGCTTTACAGGCATAACAGGTGACACTGGGCTTACGCTTCGGGCACTGTGATCTCACATGGCCCACGGCCTTACACTGGTAACACACGAGCGACTTCTTGGGCTGAGAGCTAGCAGCAGCAACAGCACCATGGGATTCTGGGAGTTTGGATGCCTGCATGACTCTGATTTGATTTGCCATATCAGTGACAGTGAGCTTCTGCGTAGCAGACGCCATACGAACGTGGTGACCAATATCAGCTGGCAACCCACTCAGGAACTGCTCAATCAGCACGGGATCTGAATTATCCGCAATCTTATGGCCAGACAGCGTAAGTAGGCGCTTCAAATCTGCCAGGTACGCGTCCACAGGCTCTCCATTCCGCAAAGCCCTTGACGTAAATGAACGGTAGGCAGCACCAGGCGTGGGGCAAAATGCCTGCTCCAGCGCAGATTTAATTTTTGCCGGCGATTTTTTGTCCTCGTCAGACAATTGAGTGACAACCGTAAAGGCTTGTCCACTCAGGAACAACGGAAGATGCTCAGCCTTGGCAGCGTCATCGGCCCACTTATTGGCCTTGGCTAAGACCAGAAACTTAGCCCAGAACTCATCAAAGTCGTCCTGTTTGCCCCGATACGGGCGAATAAATCCATCCAACTTCGAAGCCATCTTTCAGAACTTCCAACGGGTTTCGGCACCAAAGTTGTCGGGGAATCTCAAGCACGCACACAGAGTGCACCCGACACAACGAACACCCACTCAGTTCATATGGTTTACAAAGTTGAATGCATGATAGGATTAAAGTAACGGGAAGAGAAATAGAAAGTCGAAACTGTCTTCATGCCATTGCAATAATAATTACAACCACTGAACACCGCGTGGTTGAGAGCTCTATCTGCTCAGGGGGTGCATGCATGCGTGCACAGCACACCCACACGTAATGAGTCTGAAGCACATGCCAGTACGTCATATTAGGACGTGACGTGGCAACGTGATACTAGTACAGGGCTGTAGATACAGATGTTGCCGGCTGATTGGTGGATACTGGTGTGGTAGATTCGTGCCGCCTTTGAAGTACAATGCTGTTGGTGCAGTGTGTTGTGCCTTCGTCAGTAGCCGTTTCTTCACACAAGTCATTGTTGTCCCAACAAAAGAAAACATTCTTTGTTGGGTCAATGATGCTGGGCACAAACACGTCGGTTCCCAATGCCTCTTTTGCCAGGGATGTCTCGATCTCAGAGAGCTTAGTGTCTGAAACACCGTGTCCGAAACGATTAAGTGTAGTCACCAACTGCTGGCTTTTGGTCAGGTGGCGGACTGTCATAGGAAGAGCAACACTCTTGGGTGTTATGATGCGGCCTCTTGTTGCGGCATACACAATATCTTGCCCGAGAGACAAGACCTTGGCTCTCTTTGGCGCATCCAGCTTAGCTCTTTTCACCACACTGTCGCAATCTTCTTCGTCTCCCACACCAAGCACCCATGCCAGGAATTTGTAAAGACTATCTGGCACGCACCAATTGGCATTCTCCTCATTGAGGTCAGATGCATGTGGAATGTCAGGCAGGATGGGGGAGATAGCTTTGATGTCACTTTTGACTTGTATGGCAGCTTGCAAAATGTCATGGGCCATTGACATGGGTGGGTCATCCACAGCAAATATATCACTATCACTGCTGTCAGGCTCCAGTGATTGAGCACTGCTGCGAGTTACAGCTTCCGCCAGGACAGTTGCCAAACTTGGTGGCGTGAGAGTTGCCGGGACAAGTGACTCTGGCTCTGTCACTGACTGCCTGACGAACATGACCCTATCATTGAAATGATCCATGATTCTCTTCTTCAAGAGGAATGTCCGACAGCTACTTGTGACACCCAGGTCTCTCAGCTTCTCCTGGTACTTGCTGGTCAAACAATCCATTCGTATTGCCTTCACGACACTCCCCGTGGAGAGGAGGTCATTCTCAATGTGTCCAGCAAGCCAGTTGAAAGCCTGCTGGAACGTTTCCCGGAGGGAAATAGTCGGGCCCTTTCCACCTTCCGCTTTTGTGTTCGCAACAGTTTTCCCATGTGTGTAGTTGCGGTAGCATGAGTGGTGGTGCACAAACTTAGCTGCAATGCAGTCCGGACCACCTTCCTGGAACAGCAGCTAAATCCTCTGATCCTGGTATGCCACTGCTGCGACTAGGATTTTCTCCCCGGCCTCAAGTGTGTGGCATTGCGAAAGCTTCTCCACTTTGCCTTTGACTCGTTTGTCAGAGGATCTCTGACAAAACAGACATAGCTGCAAGTTGGTTTTGGGTAGGGTGCTTCTTGTTGAGCGCCTCTTCCTTGGATTGCTGTCTGCAGCAGACTCGTACTCGCCGGGATTTTGCTGAGGCTGATCATCGTCCTTTGCCTGCTGCTCAGATTGCTTTCTTAGTTTATTTATACGCTTTGTGTGTGTGTGTGTGTGTGTGTGTGTGTGTGTGTGTGTGTGTGTGTGTGTGTGTGTGTGTGTGTGTGTGTGTGTGTGTATGCGGCGTAACATCGTCGGTGACACCAGCCACGACACGGCGCACACTCTTCCGCACAGTTCTGGGCCAGGAGAAAATCCCATGTTGAGTCCTGTCGAACTCGAGCAGCGGCAACAACTCTACTATAACTGATGTTCGATAAAGACACGCGGGCATCATAACGCACGTCCACACAATGACACAAACAAGAATCCCACGATTTGGCAACAATAAGGACGTTTAGTAACGCGAAAGTTCGAAAGAAAATTCGAGTCTGGGAATGAGTACAGAACAAAAGCTCGAAACTTCGAAAACTTGGACGCGAAGTTGCAGTGATTTGCAAAAGTAACTTTCTCTTTTCTCGGTACGCATTTGACGACAGGGAGTAGTGATTTTACAGCCCCCTGCTTGAGACTGAGCTGCATATACGGTACGGTACTATAACTTAATATGATTCAAACAACTTCGAGAAAAAGTCATTTCGCTTTGCTAAACCTCACAAGTTTTCTTTTTCGAAATAGATTTTCGCGAAATATCACCAACACCAAAAGTTCGAATTTTCGCATTGCTTAACGTCCTTATTACTTCCGTCTGGCACCGCTACGAAGCTACTGCCTTCAAAAGGATTACTCGGCACCTCCTGGCTCGCCATAAGTCCTACTTACTCATAGTCGACCACCATCCTCTCTGCCACAACTAAAAAGAGCCCAGGGACTTCGCACATGTCCTAGCTCTAATGCTAAGTGGATGTACGTGTGGTTTGTACTGTAAACCGCCCAATATTCGCGTCACTAAATTTTCGTGATTTCTTAGGCCCTCTTCAGACTAGGTACAAAACAGCCTATAAGTCACATTTACATAGAAGTTTCCAGGACAACAACAAGAATCTGGCGGGAAGCCTAAAAAGCTGCCCAATCCTTTCAGGCAGGGTGCCAACCCTTGTACAAGGCAACTTTCCTGCATTTATCGTACTTTCACCAGGCAGTTGTACGAACTTTGTACCCGGGTACGACTGTCCGCTGCTTTCACACATCCCAGGCCCCTTGCGCAATTTCATAGGGTCAAAGGTTGCCTGTATATTGCATGTAAAATGTGTAGTCTGAAAGCAGGCATGGAAAAATGTTGCCTTTTAGGTTTTATGTGATTTTGTACTGGATTTACTATGTACGTAGTCTGATGAGGGCCTTAGAACCAGCAAGTTTACGATGGCAAAAGTTCGCGAAGCATCGGGGCCACCTACATACACCCACTGTTGAAGCTTGAATTCACGCTGGTTAATATTCGCGTTACGCTAATCTCGCGAAAATAGCGAACATTAATCCGCTCGCGAATATTAGGCAGTTTACAGTATAATTATAGTAATTAGTAGTGTTGATCTTCATAATTTCAAAATTCAGCGTCGTCCTCTTCTTCTATGCATTCGAATTCAGTGTTGTCCTCTTCTTCCCTGCTCAAAATGCTCTTAAATGCGAAACTGCATGTGCGTACTCAATGCTCATCTCCTTTTCCTTGCCTGGAAGAAACCCCTTATAAAGAAGCTGTCGTAATGCTGTCAAGTAGCCAACAGGTCGGGCCATATATAGAATGGGTATTAGGAGCGATCTACGCTCGAAGTAGGTACTTGGACCTACACTGCAACGCAAAAACGTTATTTCACTTTTGGCAGCTGTACTAAAGGATTTATGTTGTTTGCACACTCACACGCGCACGCTTGCGCGAGCACGTGCGCACACACACACACACACACACACACCACACATACATTTTGAAGTAGGAGTCCACGTGTCCAGAGGAGTCATTTATAGTCGGCGGTGTGTTTCTTCTAAACGTATGAATGCAGCTTAGTGGACCTATTGAGCGACATGCTGTTCTCTTTGAGCCGAAAACAGCGCAGGACGGCAGAGGTAAGAACACTGCGGTCCGTTGTGCAAAGAAAGTAATCCTGTTGCTCCCCATAACCTCCTCGTTCTGTTAGGTGTAATACTATAACGAAGAAGTTTAAAACGAAAGAAATTTGTACAACAGCTGTGTTCTGTAATTCTGAAAAATTCTGCCCCAGCTCACGGAAGGTTGCGATGACTGGCACGCCTGATGACCATACTGTTAATGATGTGTATTTATGTTTTATAATGTTGATACCTGACACTATTTCTTCTAATGTTATCAAGATAAGTAATCACCATAAGAG